ATTTTGCGTGAGAGTATGCAAGTGCAATGCTTGTACGATGCTTTGGTTGTTGGGTGATGAATGTGCGAGTGCAGGAATTATCGCGTGATATGCAATGTATGCGAAAGCGCAGGCGCGCGCAAGGTGCAAAGGCGTGGGAAGGTGCGCGCGCATGGTATGCGCGAGGCGCGAGAATGTGCGCGCGCTATGCATGAAGGCGCGGGAATGAAGCATAGCATGGTGGATTGCGAGGGTGACTCTGATGTGAATAATATGCCATGGGTGTGGGGCGATGATGCGAGAGTGATATGGATGTGGCGCGCAAGGTGTGGGCGAGATGCGCGCATATGGCGTAAAGCGCGGGAAAGCGCGCGCGCACAAGGCGCGAGAAAGCGCGTGATTGTCGCATGTGTTGTATGGTGGGTATGATGCAAAGTGGCGCAGTCCAGGAGCGATCCAATCCATGTCCAGACCAAGTCCTGCTAGGCGCGCTAAATATTAGATGCTAAAGGTTTGAACATTGTGAGTAAAACTATATGTGAAAATATGAAGGGAAAATGGTAGACTTTGCGGATGTCCTATCCGACTTGTCTTCTTCGTGCAGCTGTCAACATCTACACCTTCCTATGAGCAAGGCGCGGGAAGCGCGCATGTGTGCGCGCGCGAGGCGTATGGGCGCGTGAATATTGCGCGCGTATGTGCGTGTGAGCGTGGGAAGACTGCGCGCATATGTGCGCGTTCTAAGGTAAAAAGGGGCATGGTGCCGCGTCATGCGTGCAAAGAGAAAATAATACTATTGAGCTAGGCGGGCACGATCTATGGTTGTTTTTCTTCTATGTTCTTCTAGGCAATCCCTATATGCATATATATCAGTGTGTTATTAGTCTTTTGGACAGTGTTATAATGAGAGAAAATGAAATGAAAGAGCGCTGGACGAAACCCAGGGTAAAACAAACAATATCCTATGAAACAGTGTTGGTATATGTTCCTCCTTTGATGCGCGGCTGAGGCGCTTGATCCTCCTCCTTGAGCGCGTGCGAGTGCGCGTGGCTAGCGCGCTTCGCGTCTCTTGCGAGCTAACGCTTGACCCAAGGTAGGGTTGGAATGCGCAAGGCAGTTGGCGCGCTTGGGGGGGCTTGTAACTGGCAGAATGAATTCCTGCACAACGCGCTGCAGGTTGAAGGCGCGCCAATGGGAGGCGCAGCAAGGGGTGTAGAGGCGCCCTACAAGCTGATAGGATGCGCGCGATGTGCGCGCCTTGGCGCAATTTCGCGCGAATTTGATTATATTGGCCGAACACGCGAGGAACGGCCATTTCTCTGCAAATTCATTAGCGAGAGACATGTATAGTGAAGAATTAGGCGCAAATGTTGCGCCAATGGGCTGTAAGGGTGGTATATCAAGGCGCAATAGGCGCATAGGTGAAGGAGAATAGTGCGCATCAAGGCGCGCAGGAACGAAATTGACATGGTAAGCAAAAGTGCGAAGAATGCGAATAAATGTGCGAAGTGCGAAGTTAAAGGTGATGATAGGGGGGTTAGGCGCATATGTATGTGTCAGGCGCGCGCCTATGTCGCGCCTGGATGTCTGATTGGAATATACCTTGTGTTGAATGACAGAAATGAAATTTAAAAGGGGAGAAGCGATAGAAATGCGGTAGCGTGAAAACTCTGCTAAATTTATGAGTGCACGAGGCACGGGAACGCGCGCGCATATTGCGCGATGCGCGTGATCATGGCGCGTGAACAAGGGGTGGTGAGAAGATGAAATTAAAGTGTTTGGAATCATCATATAGCTCCTTAAGAGCTTCAAACGTGAAAAGGACAAAAAGCGCGAAACAAGATGAGGGTAAATATACACTGCCTCTAGGCGCGCGCATTGCGCGTCCTTAGGCGCAATATGGTGCGCCTGAGACGCGCCAGGGTCGCCTGAGACATGCTCTGCTTGATGGTTAGGTGGTGTGATGCATGGATGTTTTACCGGCGCGCGGTAGTCACTAGAAGCAAAGAGCGCGATGTGCGCGTGATCGTTAGTGACAAATGGAATTACCAGAGACAAACTCTGGTTGATGCAAGATGCGACTTGAGCCTCCGGTGTGGCAGAAGGCTCCTCTATAGGCGCGCTAAGGCGCGATAGATATTTAGGGTCATCCCTGACCTCTAATGATGCGAGCAGTGATGGTGATGGTGCGATTGGCGAGGTTTCTTCCTTAAGCGATGCGATAGCGAGGGGCGAGCGTGTTTCTAGCGGTGCATTAGTGTGCAATAGATGTTTAGAGTCATCCCTGACTGCTGGCGAGGTGATAGCAATAGGCGCGCGTGATGCGATAGCGATAGACACGCGCGATGCGATAGCAATAGGCGCGCGTGTTTCAACTGGCGCGTTAGTGTGCAATAGATGATTAGAGTCATCCCTGACTTCTGATGCGATTGATGGTGATGGAGATGATGCGGATTGTGAAGGAGATGATGCTGCTGAGGATGATAGTGAAGAGGCGCCTGCAGCGCGCTTTGCGAGCGCGCGTTCGAGTTCGTGATCTAAAGTAATGCAGTCTGATATAGCTTTGCATGCTGGCGCAGTTGATGCTTGAGGTGCGCGTGAATCGCGCGTAGGCGCGGGAAAGGCGCGCGCGCGAGGCACATGAATAGGAACTGGTGGCTTTCTGTCAAGTACAACATCTGAGGGTGCGCGATAGAAGAGTCCAGCTGTTGCATTAGTGCTAATGGTCGTATCCTGCGTTGCGCGACGCGCGTGGTAGCGATCTTTGTACTTAGCTACCTTAGCTTGCACTGGTGTGCTTGGCGCTACCACAGGTGCGCTAACTGGTGCGCTTACTGGTGCGCTTGGCGCGGGAAAAGCGCGCGCAGGTAATAGGAACTGCGCAGCTGCGAAGATGTCCATGAATGGGTATGGGTCGTATGGATGGTGGTCAGGGAACTTGATCATAAGGCGCAAGCGAATTTGCGCCTGAGCATCGCTAGGGATTCCTTCCATGAATAGGTGGTCGCGTTCGGCCTTTCCAATACGGTCTTCATCCATGAGTGGCTGCATAACCTTCCTGAATGCGCGCAGGTAATTGCTGAGTTCTGTGCAAGAGGTCATTGGTTTGTTAGCGTATTCGCGCGCGATAGCGCGCAAGTCCGCGAGCGCGTAGCGTCTTTTACCATCCCATCCAGGATACATTACCTTCACCTCATCTAAGAAGGCGTCGTAATCGCTTACTTGCGCCTCGGGCATTCCGCCCCATAGTTCTCGATCGTCGCGCTCAAGGTAGCGGATAATACCTTTGATGCGGTCGAGTCCTTGGAGTCCTGCTTCATCAGCAAGCTGCTCATAGGTGTCAATAAACTCGGCGAGGTTGTCTGTAGTGCCATCGAACTTGGGCGCGTTTGCTGTGCCGCGGATGGGCATTCTGAAGGGCATTGAAGCGCGTGAAAGGTGCGCGCGCAAGGCGCACAGGGGTGGGAAAGCGCGAGAATGCGTGACTAGAAATTGGTTAGCTTTTGAATATGCAAAGAGATTGACCTTTATGCGTTAAATAGTGTGAAGTGCGAGAAAGGTGCGCGCGCGAGGCGCACAGGCGTGGGAATATTGCGCGCGCGCAAGGCGCGAGAATGCGTGACTAGAAAATGATTAGCTTTTGAAATGCAAAGATATTGACCTGTATGCGCGAAATGCGCGGAACTAGATCTTGCTGACTGCTCCCCTCGCGGTGGGCTCCAGTTGTAGAAACAACAATACAATGAGGAACAAGGATGCTCCTAACTGTATCTATAAAATGTTGTGAGGTCGCGCGTTACCTAGTCTGCTATTCTTGAGGAGACAAGTGCGTTCGACCCTAGGGGAAGCGAGTGCTGCGAAGATCTAGAGGTACGCGCTTCAGCGAAGCGTGAGAAAGCGCAAGTGCGCGCAAGGTACGAAGGCGCGGGAACGCGCGCGCGTATTAGCGCGAAGCGCGGGAAAGCGCGCGCGCGTAAGCGGAAATAAAAGAGACTAAGCTTAAGTGATGATATAAAGCAATATAAGAAAAGATAGATGCAAAGTGTAGACCAATAGACTTCTACTATGTACTGCTAAGTAAATAGTGGGTGATAACTAGTAAGTTCAAGGGAAAAGTAAGGTAAGTGTAGTATGTACTGCTGGCGCTTATATAGCGCGCCTAAGCGCGGTCATGCGGAGCCGAAGCGCTACCGAGTAGGTATGTAAGGATATATATGAGTGAGAAACTATGATAAAAATAAAGGTGGAACTATGCTAATAAAGGAAATGGAAATATACGTACTAGGAAGCTTGGTGGACAGTGGATGGATGCATCTGAATGGCTGGCGCTATAGGGCGCGCAAGCGCAGGAACGCACGCGCGCGTATACATTGCGAAGCGCGGGAATGGTGCGCGCATGGCGCGCGTTGCATGGGAAAGCTGCGCGTCATATAGAGATAGCTGTGGGTAGCGCACAGAATGACGATGCGAGTTTGTGCTGTATACTTCCTAGTGAAACCTGCCATATCACACCATGAGACACACGAGTCTCTACACCGCCATCAATGTAAGCAGCCCTGTAGGATTCTTGTCAGGTCTTCTCGTTCCGTGCACATTTTATCATATACATACTTCCAAGCGCCATCGCTTAACTTGGTCTTTGCTACCACTGTCAGGTGCGCGACATGGGTTATAAATGCGAGAGCCTCCCCTCGGAACCCATGAGTAGGCCAGCTTGGAGAGGTCAGAAGATATCAAAGCGCTCAGCGAGCAAGGGTAGGTCTTCTTTCTTCAAACAAGCTCAATGGAATGCCTTGATGCGAATGCGAATGTGAGAAAGACGTATGTGAAGGTGAATTTCAATGCTTATATTTGTATCTATACCGTGGTTGACCCAGCGCGTACTTCGCCTGCTGCAATTCGGTTGATAAGAGACTCATGGAGTCTTCTTATTGGTCAAAGGCCGAGTGGTTCCAGAGAAGGAGAGCGACGACCGCTTGCCATGCTCGAGAGGACAAGGCGCTCACCAGACGCATGGTGGGCTACGAAGCTACGGGCACAAGCTCGTTTTGGAACTGGTCAACCATGGCTTCCATGCCCTGATTGAGGATATCGAGGTCTGTCTCATTGGAGAGCTTGAGAAGATCTGCAATAGCAATCATCGAAATCAATGAGTACCTCAGTGGGGTTGGAAACGAGCAGCGCCTTGCATGACCTTGCCTACTTGCAGAGATACGGTGTCCCTGACTAAAGATCCCAAGTTAGTTTGGACACAGTATAAAGGAAGAGGAAAATATCTAACGCACCAGAATCACGGGCAACAACCAGCTCCATGATGGCTAGCACAGCTTGCGCGCGTACCGGGAGTTCGCAACCTTCCAGGGCCAACGCCACAGCGCAGGAGTGATTGTTCAAGTGCTATGAAGGATCGACGTCAGCATGAAAACAACGCTTATAGTAGACATGCCTGCCTCATCAGTAGCTTGTGACATGATACCGATCATCGTAAGGGCGCCGAAGCGCTAGGCCGGTGTGGGATTTCTATTTCATATTCTTGTGAGTCAATGGACATAGTAGATGCGACAGGGACGCATGAGCACAATACAGCGTTGATGAACTGGAGCATCGGAAGGAAGGTCGTTTTTGTGCGATCGCTGGTGAGGGAGAAGTGGTGTCACTCACAGGGGACAAGAAGGTCTCGTGCTCGTCTTTGGCATGTGAGATACTGACGCAAATAACAGGAGAGAGACCAGGTAGACTCACCGACACTAGCACCAACACATTCTACGGGATCTGCCTCCCGCATGGCTTATTTGGACGTGTCGAAAGTGAGCTGGGAAAATGCAAAGTCAGCCACGAGGCTGTCAAGACTCAACATGGGTCTTCAGGAGCATTCACATTGACTTTTGGCTTGATACTGCGAATAGAGGCGTCAGCATGATCCGAGGGATTGAAGGCCGATGTGAACCATTCGGCGAAAAGCTGGAAGATTTGGTATTGGCATTTCTTGCCCAGCCATGCCTGCCCTTAAACGTATGCCAAGCCCGACTTGGTGAAGGTACACCTTGAAGATTTCTGGAGCGAAGATAGGATAGTCATGAAATGCTGTGCAAATACATCGTACACCATACCCGTTCAGCATCGATGATGGGAGTGGAGAGGGATCGCCAAAACTATAATACTATTAGAAATGCACAGAATATTTGAAGAAAATATGCACCGATGGAACAGTCAACCGAGAATTCCATATGCCCACTTCTTGGTCTTCCACCATCCCAATCTTGAAATGGCGAGGACGCGATGTTCGTTCATATGCTGAGGTAGGCATGGTCTGGATCTGCAGTGAGTGGCCGTGCGCTCTGCTATAGCATCATTTTTCATATAAGGAACAAGGACCCAAGGCGCCCAACACATTCACGTTAAAGCATCCGACTGAGCTGCAGCAGGTGGATAAACCATCAGAATGAAGCAACGTGTACTGCTCTGGCCAGACCTTTGGCTAGAATCGGAGACGATCAGCGTTGTGATTCATACGTAAATTCAATACTTGCAGAGGACATTGTAACCACACATTCAAAATGCTGTGCCGAAAAGTTCAGCGTCTATTCGCAGAAGTGTAACTGAGTCATCTCTATTTAGTAACTAAATCACATGCCACAAATGGCTACCAAGGCGCCACTAACTTACCATGGTACTGGTGAAAAAGCTGGATTTTATAACTCATTATTCATTCCATAGGTGCAGACTTGCGGTGACCCCTCCTGGTCGGTGAACCCCATTACAGATGTTCAAGTGCGACCATCGTATGTACAGGACTTACTTGTTCATTCTTTCCCTATCTGCCTAATCATTGGTTGCGGCCTTCAAAGTCCGTGCACACCACCTACGGCTCTTTCAGGCACGTCTTAAATTGCCATCTATGGTCTGAGTCAATGTTGAATGTTCCTCTTGCGCAGGGTTAAGGAGTGCGTTTTGGTGATTTTTTTTTTCCTACTGTATTTTCAGCTTCATGCATCCATCTGTAGCGCAAGTTGGCAACAATGCTGCAGCAGTCGTTCCCAAAACTGACGAGGGCTCGTTACGTGGAGAGGACCACCAGTATTGAATGTTCTCCAGGACTCGACCATTGCGTCGAAGAATGGAAAGGACAAACAGTCTCATTTCTGAGGGCGTGCAGAACGAGTCGCAGGGAACGCGATGACGAGTTGCCCGAAGCAGTGGCTTGGGTATACGACCTGGTGTCTGCATCGACACATGCCACGAGACCGGCCATAACTTGCAGTTGGAACGTGACCTTGCTCGCAAGGTGAATTGGTCGAGCGTTCGAGAGCGTTCGGTCTTCCCGGATACCATACCCTCACTTGGAATAATGTTTGTTGCCCGGGTCCACATCGATTATAGGCGATGACCTCTCCATCATAATCACCACTCACTTATTATTTTACCATCTCACGATGTCATCAATGCCCCAACCATACTGCTATGCCCTTCCATCTTCTTCAACACAATGCCTGTCTCCAAGTCCCAAAGATGAAGTGTCTTGTCGTGTGAGTCAGTAATCATTCGTCGTTTATCGGGGAACACTGCGACTGTGATTATGCCCTCCTCGTGGTCTTCAAAAGTTCGAATGGGTATGGTGCTTGGAATGAGCTGTGACATTTTACTGGAGGTTGATGATGTTGTGCACGGCCGAGGGATTGTGGCGTCTTTCTCTAAGTTACAGAGGTGCGTGTATTGTGCGCTTTTATGTTGCTTCACCACGCTAACCATCCTCGTTTCCATAGACGCCCAAGACATGAGGCAGTTGGCCATCACCATTTCAGCAAGAATGCTCCCAATTGATCATAAGCGACTGCACTGGCTACATGCGTCCGATATCTGTCTTCACGGTTTCAAGCTTTACCGAGACATCAAGCGAGTATCACACCTCTCCAACAAACTTTCAAGCTCAAGTCTTATATCTCATGACCGCTCACCTTGCGGCTCGCTGTAGACTAGTATAAAGTATCTGCGTATCTATGGTGCGTCTTGTAACTTGTTGCAGTCTCACCCTCTAAGGATTTGGAACCAGGGACCCTTAGACTAGATGGGTGACGCGGACAAGATTACTATTACATCCATCAGCGAGGATGAACCGCTCGTGGGCAGAAGGGAGTTGTGGAGCTATTATCGCGAGTTCCGGTCCATATGTATCGACCCTTGTCAAAGCTGAACACCAGCGTGCTATAATGGTGACAATGTGAGTCGGCCAAATATTATCAGGCCCACTTTGCTTATCTATGTTTCACACAACCAGGGTGTTTATTCTCTGGGCTATACACAAACTCTGTTCTAGGGGCTTGCAACAGCAGCGGGATATGATCCTGTCGCAGGCCTCAACTGCTTCTGGGCAATATGTATTTCCCTGGGGTAGCAGCACAAAGTCAGTTTCTAGTGTGGTCCTGATCGCGAATGACATCAGTTTCGCCATAATGTCAGCCATGTTTACTACCATCAGCTCTGTTACTGACCATGACGCGTTCGGATGGTACTTGCTGTCGCGGTGATATGCTGAGCTGCATGATATGGCTGTATGGCGCTTACATGTGCATTTCTGAATGCACGCCAGTTGAGAGAAAAATATGAAAGCAGCGAGATTCCTCCTGAAGTTTATGAGTAGGAAGAATTTACGGAAAAGAATATCAGTAATATCTCTACCATGCATCGTAAGGGTTGTGTCATTGGTCGTCGGAAGCTAACGATCTTTCGATACAAGTTCATAGTATATAACCATCTTATTGCTGAACTTAGCGCTTTTGCTGCTCCTGGTGCTGTAAGTTTGTTGTCGATCAAGTCTTTGAAGTGTTTGTATTGATTGACACGTAGTCTCACCATGTACTGGGCAGTACTACTTGGTATCCGGTAGTATGAGTATATTGTAGCTTGTCTCTAGTAGGCTTCTCCTAAGAACCCAGGTCAGGCAGGCCCTAGTTTGCCTGAAGGTGAACACCACATAAGGATTGGATGGAAGGAGGTGAGTATTTGGCAAAATCTTCCTTAGAAATCGACTCACACGAACATCAGGTCATGGCTGCACTGAAGACATACAAGCATCTTCCCTAGAGCTTTGCATATCTCTTCTCACACACAGATGTACTGTTCGGTTGTCTGCCTCTTGAGCCACACCTGGCACTTTCTTGGACGGGCTGAACACCACCAGAACTCTCGATACCATTTGCCAGAACAGCAAGTTCGATCTCGTTCCTGCAAAATACCCCCTTGGGCTTGTCACAGGCTACTACCTCGACTATGAGTATGAAGAAGATGGTATGTAGCGCTTGTATTTCACGTACTTGTTTATGTGACCATCAACGGTATTGACTCGTGGTGACTAATGTTGTCTTTATTTTGATTTTGCAGTGGGGTATGATTGGAATACGGACAGAAAACTTTGAGTCGGTGTTGCTCAACGTGTTTCTTCGACCCATGATCCCTCTAACATGTACAGTACACGAGGTTCCATATCCTTCTCAGGACGTACAACATTGCGTTCAACATTTTCCAGGTGCCTTACTACGCGTTCTCCAAGACCATGATGGCTGAGCCCGGTTCTGATAACATGGTGTGGATTTTGGCTTTTTCATACTTCCCATCCCATTGCGTCCGGCTTGCGTCGACCAGTTCTTCGGTCTCCTTGGTTTATCCAACTGCGCTTTTTCTATGGTAGGACCCGATGTCATATAGGTCATCATCAACAAGACGGGAAGGGGTTTCCGTCGCGCTGTGTATGGCTACTTCGGTGATCTGGTTTGGCGTTGAGGTGACGAAGGGGCACAGGGATGGGCGGCTGATTAGGGCAGGCGCATACAACAGAACAATCATTCTATGTTATAGTACTCCAGGGTGAGTCAACATCGCGAGATTTCAATTCAGTGCTCTGCTTCTTTTAAGCCGTCCGAACTAAAATAAGACTCTGCGGATTCTCGTCAGTCGTAATGTGAACACATTGACATGATGTCTCCAAGTTCTGGAGTAGCAATGAATCCGTCGTATCTCCAAAAGTTATCTGATACTGACTTGCATTTTTTTTGCAACAACTCCATGAAATGAAGCGGACGTCGCCTATGATAGTAGTGAATGAAAGAAGAGCAAATAGGAAACGCAAAGTATCAAACGTGCGGCGACACAGCATGACGTGATGGACACAACTGCGCCCGAGCCAGCAGTATCTGGTGCTTAATTATTGTAGACTCTTTTTCTCCTATCTATATCAGTACCAATACTGTTTATATAATGGCGCCTACTCGCCCAGTCCCTGACTCCATTTTGCACGATGCTTGAGAGAAACGCGTACACTTCATCCATCTTTGAAAGGAGCTGGCTGATTGAGTCGTCCCGAGTTGCTTGTGGATGTCATTGCAGTCAGCCGTGCATCAGAAACATCAGGTATGGTATAGATAAATACCTTGGACACAACACAACCGGCAGGACGCCCCATGCTGCCTTGGCATATGTATAGATCTTTGCTGCAAGATAATTGATGCAATCGCTGCCTGATGAAATTCCATACCTCTGCTATCGTATCAACGAAGGAATTGAACTCGGAAAGTTTTCTGCGCAATGGGGTGATGTAGTCGACCACAGCTACTGGGTCATTCTGCACCATTGATTCCCGATGCCGCAGCTGGCACGGGCCTGAACGCGAATTTTGAGCCAGAAATGGCCTCTCTAGAATCCCACGAGCTTCATTTGCCTTGTCCAAAATGGGTTTGTCAGTTACCCTGGTTGTGGAGTCCTGATCATAACATATTGTCTATTATGGATAGAAAAAAGAATAACTTTATGGGACGTACCTTCAATTCGGCACCATGGGCTGTCTGACCTTCGTGCATCGACTGGTCTGTTGTGGGAAGCTTGTCGGACTGTTGTTGACCATGTTGATCTGAGGCGGGGTCTTGCATGGAGATTAATGTTCGGAAGCTCATTGACTACCTCTTCTGGTACCATGAGCTGCCCAGAGTCCTGCTTCGGACATTTGTTAAGGATATTGCAATATGCATTCACTGAAGGTGATACCCACCTGTTTTATGTCTGCCAAGGGAGAAACGAGTTGGGAGGGGTTGGGGCGTCTAGCACGTCGAGCAAAAAGATTTTTTGTCTTGCTGCGAAGTGAGGCGAAACATCTTCCGTGGGATTGACCAGGTGGTGGTGGGAGACAAAAGATTGCAGAGATATCAGATTATGTGTGAAGATGAAGCAATAGGAACAAGCGAACCCGGTGGGCTTCTGGATGAGTTTTTCTGAAACACATGAAACACTTCTTGCGGCAGGAGTTATCTTGGGCCATGGCCCATTTCTCAACTTGAATGGGCAATAGGATAACCTACAGGGGCCCACATAAACCTGGGACCAGAGTAGTATTTGTGGGCTGGCTGGTACGTACTCTAGTAGGTTATGAGCGGTACAGTTCCACAAATTCAAGCAAATAAGAAAACGGTTGACACGCCTGTAGGTTCCACATAAACCCTGTGATTAAAGTTGGTTGATAGTCGTGTAACCTGCATCCAGCAATCGGTTATCTGGGCGATGCAAAGCGAAACACGACAAAGACGCACAACTTGAAGTTGTCATCAGATTGGACAAGAGCGATGATATCATCAGTGAATTCATGAGTTCGTGATATGGTAACTGTGATAGTTATAGTAGAAGTTGCTTCTGCCAAATATTGTTATCTATAGCTGATAAATTTGACTTGTCAATACGTACTATTCTCCACAGCCCACCGGGCATCCCAGGACCTCCATCAGTTGACTGCTGTGGAAAAGTAAGCATGAGAGGGAAGTCAACAGAAAGTGGACCATCTATGCGATTATCCTGAATGTTGTTTGTCTCTCACAATGAATTGTTTAAGAGCTGTGCGCTTAAGACCATGTTGTGCATTACATTTACAAACAAGAGTCACCTGAACGTGATATGCATGATAAGCCCAAAGCGCGCAAGCCTAGAATATGAAATCAACAGACAATTTTTTGTATTTCATTCGAAAGGCAAAGAATCCACAAAGACGAAGGACACCTGCATGGAGAGGTTGCCCTGACATGCCTCATAGCATTTAATAAAAGTAAGTCGGGGTCTCAAAGTGAGCCTGAGTGAAAGACGTAAAAGTACCATCTAGAGAAACAGTAATATGCAGAGGTTGCCAAGTAATAGTGACGACGCGGCGGCCCGAGCGACATCTTCAACACATTTGATGGTGGGTTGCGAGAGCAGACTCCAACCACCAGCTGTGGCAAATACAGCAGGATATTCATCCGGGTAGTACAAGGGATCATAGAAGGATGGATAAGATGGTATAGAGACACAAGGATTCGTGGAAGGCCATTTGCACAAAAAGGGCGGCATACTTGAAAGAACGCACAACACTGGTCATGCAAGTCAAAATCCGCAAGATAGAAAGTGAGCGAGGGAGAAAACTCAACTGACGCAGCAAGAACAAGGGCGCTTGTGGCAGGCGAGAGACGAGATATCAAGATAGGTTGGAGACGCTGAGAGTCTTCCACACTTTGGGAAGAATTCATATATTGCGAAGCCACACTGCATGAATGTCACTGCCATTGAGCTTGACATGGTCCGGACAGACAATATGCTACCCCAGGGAAATACATATTGCCCAGAAGCAGTTGAGGCCTGCGACAGGATCATATCCCGCTGCTGTTGCAAGCCCCTAGAACAGAGTTTGTGTATAGCCCAGAGAATAAACACCCTGGTTGTGTGAAACATAGATAAGCAAAGTGGGCCTGATAATATTTGGCCGACTCACATTGTCACCATTATAGCACGCTGGTGTTCAGCTTTGACAAGGGTCGATACATATGGACCGGAACTCGCGATAATAGCTCCACAACTCCCTTCTGCCCACGAGCGGTTCATCCTCGCTGATGGATGTAATAGTAATCTTGTCCGCGTCACCCATCTAGTCTAAGGGTCCCTGGTTCCAAATCCTTAGAGGGTGAGACTGCAACAAGTTACAAGACGCACCATAGATACGCAGATACTTTATACTAGTCTACAGCGAGCCGCAAGGTGAGCGGTCATGAGATATAAGACTTGAGCTTGAAAGTTTGTTGGAGAGGTGTGATACTCGCTTGATGTCTCGGTAAAGCTTGAAACCGTGAAGACAGATATCGGACGCATGTAGCCAGTGCAGTCGCTTATGATCAATTGGGAGCATTCTTGCTGAAATGGTGATGGCCAACTGCCTCATGTCTTGGGCGTCTATGGAAACGAGGATGGTTAGCGTGGTGAAGCAACATAAAAGCGCACAATACACGCACCTCTGTAACTTAGAGAAAGACGCCACAATCCCTCGGCCGTGCACAACATCATCAACCTCCAGTAAAATGTCACAGCTCATTCCAAGCACCATACCCATTCGAACTTTTGAAGACCACGAGGAGGGCATAATCACAGTCGCAGTGTTCCCCGATAAACGACGAATGATTACTGACTCACACGACAAGACACTTCATCTTTGGGACTTGGAGACAGGCATTGTGTTGAAGAAGATGGAAGGGCATAGCAGTATGGTTGGGGCATTGATGACATCGTGAGATGGTAAAATAATAAGTGAGTGGTGATTATGATGGAGAGGTCATCGCCTATAATCGATGTGGACCCGGGCAACAAACATTATTCCAAGTGAGGGTATGGTATCCGGGAAGACCGAACGCTCTCGAACGCTCGACCAATTCACCTTGCGAGCAAGGTCACGTTCCAACTGCAAGTTATGGCCGGTCTCGTGGCATGTGTCGATGCAGACACCAGGTCGTATACCCAAGCCACTGCTTCGGGCAACTCGTCATCGCGTTCCCTGCGACTCGTTCTGCACGCCCTCAGAAATGAGACTGTTTGTCCTTTCCATTCTTCGACGCAATGGTCGAGTCCTGGAGAACATTCAATACTGGTGGTCCTCTCCACGTAACGAGCCCTCGTCAGTTTTGGGAACGACTGCTGCAGCATTGTTGCCAACTTGCGCTACAGATGGATGCATGAAGCTGAAAATACAGTAGGAAAAAAAAAATCACCAAAACGCACTCCTTAACCCTGCGCAAGAGGAACATTCAACATTGACTCAGACCATAGATGGCAATTTAAGACGTGCCTGAAAGAGCCGTAGGTGGTGTGCACGGACTTTGAAGGCCGCAACCAATGATTAGGCAGATAGGGAAAGAATGAACAAGTAAGTCCTGTACATACGATGGTCGCACTTGAACATCTGTAATGGGGTTCACCGACCAGGAGGGGTCACCGCAAGTCTGCACCTATGGAATGAATAATGAGTTATAAAATCCAGCTTTTTCACCAGTACCATGGTAAGTTAGTGGCGCCTTGGTAGCCATTTGTGGCATGTGATTTAGTTACTAAATAGAGATGACTCAGTTACACTTCTGCGAATAGACGCTGAACTTTTCGGCACAGCATTTTGAATGTGTGGTTACAATGTCCTCTGCAAGTATTGAATTTACGTATGAATCACAACGCTGATCGTCTCCGATTCTAGCCAAAGGTCTGGCCAGAGCAGTACACGTTGCTTCATTCTGATGGTTTATCCACCTGCTGCAGCTCAGTCGGATGCTTTAACGTGAATGTGTTGGGCGCCTTGGGTCCTTGTTCCTTATATGAAAAATGATGCTATAGCAGAGCGCACGGCCACTCACTGCAGATCCAGACCATGCCTACCTCAGCATATGAACGAACATCGCGTCCTCGCCATTTCAAGATTGGGATGGTGGAAGACCAAGAAGTGGGCATATGGAATTCTCGGTTGACTGTTCCATCGGTGCATATTTTCTTCAAATATTCTGTGCATTTCTAATAGTATTATAGTTTTGGCGATCCCTCTCCACTCCCATCATCGATGCTGAACGGGTATGGTGTACGATGTATTTGCACAGCATTTCATGACTATCCTATCTTCGCTCCAGAAATCTTCAAGGTGTACCTTCACCAAGTCGGGCTTGGCATACGTTTAAGGGCAGGCATGGCTGGGCAAGAAATGCCAATACCAAATCTTCCAGCTTTTCGCCGAATGGTTCACATCGGCCTTCAATCCCTCGGATCATGCTGACGCCTCTATTCGCAGTATCAAGCCAAAAGTCAATGTGAATGCTCCTGAAGACCCATGTTGAGTCTTGACAGCCTCGTGGCTGACTTTGCATTTTCCCAGCTCACTTTCGACACGTCCAAATAAGCCATGCGGGAGGCAGATCCCGTAGAATGTGTTGGTGCTAGTGTCGGTGAGTCTACCTGGTCTCTCTCCTGTTATTTGCGTCAGTATCTCACATGCCAAAGACGAGCACGAGACCTTCTTGTCCCCTGTGAGTGACACCACTTCTCCCTCACCAGCGATCGCACAAAAACGACCTTCCTTCCGATGCTCCAGTTCATCAACGCTGTATTGTGCTCATGCGTCCCTGTCGCATCTACTATGTCCATTGACTCACAAGAATATGAAATAGAAATCCCACACCGGCCTAGCGCTTCGGCGCCCTTACGATGATCGGTATCATGTCACAAGCTACTGATGAGGCAGGCATGTCTACTATAAGCGTTGTTTTCATGCTGACGTCGATCCTTCATAGCACTTGAACAATCACTCCTGCGCTGTGGCGTTGGCCCTGGAAGGTTGCGAACTCCCGGTACGCGCGCAAGCTGTGCTAGCCATCATGGAGCTGGTTGTTGCCCGTGATTCTGGTGCGTTAGATATTTTCCTCTTCCTTTATACTGTGTCCAAACTAACTTGGGATCTTTAGTCAGGGACACCGTATCTCTGCAAGTAGGCAAGGTCATGCAAGGCGCTGCTCGTTTCCAACCCCACTGAGGTACTCATTGATTTCGATGATTGCTATTGCAGATCTTCTCAAGCTCTCCAATGAGACAGACCTCGATATCCTCAATCAGGGCATGGAAGCCATGGTTGACCAGTTCCAAAACGAGCTTGTGCCCGTAGCTTCGTAGCCCACCATGCGTCTGGTGAGCGCCTTGTCCTCTCGAGCATGGCAAGCGGTCGTCGCTCTCCTTCTCTGGAACCACTCGGCCTTTGACCAATAAGAAGACTCCATGAGTCTCTTATCAACCGAATTGCAGCAGGCGAAGTACGCGCTGGGTCAACCACGGTATAGATACAAATATAAGCATTGAAATTCACCTTCACATACGTCTTTCTCACATTCGCATTCGCATCAAGGCATTCCATTGAGCTTGTTTGAAGAAAGAAGACCTACCCTTGCTCGCTGAGCGCTTTGATATCTTCTGACCTCTCCAAGCTGGCCTACTCATGGGTTCCGAGGGGAGGCTCTCGCATTTATAACCCATGTCGCGCACCTGACAGTGGTAGCAAAGACCAAGTTAAGCGATGGCGCTTGGAAGTATGTATATGATAAAATGTGCACGGAACGAGAAGACCTGACAAGAATCCTACAGGGCTGCTTACATTGATGGCGGTCTCGTCCCATCAAAAGCGAGACGCACCAGACCTGAAAGTTTGTGCTGGAAACAACGGAACTACCACCATAGTATGTCCTCAGAAGTCAAACAGTCTCTCATCACTCAATTCACCGCAGATAGATGAAATCCTTCATAACACATCTACCCTAACGTCTGCTCTCCGAAGCTCCTCTGAAGGATATGCCCGAACACTCGACGTAATGACCAAGTTATGATGTGCATAATTCCAAAGCGTCTTTCGGGTGCAAAAAGGTATGTTGTTTCGATTATCGTCGATGATGCCCTACAATGCATCGTGTAGGCTGGTTCCCTTGAGTCCTGAACTCTCAACCCCATCCTGTTCAGATGCGTCTCAGGTCGTTCGTCAGAGGTTCTACGATTCGGAAGATCTGGAAGTGTGGTTTGGCAGACCCTCGTTTCACTGACGCAAACTACCAAGGCAAAAAGACAGTGTCCTTGTGGTTCATAAATCGTCGGTTTCTGCCTTTTCCCGTATCGTTATCTTGCAAAATCTGACATTGAACGAAGAAGCCATCATCAAGCGAATATCAGATGCCATTCAGCAGAAGCTCGTGGGTATTCGAGTATCAGATACATGGATATATGCATGCACTCGACGTCTGTATTTCTAAATGCATTCATTGACGGACGCTGCAGCCTCACGGAAGGAGGGACCTGTGGCTGATTGTTGGGGACCTTTGGGAAGTCACGGTAAGCGTTTGCGCAAATCTCCAGGTAAATCATGTTTGGATCTTGTCCAGTAGCGAACGAGGTGCTTTCTCAGCACAAAGTCCGGACCTCCAGACTTGACTGAAATCGTCAAGAAACATGCCTTTGTCGGCGTGATTGACCTCTCGAGGCGTCTCGCTTTGATTCAACGCAACAAGAACGTTCACATGGTCAATCGTGCATTACTGGTCTCCTTCGAAGGCTTGTGTTGATGTAGTAATCACAGAGAGGAAATGTTTTATCAGCTTGCGTTGTAGCAATTTGGAGACTGCAACCAACTCAATCTTGACCCTTCTCCATCTCTTTGAATGCTTGTCAAGTTTGCAATCGATGTGGAGGAATACGCTGCGCGCAGTGGCATGAGCAACGACGAGATCATCGATGTATGATCAATCATCAGCACTCTGGCCAGATCTGCTCGACATTCTTTCACAGCGAATAGTGAAGACCTTGATGGATCGCCGAGAGATGCTGCTTGAGTATTTTTCATTGGACATTTCATTTCAGAGACTGGCGATCTTAAGACGCTTCCGCACCCATTACGCGAGTACACCCCTAAGCTTGACAAGCTGCCCATGTTCCTCGTGGGTCTTTGATCTCAGGTACGTTCAACGCCACATTGTCATTCCACAGGTATTAAGTTGTCTCAGGTGCTCTAGGAATACGATCCATAGCGCTTGAGTTCTTTTTTGCGCGAGCTAGCGTGATTCTACTCCCTAGCCCCACTGTCCGTCGTCTCAGCGGCTGCCTCTGACGAAGATGGAGAAGAAAAGCTGAAATCTGAAGCATGGCATATTCAAATCATCCTATTTCGCGCGATGCGCTGTAGGGATTCATTTCTGGCTGGGCTTGTAGAGACTGTTTTTACCTTACCTTATGTTGGCACTTTTGTAGCTTACATAATCAAGCAATCTTTTCACCAGTTACCAGTATGAGTCTGAGTGCTCAGCAGTTTTCTATGATATTTCCTCTCCTCTGAGCCTTAAGCCTAGTCCAGAAACCCTTTAGGGTCGAATAGCAGCTAGGTTCTGCAAGACCCAACATATTGTTCAGACTCACCATCTGAATTGTTGTACCTTCAGCGCAAGTACCTGGCAGCTCCCAAATTCTCATTGGACAGCAACATCGCGCAGGTGGCAAGCTTGCCAGATCTTTACCGGGTCTTCGAATGCTGTTAGACTGCAATTTCTATTCGCAAATGCTGCCATAATGTATGTAGACTACAATGATTATATGATGCATCGATAACGACGAGAGTGCGGTGAAGATAAGTAATGTAATAAAAGCCCTTGCCATTGGGAGCGGAACGATCAGCCACATTAGAGAGTAGTTAAGTCTCGTGTTGAAAGCCGTTCAGCAGAGTCTGACTCGGCTTGTGGGTCATTCGCAGCCACAGCTCTTTGCATGAGGATGTATCGCTGCTTTGCTGATTCGGACTGAATACCCTGGCACCATTCTTCAGAAAAGCCTGTAAAGAGTCGCATACGCGTACTACGATGGAATGAATCATTCCTAAAATTAGCAGTACCAGTGTGCACGTACCTAGGTAATTTAACAGTCAGCCAAAGTCCGCCACTTGGCTGTGTTTTTGCCACCGGATTGCAGATATACCCGCCGTAGTGCCGTACTACACATCAGTGACCTTCTGGAAATAATTTACCTTTGCATATTATGAACCCGCCGTTTGTATTACTTCACCACGTCACGCAGAGTCGCAGCCACACTCCTCTTCAGCACTTCAAAGCTCCAGGTGATGTCGATTGGCAAAGGCTCTCAAATTTGACATTCCCATCCCCGGCCAGAGGACCTTCCTCTGTGAAGTCCCAGGACACAAGAAAGAAGTCATACCAACTTCCCCGGCCAGAGGACCCTCCTCCGCGAAGTCCCAGGACACAAGAAAGAAGTCCTCACTGACTTCCTTGTCAGACTCTACTCTTGTCTATGTAGATCTCCACTTCGCTTACCTTGGGATCAACCCTTTGGTTGACCAGACTGCTGAGAGCATATGCGGTCCAAAGTGGGCTGTCGCACGAGACTAGACAGTCTACAAGGATGCTCCAGCTGCATCTACCACTGGCTCAAAGGTGAACACTGCTCATGGCCCACCCATGGCCTGGCCTGCTCCATTTGGGAGAGATCTCACAAAGGAAGGAGGTGTGCGCTCCGTCGATCATCATTATATTATACTCATTTTACATAACATACATTCAAATACACACATTCAAAATGCTGTGCCTAAAAGTTCAGCCTATTCGCAGAAGTGCAACTGAGTCATCTCTATTTAGTAACTAAATCACAACCCGCAAATGGCTACCAAGGCGCCACTAACTTACCATGTACTGGCGAAAAAGCTGGATTTTATAACTCATTATTCATTCCATAGGTGCAGACTTGTCACTTGCGGTCCTTCCAGTCGGAGAACCCCGTTACAGATGTTCAAGTGCGACCATCGTATGTACAGGACTTACTTGTCCATTCTTTCCCTATACCACTTGGAGAGAATGTTACCCATAGATTTCCAGTCTCGACCGCCCACTGCCTAATCATCGGTTGCGGCCTCGCCGACATATTGTATCTCAGGTGCCAACATCGATACCTTGTCGGCTCATCCGAAGCCGTCCAATCAAGGTAAATCAGAAGCACAAAAAAAGATCAATAGGATGGCATATTGGGACTCCGATGCTTGTTCCGTGAAATTTTGCGATGAGGAAGGGACGTCGTTGGCGGCGTACTTCGCCAAGCAGATTGTGCGTAGATCTGCAAGCCAACGTAGAGTGGGCAAAGTAAGCGTCTTTTTTGTTCGCCAACCCTCGTACTTATACATTTTCATTTAGCAGGCACCAATCTATCGTAGTCGCTCCAATATACCGTCTGTGCTTGATCGTACAGCAGCAGATGTTGAAGCGGCTGCTGCTGGGACAAACAGTCTCATTTCTGAGGGTGTGCGAACGAGTTGCAGGGAAAGCGATGACAAGTTGCCCGAAGCAGTGGCTCATCGCACTCGTGTATCGACGTTGACGCGGACACCATAATGGTACATTCACCTTACTCTGATCTTCTCATTCACTGTAACATCACTCTTTACAGCAAACACTTGAGATGGAGCACGCATCGCTATCTACGTTGACACGGATGTTGTCATGGTACATTCGCCTTACTCTGAGGACGTTATCATGGTATATTCACCTTACTCTGCTCTTCTCATTCAGTTTAATATCATTCATTACAGGAGAACATGTTTATTGAACAAGCGATGTAAAGCGTCATCGACGAAGGCAACCAAATAAACTGTGAGTCCTACATATGACACAGCCAAGGAGAACTAACGTCTAACTGCACAATAGTCCATATTCTCGTCAGTTTTCTAGTCAGTTTACTGCTCTATACCTCTCCCGGCTCGTCTATATGAATATTGTGTACCACACCTCACACCATATCTGCCCAGTTAGTTTCCACTGTTGACATTCACCCCACTCACCACTTCAATCTCAATTTCTTCTTTCCCTCGTGTTAATCTTCCATACCAATATAATCAACTACTTAGTTTGGTGTTAGTTAGTTAACCAAATGTAGCTACCCTCAGCCTGCTTTGAAGACATCTGAAATCTGAGACTTTGAAGACTTTTGGGACATCAAAGACTTTGGCGACGTCTGAAATCTGGGACTAAGACTTGCAAGACTTTAGGGATAGTACGGCTATTCGACACTTCTAAATATAAATGTTTCATTCAATTCGCTGCCTGTCCTTGATCCATCAATCGATCACTTCTCCTATTTCATACAGATTCTTGAATGTGTTGTATTTGCATGGAAAATCTTGTGCAACTTATATGGTCAAAACAGAAATAGGTTTCAAAGTTCAACACTGTTTTCTCTTCTTGGGCTGGTACATATGTTAGAGGGAATTTCAAGGATTAATATGAGCCAGGAATGAAAGAAAATGGCGGTTGGGATGCGGAGATAATGTCAAAATACTGATTTCTTTGCACATTTGGCATATCTCATAACCCCTGCATTCCGGAGAGTTCAAAACCATTACCAATCAATTCATAGGCCTTAAAAACACTGGGGCCATCATTTTTTGTATTGGTCTTGGGTCATAATTCAGCATGGCAAGATATATAAGATAATAGGGAGAAGGAGAACCTTCTGTATCTCCACAACCTGATTTTTCCTGACAAAATGGGCTTTACCATCGTGTTCAGAAACATCAAGAGCCCCCAGGAAAAATACCCTTGAAGTCCTGGCTAGTCATATGAAGCCTAGAAAAATCAATCTTTGAGGGGGGGCATCAGGCAAACACTCACATCACATTCAATATTGATTTTGAACGCTCTCAAACCATCTCCAATACATTTCTATGCTCATTAAACACTAGGTACATCCTTTTGTACATCAGTAATGACATAAAATCATGCCTCTTGGTGGAGTAGGTAGGGGGAGGGGGTACCATGACTCTGAGTAATGATTTTTTCTGACAAAATCAGCATTGCCATCACATTCAGATTGGTCAATAACCTATGTATCAAGTTCTATTTACAACCAGGCAAGTCAAATGGAGCCTCAAAAAATCAATCATTGGGTGAGGCAGCATAACAGAGTGACACTGCTTACATAAGCACAATGTGGTCAACTTGAACTAAAAATTCACTTTCTTACCTGCTCTATGGTGAGGAAGGTTCCAAGAGATACAAGAAAGGTAAAAAAGCTCTGAGGTTAATCCTCCGAGATGTTGTAGCATGTGTCTACCTATCAAAAAGTGTCAACAACAAGTGCAATGGAGCTGCAGGACACAGCCATTATTTTCACCATTGTGCATTCTATGATATTGACATTGTGAACTTGACTGATATCTTCAAGGACCTCAAAGACCTGTCACATCACAGATGGAGAGGTGGAAAGTGAAGATATAATTGGTAAAATCAGATCAAAAATCCACCAGATATGTGTAATAATCATGTCTTTGGTGGGTTTCCCCAGTGTGGTCTAACTATTTAAAGCTTTGGAAAGCTGAGTGCGATTATGATGGATGTTATGTCAATTTTATGCTAGACACTAGACAAATTTTTATAATGCTATGTCATTCTCGAATCAACTCCCTGATGGATGAGCTTGTTTCTTATTTATATGGTCAAAACAGAAATAGGTTTCAAAGTTCAAAACTTTTTTCTCTTCTTGGGCTGGTACATATGTTAGAGGGATTTCCAAGGATCAATAGGAGCCCAGAATAAAAGAAAACGGCGGTTGGGATGTGGAGATAATGTCGAAATACTGACTTTTCATACCTGTGACCAAACTCAATATTCTCGACCTCCAGAGACCCTGGGATCATCACCAATCGATTTCTATGTCTTAAAAACACTGGGACCATGATTTACAGTATCGGTTTTGAGTTAAAACTAACCATAGTAAGATATATGGGGTAGGAGGTGGGAGGAGGACCTTCTATATCTCAACAACCTGATTTTTCCTGACAAAACGGGCTCTACCATCGTGTCCAGGGACATCAAGAGCACTCCGGAAAAATACTTTTAGAGGACAAGCAAGTCATGGGAAGCCTAGAAAATCGATCTTTGAGGGGATATCAGGAAAGCTCACATATTTTATTCAGGATGGCCTCAAATAGCTCTGATACTATTCTCAATCACTTTATATAATTGGAAAACAGTAGGAACATACATTTATATACTGGTATTTACATAATATCATGATATATGAGTTTGGGGGGGAGGGGGACCCTGCATATCTCAACGGCCTGATTTTTCCTGACAAAACTAGCTTTACCATCGTATTCAGTGGCATCAAGAACCCCCAGGAAACATACTTTTGGAGTCCTAGCAAGACATGGGAAGCCTAGAAAAATCGATCTTTGAGGGGGGTATCAGGCAAACTCGCACATCACATTCCATATTGGTTCAGAACACTATGAAACCATCTCAAATCTATACACCCTATGGCTGTATATTATATATATCATCACACATTTTCCTATTGTTTTTGGTATCCTATCTGATGGAATGGATCACTGGGAGTCCATTGCACTATGTTTCAAGGAATTTGGTGGTCAGGAACATGAGTTATGCTCATTTTACTGAGTATCATCTCATGTTACTGTATTACCATATTAAGATAGTGTAACCCAATTGAAACACCTAGCATTCTTCACAAACAACTATATATGCCCTATAGTATTATTCTAACCATGTTTTTGCAACTACCTTTAGGTTAAGCTTGCGTTATGGTATATCAAAGGCCCTCATTTTGCGCAAATATGCACATGTCATATTTGTGTGAAACATATGTAACCTCATTTTGCGCAAATATGAACATGTCATATTTGTGTGAAACATAAGTGACCTCATTTTGCACAAATATGCACATGTCATATTTGTGTAAAACATAAGTGACCTCATTTTGCACAAATATGCACATGTCATATTTTCACAAAAAATATGTAAAGGCCCTCATTTTGCGCAAATATGCACATGCCATATTTGCGTGAAACATATGTAACCACATCTTGCGCAAATCTAAACTTCTCAAATTTGCGTGAAATGTATGTACCCTCATCTTGCGCAAATATAAACTTTTGATATTTGTGGGAAAAGTATATAACCTTGTATTTGCATGAAAAGTATGTACCCTCATCTTGCGCAAATATAAACTTCTCATATTTGCGTGGAATTACCATATAGTGTGGATACAGTCAAAGTGTCAGTCTGATTTGTATGCAAAGTCAGTCAGGTCAGTCTTGACTATACAATATTGTAGACTTCTGCATATAACTATTCATTCAGAGTGTCCGGACTGACCTGACTGACTTTGGTATACATCTGGTATCAGACATATGGTTCTGATTTCCGACACCAAATATGACTGACCTGAGGCCAGTTATATGTCTGATGTCAGACATGTCAGGTCAACATTGCAGACAGTGTGGTTAAAATTGAAGAAAAGAATTCCTGCGTATGGCAAGAGTTGAACTTATGACTTTTTGAGTGTAGGCTAGGTCATGTGACCTATCAATCTGTTTCAACTTTTACACCCCTCTACCCGTCCCCATCCCTGCTCTAGCCTTATATGGGGCATCTCTGCTTCTTTTCTTTCCCATCTGTCCTATTTTTGGTCAGAAATGAAAATTCCTTACCTCACACCTTCTGTTTTTCTTTTCAGAGGTATGTAACCGTCCCTGCTTCCTTTTATTCCCACGGTGCGCAACCATCCCTGTGTCCCTGCTCTCAAAAGGCAACCGTCCCTGCGTCCCTGTTCAAAAAAGGCAATCGTCCCTGCTCTCAAAAGGAAACCATCCCTCGTGTCAAATGCAAGGTAACCATCATTTCAGTTCATATCAATACTGACCAGCAGTGGGACGCTTGACGTCCCTGCTGGCGTTTGCTGAGCCTTCCCTTTCTCTCGCTGGCTTCAGATAGTATCAGTGAATAATGATTTAAACCATCTCATACATGTTTGTCATAGACTACTGTCTATATATCTAAGAGCGGTAAAATGCGAATTCTAAAAGTGTGAAGCTGAAAGGAGGAATCAGAGCTGAAAAGAAAGGCCAAGTGCGAAAATAAAACAAGAAATGAGAGCTGGACAGATGTAAAATAAGAAAATAACATGAGGAATGACCTTAAAAGACAGTAAGACAGGAAAACACAAGAAGGAACGAGAGCGAGAAAGAGCAAGAGAAGCAAAAATGCGAAATATAAAGTGTGAAACTGAAAGGAGGAATGAGAGCCACTGTGAGAGGCAAAAATGCGAAAATAAAGCAAGAAATGAGAACTAGACAGAGGTAAAATGTGAAAATGACAGGAGGAATGATATCAAAAGGACATACAACGCACAAATAAAAGAAGGAATGTCATAGTACATGCCTTGTTGGTTTTCTTATCTTTTTGTTCATGTCGGTTTGGATGGTACGTGTCCTTGTTGATCTGCTTGTCTCGTTTTTGATGTCATTTTTGATAGTACATGTCTTTGTCGGTCAGCTTGTTTCATTTTCTTTGTGTATTTTGGCAGTACGTGTTGATTTTCATTCACCAGTGTCATTTATGTTGTCATTTTTGGTAGTGCATGTCCTTGCTGGTCTGCCAGCCTCATTTTTTGGTGCATTTTGTGTGGTGCCACTCCCTCTAGCCTATAATGGCAGAGTATTTTTGAGCTGTAATGCTTGGGAGAAGGGGCTACTGAGTTGCGCTTCTGCTGTGTTTTGGTTCTGGAGGATATACTACGTAGTGCTTATCCTATCTATATGTTTCTATGACGGGAGGGATGAGAGGAAGAGAGTGGTAAAAATGTGACACTGAAAAAAGCAGTGAAAGCTGGAGAGAAAAGGCAAAAATGCGACAATGACAGGATGAATGTAAGTGAGAGGAAGACAAAAATGCAGAAATAGCAGGAGGAGGAACAATAATGTAATAGTACTTGCAGCCATGTCATTCGTTTTTTTCACAAGTCCCCTCAGTTTTACTACACTCCAAGCTCATGGCAGATGCAGTACAGGCTGTGGAGGTGACTTCCGCTGGCATTGATGATGTTGCTGTCGATGCCTGGCATGGTTTGCGCCAACTACTTTTGCATCACGGAAAGCAATTTCTTATTCAATGCTAAGTACACTAGCTCGGTCACGACTCACAGGGATATGCACATGATGCATGTACTACAAAAACTCATCTGGCATCCATACCAGCGCCGGGTCGGTTATTCCTCAAATCCGGAGTCCACTCGCATTTCAGACATCTCCTAGATAACATGGATCTCGTACCTCCAATTTGATCAAGGTCAGTCAAAACTCAAGTTGGACATCCACATATTACAAAAACTTGTCTGGCATCCCATACCAGCGCCGGGTCGGTTATTCCTCAAATCCGGAGTCCACTCGCATTTCAGACATCTCCTAGATAACATGGATCTCATACCTCCAATTTGATCAAGGTCAGTCAAAACTCAAGTTGGACATCCACATATTACAAAAACTCGTCTGGCATCCATACCAGCGCCGGGTCAGTTATTCCTCAAATACGGAGTCCACTCGCATTTCAGACATCTCCTAGACGACATGGATCTCGTACCTCCAATTTGATATGTCCATTTCCAATAGTTTTTTTTACCTTGCTGATTTTTTACTTTTCTCGAGCAATAAGCAGACATGAAGATTCAGATGAGTTTGCATAGTAGTATCTGCATGTGATCCCGTGTTTTGAACGAGTCAGGGTGCTTGTTATTGAATGAGAAACTACTTTCCTTGAACAAAGAAAGTGGCCTGAAAATAAGCAAGGTAATAAACTACTGGAAATGGACAAATCAAATTGGAGGTACAAGATCCATGGTATCTAGGAGATTCCTGAAATGCGAGTAGACTCCGGATTTGAGGAATAACCGACTTGATGCTGGTATGGATGCCAGATGAGTTTTTGTGATACGTGGATGTCCATCTTGAGTTTTGACTGAGCTTGAACTCATGATGATCCCCCAGTATATAAAGGTCGTCGTATTCGATGGCGACCTCCTCAGTTTCATCACTTGAAGCAACTCCCAACCCTCAAGCTACATAACACATCTTATCATCATGGTTTCTAGCAGCACTTGCGCCATCTTTAACGTGGAGTATTCCAACCAGGTCGTGGACTTGAAAGAGGGCGGACAAGCCGACGGCACTCCTGTCGTGGGCTATGTCTTCAACAGGGTGGGAACGAACCTCCATCAGCGTGTCAGTGTTCATTCCTTGGTTCAGATCATCCAGGCTAACGATCGGGGCAGTGGTATGTTGAAGTCCTCAAGACGGACGCGGAAGGCAACATCACAGTTCATTTGACCAACAACGGAAATGGAAACTACCTGAGGGTTGAGACAGCGCTTCTTGTAAGAGATGATATTTGCTCCTGCGATGTACTGCTGTGACGTGTCTTTGAATTTACAGAACCAAGGTCTTGAAGGCAGTCACTTCTCCATGAAGTGGCTGTTGGTCAAACAAGGTGACTCTGGGAAGTACTTGTGAGTGATGCGGCTGAGAACTGTGGACCATCATTCTACAGGTCACTTACCTATGCACAGCATCAAAGTCCCGGACACAAATTTCACATGCGTCCTTCCAAACAACCACAATTACACCCAGGTACGGTTCCAAGCTCGTTATGCAACGGACAGAATAACTCATGATTTGTATTTGGTAGATCAAGCTTGCTGTCTTGGACGAGAGTGACCCAAAGCAGATGTGGATGTTCCAGGAGGTCTAAGTGAAGTTTTGGGCTGGATTCACCCAAAGAGCTTTACAACAGTCCAGTATCTCCTTTATACACCCTATGGCTGTATATTATATATATTATCACACTTTTTCCTGTTGTTTTTGGTGTCCTATCTGATGAAATGGATCACTGGGATTCCATTGCACTATGTTTTAAAGAATTTGGTGGTCAGGAACATCAGTTATGCTCATTTTATTGAGTATCATCTCATGTTACTGTATTACCATATTAAGATGGTGTAACCCAATTGAAACACCTGGCATTTTTCACAAACAACTGTATGTGCCCTGTAGTGTTCTAAACACATGATTTCCAGCCAATATTACAAAATATTAATATGCTGTATACTAGGGGAGGAGGAGAAGATGGGCTACAACCTTAAAAAAAATTGCTAATGCTCCAAATCTTAGTCCATTGAATTCTATGACCTTAGAAATAATAGGAAGAAGCTTTGCTTGATGGTTGATGATGTTAGAGACTAATGGTAATAGAAAATTGACATCTACGATACTTACCAAGTCTGATACCTCATAAAAAATTCTGAGTAGTTTATAACTTGGTGCATCATCTTCTGTGATCTTGAAAATGATGGAAAGCAGTTGATTTAGATAATTGGTGATGTTGGTGATCACTGGTTTTAGTTGACCCCTTACTAGCATATCCACCATGTCTGGTACCTCATAAAAAATTGCTGGTAGTTTGTAACTAAGTGCATCATCTTCTGTGACCTTAAGAATGATGGGAAGCATGTTGTACAAATGATTGGTGATGTTAGTGATCACTAGGTATAGTTGACCCCTTACTAGCATATCCACCATGTCTAGTACCTCATAAAAATTACTGGCAGTTCATAACTTGGTGTATCATCTTCTGTGACCTTGAAAATAGTAGGAAGCATGTTGCTCAGATGATCAGTAATGCAGGTGATTACTATTTGCAGTTGACCTCTCCTTAGCATACTCACCATATCTAGTATCTCATAAAAAATTACTGGAAGTTTATAACTTGGTGAATTATCTTCTGTAGCCTTAAGAATAGTGGGAAGCAGTTGATTTGAAAGATTGGTGATGTTGGTGATTACTAGTTGTAGCTGACCTTTCACTAGCATATCCACTATATCTAGTACCTCATAAAAATTTTCTAGCAGTTTATAACTTGTTGAATTATCTTTTGTAGGCTTAAGAATGATGGAAAGCATTTTATTCAAATAATTAGTGATGTTGGTGATCATTGGTTGTAGCTGACCTCTCACCATCACATCCACCATCTCTAGTAGTTCATAAAAAATTGCTAGCAGTTTACAACTTGGTGCATCATCTTCTGTGACTTTAAAATGATGGAAAGTATGTTGCTCAGATAATCAGTGATGCAGATGATCACCATTGATACCTCATAAAAAATCCCTAGTAGTTTGCAACCTGGTGCATCATCTTCTGTGACTTTGAAAATAGTGGAAAGCAGATAATTTGGAAGATTGGTGATGTTGGTGATCACTGGTTATAGTTGATTCCCTACTAGCATATTTATCATATCTAGTATTTCATAAAAAATCACTTATGGTACATAACTTGGTACATCATCTTCCATGACCTGAAAAATAGTGGGAAGCATTTTTTTCAAATGATTGGTGATGTTGGTCATCACTGATTGTGGTTGACTCCTTACTAGTATATCCACCATGTCTACCTCATAAAATATTACTTGCAGTTCATAACTTGGTGTATTATTTTCTATGACCTTGAAAGTATTGGGAAGCATGTTGCTCAGATGATCAGTGATGCAGGTAATCACTATTTGCAGTTGACCCCTCACCAGCATACCCACCATATCTAGTACCTCATAAAAAATTCCTGGAAGTTTATAACTTGGTGAATCATCTTCTGTAGCCTTAAAAATAGTGGGAAGCAGTTGATTTGGAAGATTGGTAATATTGGTGATTACTGGCTGTAGTTGATCCCCTACTAGCATATCTATCATATTTAGTATCTTATAAAATATTACTCTCAGTACATAACTTGGTACATCATCTTCTATGACTTGGAAAATAGTGGGAAGCAGTTGATTTAGACGATTGGTAATGTTTGTAATCACTATCTGCAGTTGACCCCTCACTGGCATACTCACTATATCTAGTGTCTTATAAAAAATTCTTAGAATTTTAACACTTAGTGTATCATCTTTTGTGACCTTGAAAATAATGGGAAATAATTGATTTGGAAGATTGATGATATTGATGATCACTAGTTGTAGATGAATGGATAGTCCTTATGAAGAACAAAGGTACCTGCTGAGACTGAAACTCCTGCTCCTATACATTCTATGATTTAAGATAGATGCACTGAGATGTGAAAGAATCAAACTGATTACATATAACAATCAGATTCTGAGCCTTCATAACTGAAGAGACAACTGTTGAAATAGCTTCTAATGAAGTTCCATATGTCAAAGGCACTGTCACTACAAATACTGTAATAAGGACAGAATTTCATAAAATTGGTCTAGTATGAGCAATCAGAATCCTAACTACTGATGTAATTCAACTCCCAAGGTTGATAGACAGATATGATTCATTTCTGGGAATTTGTTATAGTGATTAGTTTACTTTGAACTTGAGCAAAACTCAGTATGATTTTGAGATGATCAAATGCATTGCAAGGCAAACCCTATAACTATAACTAAAACTAAAACTAGCTACAATCATTATCATCCTCTACATTGGTGGTTGATGCAGCCTTTTCACATTAAAGAGAATAATTTGCAATGTACTGATTTCTGTTGACAATTGAAGATTGTAACAGGCAACATCAATTCTTAAAGTATTTAGTTTACAATCATGAACACAAAATACATCAACATAATACTATGAACTGGTGGAAAATCACAAATGCTACAGTAAAACGAATCTGCTCTAAGCTACATAGCTAAAAATCAGGAAAATACCAAGGTGTCAGAGTCAGCAATAATTTGTGGTTATTACCATCATCATCCTCATCATCACCATCACCATCACCTTCTTCTTCCTTTTCTTCCTCATTAAGCATCAGGCTCTTGGGTATCAGCATAGTATTGCTGGCAGGATTATAGGTGGCATCTTGATAGGCAGCAAGAATAATGCTTCCAAAAAACTCTTGCAAGTCTAGGGCCAAGGATACTTGGAAGAGATCTTGAATTCCAGTTCTCTCCAAAGCAGATGTATCCAGATTCAGCAGGATAGATGTAGGAATTCCTTCCTGAGCTCTGGAATGTGCAGCTTGGGTGATTTGTTTTGTGATACCAGGAAGGTTGGAGTGAGGAATAGGATGAACACCCACAGCTAACACTACATCCACAAGATTCTCATCATGAGCTAGAACTGAATTCAAATTTGGCTGCTCCTCTGAACAAACCACAATATTTGGATATCTAATGTCATGATGTCCAAAACTATGGGTGAATGTTGGACAGTCAGTGCATATAGGAAGTTCATCTGAGAGAGACTGATCCAAAAATATGGCTGATGGTGTCACATTGTCACAAGAAGTGCAAGACATTTGGTCCAGATGTCCTAGCAATGGGATGCATCTTGGACAATCAGGTGTCCCTATCTGAAATGAGTTGGGAACTCCAAAGGACAGCAGTCCAGTGGTTTTTTCCATGGCATCAATATTTTGAGTGTAGACCCTCAAAATATTGCCACGGCGGTCCAAAGAGTGAATAGCCTGATAAAGTAGGTTTTTGATAGGTGCTCTCTTTAGATGGTGCATCATAGTCTGGAACACTAATAATGACTTGATGGGTTCCTGCAAAGAAAGTAATATATAAGATGTTCTCAAAGACATCTAGAACCTTTATATTATGCACCTGTCATATTATGGGAAGCAGTAATTCAAAAGAATGAACTGGAAATTCAGATGCAGCAGGAACAGATACCCCTGGACCTATAGAGAGTGTGCAATGAAGTAGAGTTTCTTAAGCATAAAACTTTTAAAAGATGAACTTGATCATACCACAAATGACAATCAGATTTTTAGCATGTAAGATGATATCCAACACCTTCTGAACCTCTTTACCTCCAGAAGTTTTTGAGACAAAATTGTTTTGGGCGATATTAATAATAGATGAAGAAGATTGAGCATGATCAACTGATGAAGGTGGAACACATTGTTTTCTAAAACGGCGCTGCTGCATGACTGGGCTAAAGCTCCTGGATCAGCATATTCATCCAGAATTACTACAGTTGAGCTGTCAGAATTACCTGACTTTCATGATAGTCTTTAATGCAGATGCTTTTGTGATTTCCAAGTTGTATCGGTGTACATGTGAGAAATTCAGATTTGAGAGTCCATCCATGGCCATCATGATAAATAGACCACAAGACCAGCTATCTTTTTGTTTTTGATCATCTGGTGAAGTATGATGAACAATCTTCCAGTCTTTGAATCTGTGTTTAAGTGATTTGATCTCTGGATATGTTTCATATTTCAGCCAATGCTCTAGGCCAGCAGCAGCATGCTGCAAATTCTGATAGCAAAATTATGATATCAGATACCTAGATATTATAGGTGGATTAAAAATTCTACTGACTTTTTGAGCCCAAGTAGGATGGATTTCCAAGCTATCAAAGAAACCTATTTCATGAGCTGACCAGTCCACCCAACCCAGGACCCAGTGAGAGGGACTGCCTTCACATAGAGGAAAAGCCCAACATCTGGAGTCAAGCATTTTTTTTTGGTTATCTAAGTCCAAGAAGTTGAAACAAGATCTAGTTTAATATAAATATCTGCTTAAAAAAACATACTGACCACAGAAATAATGTTTTCTAGAGTTGTTCCACATGAAGTTTTTCCATGTATCAAGTGGGGGACCAGTGAACTGATCAAGATATATCCAGCTGTAGTCAAAATGCTGTGCTGTTCAATAGATACCAGATTGGCATATGCATTCATGACTGTTCTATTAATCTTCTGGTGTTGATTTTGCAGGCAATCAAGGTCTTCATCTATGAGCTCAATGCCTCCTATATAGCGTGATGATAATCGGAGTGGTCTGTTTAATGCTATGCTGGATGCTTGTGGGAAGGGAAGTATCACATCTTCTGTTTTTGTTTCTTGCTTGATCCCATCCTGGTTCAGAGAAGATGAAAAAGCTAGTGGATCAATATCTGGCATGATTGAGGAAGCCTTGAAAATAACAAAGTGGACTGAGATAAATAATGTATGGCTACATGCAACCCACGGTTTAATAAAATCTAGTATATCTGCTGACTAAGAATCCAAGTTTGGACATCTGCAAATCTGGACATGAGGTCTGAGGCTCTGAACATAATATGGTAGTGTCTTATCATATAAATGAAAGAAGCTCTAGTGGATGATTGGTTATGATATGAATCTCTGGTTCCAAGTTAGTGTTTGACTATGATACATACTTAGCCTATCATATTGTAAAACATGGCCAATGCTTTAAAACTTAGTCGATGATCTTTAGAATAGCAATGATAACTTTATTTGAATGTCTGCTAATGTGTGAAATCTCTGCTCTATACCCTTATCACCGAAGAAGGTTCTGGCAGGCTTGGTGCTTTTGCTGTACTGGCCACAACATCTTCAACCATCTCTGAGCCTGTCCTACTTCTATGGAAGAAACTACCTTCTGTGGAACCTCTCATTGATCTCCTTCCAAATGATCTTATTCAACGCCATAGGAATTCAAATGGAGCATGGAAGTTGGTAAGCCACCTAATACATTTTGTGAAGCTATCAGAGACTTATGCCTTATACTTGATATAGAGATTTCATAAGACTCCAAAGCAATCTGATTTAAAAAGATTTCATCTATATGCACAAAGGGTCAGAGCCATCTGTGCTGACAAAAAAGCACTGAGGTCTCAATACAAACATGTTTTTCAAACTATGTTGACCCTGCATGGATCTGCTGGCTTCCTTTTGCCACATCTTAATTATGTGGAATTGAAAGATAGAAATGACTGTTTAATCCAATACCTGGACAAGTTTCTGCTTCCAGGACTGCAGACTCTTATACTATCACCTCATATGCTCTTATCTCCTGATGTGCAACACCTGCTGCCTCATCTGCATACCTTGGTCTACATCTTTGACTCATGTCATACAACCACCATCTTAAACTCTCTTGTCAGTTGTACCTCTATGCACTGCCTCACCTTATCCTACACCCAACCCATGGTCATAACATCCTTGGCATGTCTTCACCAGCTTACTAGCCTGACTCTTGTCATCATTCCTGGATTATCAATCATGAAGGAGAGCAATACTATTCCTGACCATCATATTCAGACCCAGGTTCTAAATATCCATGTAGAACCCAATCCACATACAGAATCTATCTCTGTAAATACTGGGTTTCCAGCTCTCCTATCCCTCTTGTCCAATCATCTCATCACTTGCCAAGGTCTCAGCATCAACATTCACCAAGAATATTGCTCAGCAGATGTCATTCTGCATTTCTTTAATACTCTCACATCACTTGCACCAATCAATGATGATGATGATGATGAATTCCTAGCTTAGGAGAATCTGGCAGCTTTCAGATTACAGATGCCATGGGACAAGAATTTTTTTGTATTGGATGAAGAAAGTATTTAGATTCCAAGAAATAGATTAGCTGCTTTGCACAGACTGGTCTATTTGACTGCTCTGGAGCTGGAGGACTTGGGAACTTGTAGAATTGATGATGATGCCTTGAGGAATTTGGCCCTCAGCTTGCCTTATCTTCAATGTCTCTTGTTAGGCACAAGATAACTTTGGGAGGAACCTCTAAGAGCCACTCTATGGGGAATATCACTTGTTCTGCACTACTGCCTTCATCTAGAGACACTTGGTCTGCTGTTTTACTGCAGCTTAGGACACCACAAGATTGAATATGGTGATACCAATAACCTGATCACTACATTGCAGGTTGGATTCTCACCTTCTCACAGTTCTTTTACTGTGGCAGCATTCCTTGCTCATTCATTGCCTAATCTTGATTCAATCATGGTGGAGCCTGAAGAATCTCACAGAAAATATGGCCATAGCAGAACTGATATGATTCTGCCTGACCGTGACATTAGGATTCAAGAATGGAGCAGAATTTTAGACTTAACTACAGAGTTTGCAGATATCTGATTAGAACTATGCCATCAATTAGTCATATTTTACTGTATATAATATCATGAAAACTAACCAGTGGCTATTTTTTTTATTAAGCCTTTGAAGTCATTGTGGATTATATTTTGACTTTGTATTTATTTCATGATTAACCATCTACATAAGGGAAGTGTTAGTCATTCTACAGATTCTACAATTTTTTAGCTTGTTTGCTTAATTCTTCTGTTCCCTACTATAACTTGATGGCTGTCTAACATCATTTCCATCTCCAACACTTTGACAAGTGGTGGCATGATTCAAGTCCTACTCATTTAAACTTATCTGTCATTTCTAGTTATCATCTTGGAAAATTCATACCAAACACCAGAACTTATGAGCTATTCCACAGACATGAACTTATTGTCATGATCCCTGCTTATTACAAGAATGGCCTCAGATTTCTCAATCACATCATCATTTGTCTGCAAGAACTGCTGCAGCACCTAGGGCCTTCATCTCATTGGGACATCTTACAGCTCAAATATGAGGCTTTTGGAAGGGAACTCTTGGTGCTCAGCAAAATAAGGAAGGAGTTCATTCAGGAGGTCCAGAATGAATTTAGGTTTCACCAGCCTGGAGTAAAGAATATGCAGTGGATGTCACCTGTTTTGAACTCTTTTCTGGCCTACATGTATTACTGTGGATCTGTAAATCCTCAACACAAACCTCATATGATGAATGTGCACCTGGATGATCCTCAGACATACAGTAAGTTTGTATTTTTTTTATGAATTAGAGAGAAGACTAATCTACCTCTAAAAGATTGGCATAGTTGGGCAAATAATCAAGAGATTCCTGGATTATGGGGAAGACTTCCAGAGCATCCTGCAGAATACCAGACTGCCATATTTGAAGCCATAAATGCCAAGATTGCACTGGAGCCTAACACGGAGTCTTCTGGGTCTTGCTCTGAAATGTGGTGCAAAGGCATCATTAATATGATGGTTCAGATTAAACAGAAAATCCAAGATAGAAGTTCTGCAGTAAGCATTTGTTTTATTTATACTATAACCACTTATTGAGTTTTTTTAGGATAAGTCTGTACTGGAGGTGCTTGAGTAAGTTATCATTGAAATCATTGATCCAAACCTAAAAAAACTAATCTTGTAATTCTAATCATTCAGATCATCTGTAGATATTGTTAAGAATAATGGATGTGAGAAGCCAGTGAAGAAGGGAAGAGGCCGTCCAAAAGGAGTGCTCAATAGCACTATCATGGAACTTCAATCACTACCTAAATCTCCTATGAAACTCCGTAGCAAAAATTCAGCTAGATCATCATTTTTGTCACAAAATGATGATGCAATTTCAGAGAGATCCCTTCCTGAAGTTGTTCAAGGTCAGTTAATATTCTCTGATACAAACATAACTATTATTAATTTGATCTAAATAGAGGACATGAGAGATGATATTTCAAGAACAGAGACTATTCAATCAGACATGTCTTCAGCTTTCAAAAGAGCTGAAACTTTGAATCAGAGGTTAGCAATTTTGAGTAATTTTCATAACAGAGTTCTGACAATATTCTAAATATATAGGACACTCAAGTCAGATCAACTATCATTGAATCAGGTGCTTATTTTTTATATATTCAAGTTGTGATACATCTTATCTTGTTAATCATATTGGCTGATCATTGATATGATAATTTTAGCAAACAGATTTGAGGGCAGCATCTAACTCTTCAAAGACAAGACCTATAGAGAATGATGTACCTGCTCTGGATCTATCCAAATTATTCTGCAAAAAGTTCCATCCAAAATTTGGAAAATCATTATTACTATCAACAGTAAGTAACTATTTTGAAGAACAAGTATTATACTCAAAACTCATTAAGGGATTGCAGTCTACTAGAGGACTTAGTGATTTATCCCAAGAAGAGCAGATGCAATCAAAAATTGCAGAGACTGCTGTGGCACCAGTTCATATGATGAAGTTATAATTCAATAGCTTCAGATTTGATGATGAACCATCATCTTTTTCTGATTATACAAAGCCTTGGGATTATTCTTTAGATACCTGCATGGTACCCAATAAAGAGTCAGAATCTTCATTATATGATGAGGTCATAGACCAAGCTATGGACATCAACGTCATATTTCAAAACACCTCAACATCTAATTCTAGGGATATCTCTTTAGAGATATCAGAGGATGTTATATTTTCTTCACCAATAGTCAGTCTAAACTGTTCAGAAGAATTTGATCAAACTACATCTGTTTCACCTGTTTCTTCATCTTTATCTAAAGATGATTTACCGATACAAGTTGACTCTTCTCTTTCCTTGCCTGTGATGGAGGATAAGGAATCACTCTTTATTCCTTCTTCATCTTTGTCTAGCCAGGAAGAATCTGCTCAAACATCATTGATCACCAGCAAAACATCCAAGGGCACTCTAATTTTCACCAAAAGCCTTGATGAGAAATTTGTCTATGATTCAGTCACCTTTGTACCCAATGCACTCAAATCCCAAGGCAAAACAAAAGCAAAAAGCAAAGGAAAAGGAAAATCCAAGGATCTGTCTGAATTTATCCAGTCTTCTCAAAGGAATCATGAAATACCAGTGAGTTTCTTCTTCTGTTTGATATCAACAACAACAAATGCAGCCAAAGTCTATATCTCAGATTCAGACCAGAAAAGAGAAGGAAAAGAGAAAGATGGTGATCTCAGATGAATCATCCACAGCTGATCCTAGTCCTAGCATCAAGTCTATGACCACCTTGACACTGCCTGCAAACATATCAAAGGTGGCTAAAGCATGTCAAAAAGCACAAGCTTTATCTGAGTCTAAGAGTTTGATGTGGAATGAGAAGATAAGTTCTTAATTGAGAGCATCACCTCAGACTAAGAGCATATCACTATAGTTTCTTAAATTCTTTTCATGTCTTGGACATGAATGGACTCAGTCAGATGAACTACAAAACAATATCAAGCAGCAAATTAGGAAGGCAATGACAGCCAAGGATGTCCAAGTATGTCATATTTGCATAATAATACTTGATTGCATTAAGCTTTCTGCAGAAGCAAATCAAGACTGATATGGATATCATAGTCCGATATGTCTACTGGATGAAAACCCAGAAAGATACAGTCAAGCTTTCTAAAGAACCTAAAATTGGGTTCAAAGTACTATTTGTACTCTTAGAAATGAAGTCTTAGTGTAATAAGTTAGTTAGTATTTTTTAACTTCATGGCTCTATGAAAATCTCTAAGTTTTTAACACTCATACTCAAATAGTGCTGGCAAAAAGTGCAGTCTGTCAGAATCAGGGTATCAGCAGAAGGCTAACTAGTGAGTACTAGAACCATATTAAACCCCTCTAGCAGATGTAGGTAAGTCAAAATATTTTTATTGACTTTATAAAAAAGCACTATTTTGTATTTTATGATTTATAACCAGAATGTTAAACAAGTGGGACATTGATAATAGATGGTGATAGCCAACTGTTTTGTAGGAATGATCCATCTAGTATCAATCTGATCCAAATGTATAATCCAGTCATGAGGCAAAGGATGACCTTTAATGATCAACTGGCTGTACCATCTCCTGATCTGACACATAGCCCATCCATTTCCAGATACTCCAGCTGTAATTCCTCTTTCAATTGGACAGCAGAAAAGTGCTTTGAATAGTTCATCAGTGAAGTCAGGATGGACTTGAGTAGAAGGAAGTCTGGATCTGATAGACTCTGGTGGTGAAAGGACTTGAAGACATCTTGTATGATACCACCTGTTGCAATTCAAGCAAAATCTTTGAGTCTCTTTGTTAGGACTAAAAGGCTTGTTGCAGATTGAGATGCATGACAGGCTAATTAGATTATCCTAGAACAACCAGATGCAGATAAATGAGATTAATATATCTGAAGGAGACTTGGGGATGATGATAGACCTGTAGTTTAGGAGGCAAGGAGGATGCATACCAACAGGTGTATAGAGCATCAGGACTCCAAGGTCTTTGAGATCCTGACTTCTCATTAAACTTGACCACCTTGATGGTGTCTTAAAGTGCAAAATAAATAAATATATGAGATTAACTAATTAAAAGAAGGAGAACATTCTGACCAGCTAATATTGAGGCTTCAGACCATTGGGTGAGATCTGATTGCAAAAGCTCATTGGTTCTCATGTCAAAGAATCTGGAATCAGACTGAGAAGCTGATTTAAAAGACTGTTCTTGAAGATCTTTGGACCAATACCAGCGTATTTTGACCCAAAAAGGCTGCAAAAAAAAAATAACACATTTACACATAAAATGAGTGCATATTTTGAAAAAACACACTTGCAAAGCTTTTGGACGTTTGTCCACACAGAGACACTCAATGATTCCATACCATAAATCATTGTCATCCACTTCTCTTTGTCCTTTTTTGGGAGCATATACTGACACACTGGAGTCAATAAAAATCAGCTCAATAAGACTGATTATTGTTTCAAAAAAAACATACCTTTGTCCAACCTTATACTCAATTTTTGACACCACTCCTTCATCTGATACAATAGAATACACTAGATGATTTGCTTTGGCTCAGAGCAAAATATTTAAAGAACACAAACAGACTCACCAATTGCTCTTGTGGTAGGCAATTCATTGAATTTCTTTTGTGTCATGCCTTTGGGTAGTGTTGATATATTAAAATCTTCTGAATTTGGAGTCAGACTGTAAGAGTATCTAGCATGCACTGTTTTAGAATATGCAAATAGAAACAAATTGCTTATAGAATCTTATACAAGTCATATTCAAATCAATCAAATTCTAAACATTCCACTTTATTCCTTGTTTAATCCATCTGCCTCAATTCTACACCAAGTTGCAGACTAGCTCAAATTCTTACTGGGTAGGATTTTGTTTAACATGCTAAGAATTAATTTATCAATCTTAACAGCTGTCATGCCTAAATCCTCATCATCTTCAATGCAGCATAATTCCAGATGGCTGGATATGCAGCTATCCTCTGATTCTGATCCCCAACAAACCTCTGATAAAAGAAATTCCACTTCCACTTCATGCATACATGAAAACCAACCAACAGCATTATGTGAAGATAATGTGAACTTTCAAATCTTCCAGATTAGCCAATCTTCTGCATCAAATTCAGAGGACCTACCTCAAAGCTCATGGCTTCAGTTGCAGCTATCATCAGAGGACAGCTCAGAAATGCTATCTGACATAGGCCATAACAAAGGAGACCCTGTCAGATCAGCTTCCAAAAGATGTTTGAATGATGTTGATAGTTCTGATTCTGAAGCCAGTCAGCATCATCATCTGATATATGATGATTTATCAGATATTTTGGAGGAATATATTCAAAGACATAGATCATTGTCTGAGATGGAAGATTTACTGTCACAATCAGATGATGATGGTCCATTTGATGACTATCAACCTGGAAGTGCAGAAGAATGTAGTCCTATATGGATGAGATCTTTCCATGCTGATGATTCAGCTGCAATTTCAGAGGTTCCAGATGATGTTGAATCACCAGGTGAATGATATTAAAAAATATTAAGCTGGATTCCTCTCTAACTAGATGAAACAGTGAATGTCAACCCCATGTTGAATCTGACACGTCCCACCATATGGCTTTCTGCTCTGGAACAGCTTCATACATTGAATCCTCAAATGCATATTGGAAATGCAGTTCTTAATTTTTTTCTCATGACCAAGTGGTATCCCAAGCATGGCCAAGGTCCTCTGAAATATGCTGATATGGTGGCTGTGGCTCCTCTACTGGTCAACAATATGGAGAGAATGCCAAACTTAAAGGAGATCCAAACTTTTCAACATAGACACTTCTTGCCTTCTTCTCAAGAACATCCTTCAAGTCAAGTTGGTTTCATCTTGACCATATCTCAACATCACTGGGTGGCCATCTTTGACTATAGCCGCCAAACTGCCTACATTCTAGGACACCACATCACTTCCATGACACCATCTGCAATCAATTCACACAGCAACTGGGAGAAATTGTATGGTCCATCATATTGGAAAAATTTGGCTATGCTGCATGGCTGGCCTCATGGAGATGTTGCTGCTGTTCTTGTTCATGAATACTCCAGATTCTATCTGCAGCATGCACAGAACTGTGATTGTGGTGCAATCTCATGTGCTATATTAGAGCATTTTCTGGAGGAAGGACTCAGCTATCATCTTGATGGAAGTTTGTAGCTACCAGTTATACCATGTGGACACACCATCTGTCTTAGAATCTTGGAAATGGTAAAACTCAGCTGCAGACGCCAGTGGAGCCATTATCTCTATCTTGGAACCAGTCTTCCAAATGATTGGGACCATATAGATCATATCTCTCCAGAAGTCTTGGCAACCAGATTACAACAACCCCAGCAGATGGCCCATGGTCACCAGGCTATTGTCACTCAACTTGCTACTATGCTATATAACTGCCCCAACTGTAGACCAAAACTAGTTCAAACTCAAGCTCTAGCAACCATCACATTAGATGATCCAACACCAGAGGATCCTGATCCTGAAGATAATAATCCTATCATACATCTGATCCTGAGCAGCCAGATGATACAAAATCTGAAGCAGCTTTTGGATTTTCACTCCTTGACCAACGGCACTCACTTTCGCGATACTACCACTATGCCATTCAAATGGCAGCCTTTTGATGGAACATTTGATTAATATTTGGGTGGACCTACTCTAGAGTCCATGCAGCCTATCATGGATGCTGGAGAAATATGGTCTTCATCAAGAAGTGCATGGATTAGTGGATTAGGATCTGCAATGCTTTTCAAAGACTATGGCTACAGAATTCTGCCTAGCTTCTCTCAGATGTTTTGGTTGGGCCCTTCAGTGGATACCTTGGATTACATGATGAGAATTGGGGTATCTGACACATATGATCCCAGCTGGCAAGTTGGTCATTGGAGAGCAAAAGGCCATAGTCTGTCTAGAAGCTCCATGTTTCCTAATGAGAGAAGAATAGTTCCAAGTGGTGTTAGGATCATGGCTGCATCTGAAATGTTGCTAGATGCCCAAAGGCTAGCTTCAGAGAAGAAAGGAGTATATGAGACTCTATTTGTTTATGGAGCTCATCCCATTGGAGGTCAAAGAATCATATTGGACCTAGAGCTGAACATAGATGTTCCTGATGAAATCACTGTTTCAGTGGACATTAATAGCTACATCTGGGTTACTTCAGACTTTTGCCCAGCCCTCAGCGTAGGAATCTACTTAGCACCTGTTATCGATCATCAAGCTCCCATTCACAAGCACAATCATATTTATACAGACATTCTCATTCCTCAAAGTGCTGATGACCAGGGTCCAGATGGTACTGAAAGAAAAGAGTGGTGGACCAAGTCTGTTCCTTTGAGCTCCATACCTCATGTGCCATTTGGAATGTTGAGCACAGCAAATTATGCCTCCAATCTTCTGCTATTCTTTTCCTGAATGATCCACAACCGGACCAACTCATCTCTCAAGGCCACCAGGATTCCTCTTGATGTTATTGATTTATTTTGGAATGAGGTGGTCCTGCCTTCTATATCTCAGAAGGCACCAAATTCTTCTCTGCCCTATGTAAATACTACTGTGCATGAGATCAGATATAAATCAAGAAAATGTGGATCTAGTCAGCCTGGAAGCCAAAGACCCAAGGCTACTCCTGTCTCCAAGGTGGCATTCGAAAGGATTCAAAGAAGCATGAGAACTAGAGTCAAAGATCAAGCAATGTTGGCACCATATGGATCCTTCTTCTTTGTCTTAGAAGGCAAAGGCATCAAACTATGGACCAAGGATGGCCAGGATGGCAGATATGACTCTCTATATGAAGCTTTGAAAAAAAACTTCACAAACTTGGACTGGGATTACATGATGGATAGAAATCATGGAGAACTATACTTGGATGTAGGGATCAGCTTCAATCCCACTGGTCAGTTTGTGGGTCTTTGGAGGCTTGATACTTTGAAGGCTTCTTTTCAGAAAAGAGGCTTTAGAAAAAATATCACTCACCACACCAACACTTTGGGAAGATATGGAGGAATTCAGGCAGAAATGCTCTTGGCCAATGCAAGATCTAGCCAAACCTGCTTTCAATCAGCTTACCAGCTGTACTATGAGGCTATTAGACCTAATAACAATCGACCCAAGTGCATTTCTGATAGGGATGGCTATCATCTTACAGATGGATACCTTAAAGAATGCCAATGGATGCATGAAATCTACAGTGGAGGTGCTTCTTAAAGAGCTTATGGATGTAGAGATGAGTATAGAATGAGTGGACAGGCTGCTTTGAAGGTGCTTCCCTATTTAAAAGAGCAGGTAGGTATTTAGTCATCAACTTCATGCTTTATCTTACTCATGTACAATTATAATGATCAGGCTGAAGCTTTTCTGAAATCTCAACCTATTCTTTGGATCCCTTCTCATATTTGGTTTGGCCTCATGGATGCTAGACTTGAAGGCTTGAGATATGCTCAAAAATCTCTAAAAACACACAAACCCCTCAACTATGGCATTCAAACCAGCATCTTGTGTCATCTCCTGAGGTCTCTGACTTCCACTCCTATTGTGATGGATGCCCATCTGAGGCAGGCCCTCCAAAGTCTAGATGTTGAAAGAATTTGTGACCATAATGGCATGCTCTTTCTTTATAATATAGAAGACAAGATCATCAAAGAAGACAGTGCTCAGATTCATAAAATCATGGGTGCCAATGTCAAAAGCCATCCCAAATCCTTTGCTTTACAAAATCCTACAACAATCTCTGATGAGTGGCCTATTAGTCTACAACCTAGCTGGAAGAATGTGGTGCAGATGATTGAAGAACATCCTCAACTTCTAATAAGGCCTTGGATTTATAATCCAATTTGGTATTCAGGAGATATGGATATTGGCATGCTATTCATTCAGTTCACCAGGGAGTTTTGGTTGCAGCTAGGTGGAGTACAGACCACCAATGAATTTATGGATGTTATCACTATCAATCCCAGGATCTGTGATAATCTCCAGGAAGCCATGACCTGCTGGTCCTTGGACAGGGTAAATCAATTGATTATTTCCATCAAATTTCAGGCCTGCAGTGCTGGACTAGAGGGAGACAAACCTGGCCGTCCTCATCTGTCATTTGTCCAGAGAAGGACTATATTTTTCCCAGATAAAAACTCCACCCCACCCCAGTCATCAAAGTGGAAGATTTATTGGACAGAGGGATATATTGCACACTATCATAAGATGTGCTCTGAACTGCCAGAAACCCAGTTGCAGCATCTTCATGACAGACTGGATATATTATTTGCCAATCTTCAATGTCTTCCAGATGCCAACAAACCCACTGCAAAAAGTCCTGGCTCTACTTGGACTCTGGCATCTGGTGAGGACAGCATCAAGATAGTGACCAACCCAGGTTTCTACAGAATACAAAAAATTGGAGGAAGAAAGAGGACTGTCAAAAGGCCAGCTGTGATCAGAAGACCTCAAGATTTCCGTCTTACCATCATGACCTTGCAAGAGCGGAATCCCAGGAGAGATAAACTAAAACAAAGAAAGATCCAAGTAGACCGCCATTCTACAAAGTCCAAAAGAACTAGAAAGCCACCAACTAGACACACCAAGGTATAATTAAATCACATAACTTCACAGATCACTTATCTTGTTCACTATTAGAATACTGATTCTAATCAGAACTGGTCTTCATCACATCACACAACAGCTTCTGTGACAAGTGTCAAGAATAAATCCAACAAAAAACTCAAAGTAGAGCTGGAATATCATTCAGACACCAATGCCTCTGAAATAAATTCACTGCTTGGCCAGAAGGATATTGATGCTGCAGATGATAATCAATCTGAAATGGATTCATTATTTAACTATGATGGAAGTGGAGAGGAAGCTGATAAAAAGGCAGATGACTCTGATGTTAGCATCTATTCAACATAATAATGTATATGCCTCCAGATTTATTCATGTACTAGTATTTCAAATTTTTGAAAAATTATCTCAGACAGTATGCTCTTGGACATAAAAAAACTAAGCAAGATCTAGATCTCAGGTATGTAAAATGGATGATCTACATCTAGAAAAATATAATTCTTGCCTTTCAAGAAGAATATGGCTTCAGATGGAAGATCTTGCACCAAGATAGATATAGTTGTGGAGTCTTTAGAGCAAATAGCATCATCTATGGATTGGTCAAACTGATGGCTGAAGGATCTTATTAAATGTTGAGCAAAAATCTGCAGATCACCTGACATCCAAGTATCAAAAATATCATTCCATTTTGATGAGAGTGGTTTCTGATCTAGATAGATGGATCTGTATCCACCTCTGGACTCCTGAGAGACTACTTGAGCAAACTTGTGTACTGCAGCAATGATACCTGGAATCTTGAGGCTGGTGCCAGCAACCAGTAAAACATCTGGTTTTACTTTTCTAGAGTCACCATTTGCATCCCTCATGATGGCTTGTGCCAGATGATCTGCAGCTGGATGTGGCTGATCATAGAGGACTATTGTTGGAATTAATATTCCTGATGCACGGGGACGCTTGTGGATGATTCTTCTCTCATGTTCAATCTGCTCACAGGCTGGACATAGTGGTAAGCAGCCAGTGACCAGAGTTGAAACATGTAAGTGCAATGGTGACTGGTAGCAGCACTTGATACATGCCAGTGTCTCTAATGTACCATGCAAGGGAATGCATCTGGGCATATCTTGAGGACTGTGCATCTCAGGCATTCCAAATGATAGGCCTGCCTTTGATTCCAGAAGGTCTATGTTTTGTATGTAGACCCGGAGCAGACCACCTTTTTTGTCCAACATTTTGAGAGCCAGATGAAAAGGAGTTGGAGATGCTTGAGAACATTCTTGATGCATTTTTGCTAATATTTTGCATAAAGAAGATGCCTTTGTGGTTGTCTGAGTCAAATGTTATGAAATCAATAGTTAGATGACAATGATGAGTGAACTACAGAAAAGGCACCTTCCAAACATTTGCATCCAGCAAATCCTTACTCAGTACTCCAGTGGTAAACAGCCCTTGTGAAGAACAGAAATCAGGAATTCCTGCTGATACTGAAACTCCTGCTCCTGCATTCCTTGTAATTCAGGACAGATTCTTCAATATATATACATGTGAGAGACCTACCACATATAACGATCAGATTCCTAGCTTCTAAGATTGAGGAAATGACTGCTGAAATAGCTTCTGATGAAGTTTTATAATCCAAAGGAATTTGCACTACCATGGTATATCTGAACTTCTAGCACTGTAATGAGAACAGGCTTAAAAAAATTGATATAGCTCAAGCAATGCAAGCCACAATAATCAACAAAATCACCTGACTCTCACAGTTAATAGATAGATATAATATATTTCTTATGAATCATCATTTGCTGTAAAAGTTGGTTTAATTTGGACTTAGGCTAAATTGGGCTTGATTTAAACAGAATATTTTGATTCTAGAATATCCAGACATCCAGCCCATGCTGACTTAGCATTATGTGCAGTTCCTACATATCTGATATGACAGTGATGTGTTAAATGATAACCAAAATAGGTAAGCATGTGCATGCAGTCACTGCATGCATTGCCAAAACCTTTATGCTTCCTGTTGCACACAGCACACTCAATTATTTTTGTAATTCTTTCACTATATCACTTAATGTCATTAAATGTTATATATTTCATATTTTTAAACCTCTTAAGTGTTCATAATTGAATGAATACTACAATGGGTCCTCCACCTCATCCCTTGAGCCTCAATCCATTCTAAAAAGGCTCCTGGGATTCAACAATGTACTAGGAGAGAGTGTTACTTATGCCAGCTGGGTACCAGTAGTAGCCATGGTTACAGTGGTGCAATGAGTCATGTGGTAGTATGTTGTGACCATAAGATGTGCATTACACATGCAAGTGGATCAGATGGGTTGGATGAGTCAGATGGATATTCCAGCATCATGATGTCCTCAATTTGAAGATGACTGAATTTTCTAACTTACACCTCAGAACTTGATCCAGTTGCAATCATTTTAATTGCAATAGGTATGAGCTCCAACAAATACAGCACAATGATCGAGATTAATACTCAAGAGAAAGGTGAAGAAATTGTGAGATTTCTCGACAATATGCTAGAATTACCCGTGAAAATACACGTCTAGAAATTGTATAGGGAAATACAGACTTTACACGGATTCTCATAGGAATATGCGGAGCAATTCACGAACACTTCCTTTAAAATACCTGTTCGAGGCACATGTTGGGATCTTCTTTGAAAGCTGTTGCTTCACGACAAGATTGATAAATGCTCAATGCTGAATGTCTCTTCTCATTCCCGGGTTCAAGAAGGTGATACATTGGATGGCCCAGACATGGCGCGCAACATAATATAAGTGCTACAGCAGGGAACAGAAGCCATTATCATTCCGAGTTGTTCGTCTTCTCTACACCATGGATTTGAGCTACAGCGATTTCCAGTTTCCTTCTGGTTTCCCGTAACCAGGCAGTTTCTCAGCAGCCCCTTACGACGGAAACATAGGAGCGATTCCACCATTGTATCAGCCCCGAGGCTTGCCGTCAGCTGCAGAAAAGTCGGGAGAGAGTGCAAAGCTATTGAAGACCGCAGTAGTCTCAGCGTTGGAAGCAGTTAAACAGCGAGTGACCGAGCTAGAGAAACAACTCGCTCAGTGCCTGAGCCAACACGATCTTTTAGAGGTTGTTGCTCACCAGAACATCACGATCCAATCCATACACAACTCGTGCGAGAAGCGCCTCGATGACATGCAACAAGATTTTGAAATGAAGTTGGCGAAACGCGTTGCAGACGGTCGAAAAAGGACATGGGGATGGGGAATCCAGTGATGAAGACAACGAAGAAGATGAGGATGAAGCAAGGATGGAGGCGATCCTGCATCAGCAGGTGAGATCGTGCTACAGAGTGCTACGGAGCGCTTCATAGCACTCTGTAATCATGTGTAATGAATTACGTTTCCCTGATGTGGAAGCGAAGCGTGATCCTGGGCTGCTGGTGAGTATATAACTATGATTTCAAAAATAATGCTCATGTGTTTGAACACATGCCGTTATACGTCATGTGTTTTCACATATGCTTGGTACTGTGAAATTAACTGCGAAAGATCTGCCTTGGTGGCAAAAAGATGGTGAACAGTGGCCTGTGGATAGTGCGACTAGTGAAAAGCTCTTCCGATTCCGCTGGGGGGAAAGTCATACTCACGAAGATAACTATCGAGGTCTCCAGACGATCTTCAGATACATTTGTGCGAAGGGCGCCGAGTTTAGTCCTGCATCTGCAAAGGCATTGCGTGCAATTAGCGACGAAGAATTGCTTGATCGTGTGCAGACCAAATACCAAGATTTGCAGAAAGCGTTATGGGCAGCCAAGCTGCTGTTATCATCTCGCATAACCACCACAACAGAGGCTTCCGAAAACCAAGGCACATTACGGGATGCGAAACTGTCAAAGGGCGTGCGTCAGAGTCGACAACAAGGTGTAAGTACTTACTAGCAGTGACAATGTTACCTATGACAGTGGCTGAGGGTCCACAGAAATGCGAGGTTCGCGAACAGAAATTCGCCGCATTATCTGATGATTCAGAGTTCAAGACTGATGCCTTCAAGACTGCCCTTATCCCCCAGCTCATGTCAGAAGACGACGATGAGACAAATGAAGAAGGACATCTCACCAGAAGATACATCTCTTGTCCTTGGGTCTGGGCCAGTGAGCAGGTAAGCAATGATTGGGTGGTGGGATTCCAAGTGCTGACTCACCTTGTATAACAGAGAAACCAATTTATTGCTGCTGTCGATGCTCAACAGGACCCTCATCCACCGAAACATTACACTATTCGGGTGCGAGGCAAGACACTCGATGTCACTATTCTGGAGATTCAGAAGGTTGAACATCATGCGAGGAGGTGGATGGTATCGCAGGAGTGGCTTGCACAGCCAGAGAATCAAAAGTATGATGTGCCGGCGTTTGTTGTCAACAATGGGAAAGCATGAGGCAATCCGAAGGACCCTGAAGAAACCATATCCGTCCAGAAGCGTGTCAAGATCCAAAAGAAAGAGGTTGCTGCGCGTAGGAGAGTGAAATTGGTAGACAAAGGGAATACGAAGCCGGGGAAGGGCAAGAAAAAAGCAGGATCGAAAAAGGACAAGGGGAAAGCGAGAGCGATTGATGTTGATGAGGAGCCAACTCAGCCAAAGAACACGGTGCCTGCACAGCCTGTCGCAAGCACATCAATTGCAAATCAGATGGTTGACAACAGTGTTGATAGCGACTTTGAAGATTAATCAGAAGGTGCGCACCTTGTATATCCAGTCTCGTGGCATTGAGCTCAATCGTCGTCATCATCAAAGAAATCCTCGGGCTCCGTTCCTGACTAAAGGACAAAAAATGTCAGTTGTCTCCGAGTCAATACCATAATTAACTGAATCTTGTACATGGTCAAATGATACCGAAATCCAAAGATGTTTCTTGACAATGTTAGAGTGTACTGGAATAAGTGCGAGTGGGCTTGTGATGCGGGAGACTGGGATTATTTCATATGGGTGGTAGTCGTTCGCATATGAGGTATGGATGCCAAGAGTACTTTCACTACCATTCAAGTTAATGTTAAATCTGGTGAGAAACGAGGTCCAGACTCACTAAAGTGCCCAGGGCATCAGCGGAATATTTTCATCGGATTTGAGACGTCGGACAAGGGCACAAACATGAGGTACGTTGTCTTGAATGCCAACAGCAAGGAGTGTGGTTATCTCAGCGGGAAGACGGGATCTACCACAGGAAATGAAACCATATGCGTCTGTCTGTGTTCGTCTGTTGGTCATGCAACCATACCTAATACCATCCTTTCGGATATATGTGAGGGCACGGGCAACCTTCAATGCAAAGAAGACTGTGTCATCGTCAAGCGAGAAGTCGTCGACGATGTTAAGATCGGGCCAGAGAACTCGGCAGTACGATATAAGCAGTGGATAAAGGACACCTTCAGGTCCAAATGTTCGAAGATTGATGAACTTTGCTTGGTGAAGTGGAAGTCGGACATTATCTGAGGAGTTGGTTAATAGACTCGGAGTCAAAGCATAGAATAGAACATACCTTGAGCAGCTTCACTCTGATACACAGCAATATCTGACATCATACTCCCTCATTACTGGGCTTGACTCTTGAGAATCTCGTTGAGTGTCTCTCGTTCTATCGCGTGAGTGTCGGGTGGAAGCGAGAGAGTATACTTGTATATTAAGTGGGTCTGAACCCAATGACGCATCAGTGTCAACTCCATTCGGCCACCATCATGTCCATTGTGATTGACACGTTCCAGCATCCCATTGAAGCGCTCGAACGCGAACAACCACCATAAATACACAGGTCCGTAAGCCTTGATCATGTCCGCGATATGCATTGATGCATGGTGATTGATCATGAGATGGATGTTGAGCTCGAGGCAACGAAGGCAGTACTGGGACAAAAAAGACTGTCCAATGTGTGCTTGGGACATCGATATTGATCGAGTTGCAAGAAGACGGACAGCTGCACATAGAAGTAACACGGCATCATAGATGCACCGGCAGTTGCGTGAAAATTCCAGTGCTTGAGTATTGGGTGGCTGAGGGGGCTCCATGTCCGGAATATCGTCGTTCTCATCCTTCCAGGACCACCATAGTAGCACGGGTGTGATTGTCAGTAGTCTTCTGCACTCGTCTGCTTTCTTTAGCGATTGGTTCTCACCGAGCTGCCAAAAAATGTACTTAGTGCCAATCCAATTTGAGGAACGTAAACCAACATACATTCTTGGGAAGACGTGTGATATGACTCGGCCATTTAACACTGTTGATAAGGTTCTCGAAGCGCTGCTTCGGCAAGTTTCTGCCTCCAGCACCGGAGAACATATAACCTCCAAATAAAACACGCATGAATAGATGAGCAATGATGCCTAGTATCTTCATCAGCTTTGCTCGTCAACAAGTTAACATCACGTACCCAGAAATATGCAATGCATGAAGTCGAGTGCGGTCTTCTTTGAGGGAAACCAGCCAGCGATGAGGTTAAGTGTGCTCCAGCGAACTCCGTGATCATCGAGAATAGCCTTCCGCCGGATAGGATTGGCATGTCATGAATAGAATGATTGTCGGAGAAGATGATCATTATCTGTCGCTGTCCAGCCTGCAATGACATTCAATACCTGTGAATCCCGCATGAAAAAGGTACTACTGTAGTCATAGCCTTCCCGTGTGTTGATTTTTGTGATGTCGGTATCACAATAGAGACACGGGTGCATGTCATGTGAGTGGCCTGCTGTTCCCAACAACTTGTGGGCAGCTGGCATGTCACAATCAAGGATCTGATTGTCTGCGTAGATGTTAGCTGGTTCATCCTCGTCGATAATGTCCATTTTGATGCCTGGAGTTATATGGCTGATAATAAATAAATAAATAAGCGAAATCTATCGAAGTTACTGTTTTGAAGGAGCATCATCTCCTTCGTTGATGGTTCAAGGCAGTGATTGATCTGCTGGACGTTAGGCTCTTTCGGTCCTGGTAAAACAGCAGCACAGATGACGTTTATCTGAAGGAAGCACTGGTCCCGAGGCAGATCATTGATTGCAAAGTATATTGCTCCGATTGAATGTGGTCGGTTCTCGAGGATTCCCATCCTGATGATGAACATATTAGCCGAGTATATGCCCATAGTGATGCGGTAAAGACACCATGCTCACCGAACATTTGCCAAGTGTCCGGGTAGCGCGGCATGCAGTTCAGCATTAAGCCGATGATTGGCTGACTGCGCAAGGAGCTTCAAGTTCGGTCTCTTGAACCACTCAAACATTATTTCCTCTTAGGTAAATCCCAGTGTATCGCCCAGGGTCTTTCAACAAAACGGACAAAACAGCAATCAGAGCACAACATGTGATGTATATTGATGCCAGCAACTTTTGTTCATTCAGCAAGATAGACGGTTCCTGACTGTGTATCAATAGAGACGATTGGCTAGCATGGTTTTAGTTATGTCGGCACTAACATTTTCATTATGACAGTGTCTCCAGCGCCCCGTTTCTGAGCTATCTTTCCCAAAGAGCCCATCAGGTCATCAACCTTGGGATCCAGCGAGGGACCCATGAAGTTCGATAATACAGGTTCATCATCCTAAAAGCGCGTGAATGACGTGTGCCCGACGAATTCGAAAAGAAAGTAAATACCAGCGTTTCACGAAGGAACACATTCATTTTTGCCTCCGCAAGAGTAGTAAACCAAATGAAAACTGCACGCAGAGCATAATCGGATGACATCTTAGGCCCCGATGACACATCATCATCTTCCTCCATGATCGAGGGCCCATCACTACTGAACGTCTGAGTACCAAATGTGTCAGGCATACGGGAAACAGGAGAAGGAGAAGACGAGTAAGAGAAGCCGTGACCATGATCACTCCCTGTGTCCGAGTCGTGGAATATAGACCCGGATTGAGAATGATGATATCTTGCAGTGAAAATGCCCTCTTGCCCTTGATGGAGCACGGGGGACGTGATTCGCTAGATTCACTTTTGAATGGATTCATTGGGAGTACATCTAACTGGTCTTAGCCAAGCAGTTAATACAACAGTGTCAAAATCTGTCTGTGTAGGTTCAAAACCTGTCAAAGATGAAATTGCAAGTGATCATCAGAGTCAAAATCTGTTTCTCTTGGAATGTGCAGGTTTGAAACCTGCCAATGATGATATTCATTTCTTTTTAATGCAACCCCACCCTATCTCATACCAAGCACTGCATTTTTGTGTGTGCCCTACATTACACATCCATCTATTGTCCAATCTGATAATGCTGGTATATTTTCATCATTTCATTTTTATGTCATGCTGAATGATACTCCCAGCTACAGACCACAATGTATAGATGCAAGAGAAGCATTCTCGCTACATTCTGCTGCAAACATAGTACAAAGCAGTCACACCTGGGCTGCATCGAAAAAGATAAAACAAACATGAATGATATCACTTTGATCAATACTCTGAAATGTCTAACTGTCCCTATTCGCGTGCACTTGGGTCTCTGAGAATCTATACGCTGCAAAATATTTTGCAAGCAGGTTTTGAATCTGCATAATTTGAAAGAAACAGATTTTGACTCTGTTGCAACATCCACTTGGCTAAGACCAGTGATATGAAATGTCAAGGTGCAATTTCATGGAATAAAAATGTTTTCATTGGCAGGTTTTAAACCAACACATTCCAAGAGAAACAGATTTTGACTCTGGTGATCACTTGGCAATTTGATCTTTGGTAGGTTTCGAACCCACAGAGACAGATTTAGATTCTGTTGTATCAACTGCTCAACTAAGACCAATGAGATACACTTCTAATGAATTCATTTAGAAGTGAATTCTCAAGTCGCATTCATCTACATTTTGTCAGTTCTTTCAATAGCATGGTCACTGTTGATTCTTTTATCCTTGATGCAAACTTGGAATGATAAGCACAAGAGCAATTTAATTCTCTTCAAAGCTCTTGACTTGGTTGAAGAAGAAGAGCAGATTACACATCAAACTTTCAAGTTTGATCCTGATGACCTAGGGAATGAGAAAGAATACACATCCGTCAAGGCTCATATTCAAGAAAAAGATTCAAAAGAGCCATCTGACAACTATTCGCTCATGTACAAGGTTGAGACCTGTTCATTCGTCATCATGTTGCTCTCCTCTTGCTTTTTGAAAGTGCTGTATTGCAGTCTATATTTAATTCATTCATTCAGCTGAGGGAAAACATTACGAGTGACAGGGAATGGTAGACTTGCCTTGCAGATTCACTTCTGAATGTTTTCTTTAAAAATGCTTCTAACTGTTCTTAGCAAAGCAGTTAAATACGACAGAATCCAAATCTGTCTGCGTGGGTTCAAAACCTGCTAAAGATGAAATTGTCGAGTGATCATCAGAGTCAAAATCTGTTTATCTTGGACTGTGTAGGATAAAAACCTGCCAATGATAAATTTCATTTTTTATGAAACCACACCTTTACATATGCTCATGGTCGGTTTGCTTACAAGCTTGTCAGAGTTGTGTTCAGTCAAATGGTTATCCTGACAGAATCAAAATCTGTTTCTATTGGTGTGAAACAGGTTTGAAACCTGTTGAATGTTGCATTTTTTCCACAAGAACATCTCTTGAATATCTGATAATTTTATCAACCCCCTTGAGGGACATAAAATCTTTTATAACCAATCTAATAACCCACAACTCCCTGTCTCAATTCAGCTTGCAATTTTCCTCAATGGCATCAGGTACTATGGCAATGCTGCAACAATAGAGGACTTGGCAGATTTTGCAGGAGTATCTATTGGAATGATCTACAATTGCATTAAACAAGTTGTGATCTCTATCTTGAAGCATCATGACGACATAATTCACTTTGATTCACTTGATCAGGAGGATCTTGAGGAATAAAAAAGATCGCTCATTGATGGTGTGCTTACATTTTTTGAGGTTGTTATTTTACCTCACAATCTCTGTCTTGTCGGTTATGTGATTGGTGTACCCAGAAGCCTTCATGATTCAAACATTTTTTGTCACACAAGGGTTGCACAGTATCCAGACAATTTTTTGGGTGCAGGTCAGTGGTTATGGACAGACTCTGCATGTGCAGCACAAACATGGTCTGTCCCACCATTCAAACAGCCACTAGAAGGGAAAGGGGTTGACCAGAGATCATATACACTGATAGTGTGGTGTAGGAAGCTTATATTTAAAAACATGAACTGGAGCCAAAGTGCTTGCAAAGAGAGTAGGTAAAATATGTAATAAGAGTTCATGACACACAAATGATCACATCATTAAAGTCCAAAGCATAATATGGTCTGATTTGAAAATAAAGTGACAGAAACATACCAGTGAGGTTGAATTGGACACATTGATGGAATTATGTGCAACATAGGGCACTTTGGGGGTAGGAAACTATACAGATATCCAGTCTGACTTTTCTTCTTAGTTCTTCTGTTAACTTCTTGATTACTATATTCCAATAGCTACTATCTATGGCTCATAATGATAAACCATACAGTGGTAGTGCACTGTAGAAAGCTAAGTTACAAAATCCAGAAACAGAGGTACACACGCCTCACTAAACATGATCCCACAAGGCAGAGCCAAAGTGCTTGTGAAGGGAGTATATAAATATATGTAACTTGGTGGGAAATGACATGTATGGAGACCACCATATCATGAATGCATGAATTCACTGAATGCTGAGCTCTGATATTTTTGTAATCACATTAGGAAATGTCAGTGTATAATTGCATAGAATAAAAATATTACCACTGGCAGGTTTGAAACCTGCAAAGTGCAAGAGAAACAGATTTTGACTCTGGCGACAACTTGACCAAGGCTGGTGAAGATCAATGTTTGAGATACTGTCTATCAGCAGATATTCAAGACATGTTCTTAAGGAAAAAATGCGACATTCAACAGGTTTCAAACCTGTTGCACTCCAATAGAAACAGATTGTTATTCTGTCAGGATGACCATGAGCATATGTTAAGGTGTGGTTTCATTAAAAAAATGAATTTCATCATTGGTAGATTTCAAACCTGCAATGTCCAAAAGAAACAGATTTTGACTCTGATAATCACTGGGAATTGCATCTTTAGCAGGTTTTGAACCCACACATGCAGATTTGAAACAGATTTGGATTCTGTTGTAGCAACTGTCTGACTAACACCATTTGGACACATGTTTAAAAAAAACATTCAAACGTGAATCTGCAAGTCTACTGTTCCCTGTCACTCACAATGTTTTCCCTCAGCTAAACAGATGAATTGAATACAGACTGCGATACAACACTTTCAAAAAGCGAGAGAAGAGCGACATGATGATGAAAGGGTCTCAAACACAGTGCACCTCAACCTTATATGTAAGTGAATAGTTGTCAGATGGCTCTTGTGAATCTTTTCCTTGACAGATGTGTATTTTTCCTCATTTCCCAGGTCATCAGGATCAAACTTGAAAGTTTGATGTGTAATCTGCTCTTCTTCTTCAACCAAGTCAAGACCTTTGAAGAAAGCTGTCTGTGTTCAGATGCACATTCAGTTTTGGTCACCAGGAGAGCAACATGATGACGAATGAACAGGTCTCAACCTTGTACATGAGCGAATAGTTGTCAGATGGCTCTTTTGAATCTTTTTCTTGAATATGAGCCTTGACGGATGTGTATTCTTTCTCATTCCCTAGGTCATCAGGATCAAACTTGAAAGTTTGATGTGTAATCTGCTCTTCTTCTTCAACCAAGTCAAGAGCTTTGAAGAGAATTAAATTGCTCTTGTGCTTATCATTCCAAGTTTGCATCAAGGATAAAAGAATCAACAGTGACCATGCTATTGAAAGAACTGACAAAATGTAGATGAATGCGACTTGAGAATTCACTTCTAAATGAATTCATTAGAAGTGTATCTCATTGGTCTTAGTTGAGCAGTTGATACAACAGAATCTAAATCTGTCTCTGTGGGTTCGAAACCTACCAAAGATCAAATTGCCAAGTGATCACCAGAGTCAAAATCTGTTTCTCTTGGAATGTGTTGGTTTAAAACCTGCCAATGAAAACATTTTTATTCCATGAAATTGCACCTTGACATTTCATATCACTGGTCTTAGCCAAGTGGATGTTGCAACAGAGTCAAAATCTGTTTCTTTCAAATTATGCAGATTCAAAACCTGCTTGCAAAATATTTTGCAGCGTATAGATTCTCAGAGACCCAAGTGCACGCGAATAGGGACAGTTAGACATTTCAGAGTATTGATCAAAGTGATATCATTCATGTTTGTTTTATCTTTTTCGATGCAGCCCAGGTGTGACTGCTTTGTACTATGTTTGCAGCAGAATGTAGCGAGAATGCTTCTCTTGCATCTATACATTGTGGTCTGTAGCTGGGAGTATCATTCAGCATGACATAAAAATGAAATGATGAAAATATACCAGCATTATCAGATTGGACAATAGATGGATGTGTAATGTAGGGCACACACAAAAATGCAGTGCTTGGTATGAGATAGGGTGGGGTTGCATTAAAAAGAAATGAATATCATCATTGGCAGGTTTCAAACCTGCACATTCCAAGAGAAACAGATTTTGACTCTGATGATCACTTGCAATTTCATCTTTGACAGGTTTTGAACCTACACAGACAGATTTTGACACTGTTGTATTAACTGCTTGGCTAAGACCAGTTAGATGTACTCCCAATGAATCCATTCAAAAGTGAATCCTCAAGATACACTTATCCTGCATTTTGTCAGTTCTAACATTTCCCTTGAGCCCGACCATATGTGATTCTTCCATTGTCAGTTGTCACTCATGATCTGGTTGTTAATCCCAAGACATCACAAACATCATCGGCCCACTGTGATGGTCTGCCATCAGCACTTTTTTTGAGCAATTGCTGGATAAACAGGTCTTGAAGCAGAGGCCCAGGAGAAGCCTGATGTCTTTATCAAAATCTGTTTCTATTGAAATGCAGCAGGTTTCAAACCTGTTGAATGTCACATTTTTTCTATGAGAACGTGCCTTGAATGTTTGCTCATAGACAGTATCTCAGACATTGATCTTCATTGGTCTTAGTCAAGTTGTTGCCAGAGTTAAAATATGTGTCTCTTGAACTTTGCAGATTTGAAACCTACTGATGATGATATTTTTATTCTATGAAATTAAACCCTGATATTTCCTCATGGATAGTTTTCTTCAAAACCCATCATAAATGCTCTTTTCCATATCATTGCCACAATAGATTCAAATTATGTTTCAATCAAAGCCTACAGGTTGGCAATCAGTCCTAGTTTGGGAGTTATAAAAGTCAAAATCTGATTTTCCTGAACTGAGCAGGTCAAAAACATGTATCACTCAGCATATTTCAAGCATGCACAGTCCAAGAGAAACAGACTTTAATTCTGTTGTAACAACCACTTGGCCAAGACTGTTTATAATGAGCTTTTGAGACAACCATCCATGAGCGAATGTTTGAGGTATATTTCAATGAACAACAAAAAATGCAATTATATGGGTTTCAAACCTGCTTAGTCCAGGATAATCAGATTTTGAATCTATTATGGCAATAACATGGCTGAGAACATTTAAGATGAGTTTTTGACAAAACTCTTTACAAGGGACTGTCAAGGTGTGATTTCATAGGATAAAAATATTATCATCAGCAGGTTTCAAACCTGCACAGTTCAAAGAGAAACAGATTTTGACTCTGGCGATCACTTGGGAATTCAATCTTTGGTAGGTTTTGAACCCACACAGACAGATTTAGATTCTGTCATATCGACTGCTTGGCTAAGACCAGTGAGATGCACTTCCAATGAACACAATCAGAAGTGAACCCTCAAGGCACATTTATCTGCATTTGACCACCACACAAAATGATGAGATGGAATGACTCATGAGCTTGCATTCAAGGCAAGTTTTAATGGCAAAAGAAAAACCATGTTATTATACAGGTTTTAAGCCTGCTCAGTTTAAGAGAAATAGATATAGAAATATTGGCTGATTTTGATGCAGCAACTATGAGTTCAAAAGAAGCAGCTAATACTCAGAGGGATTTAGGATTGAAAAATACAGACCTTCAGAGTGTGTAGAGTTCAAAAAGCACGCAGACCAGAGTCATGGCAATGACATGGCTAAGATCATTTAAGATGAGTTTCTCAGAAAACCAGGTGTGTTTTTATAGAAAATAAAATTTATCATTGACAGGTTTCAAACCTACACAGTCCAAGAGACACAGATTTTGACTCTGGTGATCACTTAACAATTTCATCTTTAGCAGATTTTGAACCCACGCAGACAGATTCAGATTCTGTCATATTAACTGCTTAGCCAAGACTAGTTGAATGCACTTGCAATGAACCCATTCAAAAGTAAATGATCAAAATTGAAAGTTTGATGTGTAATCTGCTCTTCTTCTTCTTCAACCAAGTCAAGACCTATAGAAAGAATTAGAGTGTTCTTATACTTATCCTTCCAAGTTTGCATCAAGACTTTGGTCATATATTGAACTCTGTGTCAAAAATACTTGCATTCAACTCTGGTGAGTTTTTTTTTAGCAAAAAAGGATGCATGAAACCAACAGCAATGTCAATCAAGCTTGAGATCATCAGTTTTTGCTTGCTATACTGTGATTTCATAGAATAAAAATAAAAATAAAAATATTATCATTGGTAGGTTTCAAACCTAGATAGTTACAGTTTGAGAGAAGCAGATTTTGACTCTGGTGACAACTCAACTAAGACTAATGAAGATCAATGTTTGAGATGCTGTCTGTGAGCAGATATTCAAGACATGTTCTAATACAAAAAATGTGTCACTCTGCAGGTTTCAAACCTGCAAACTTCAATAGAAACAGATTTTGACTCTGTTATGACAGCCACATGACTAAACATGACTTTGATCATCTTGATGGCAAACCGACCATGAGCAAATTTCAAGGTGCATTTTCATAGAAAATAAAAGGAATTTGATCACTGGCAGGTTTCAAACCTGCACATTCCAAGAGAAACAGATTTTGACTCTGGTGATCACTTGACAATTTCATCTTTAGCAGGTTTTGAACCCACGCAGACAGATTTATATGATGTCGTATTGACTGCTTGACTAAGACCAGTTGAATGCACTTGCAATGAACTCAATCAAAAGTGAATCCACAAGGCAGTTCTTTCAATAGTATGGTCTCTATGATTTATTCTTTTATTTCACTCTTATTTCAAAAGACATCAGACTTCTTCTGGGGCTCTTGACTTCAAGACCTGTTTATCTAGCAATTGCTCTGAAAAAGTGCTGATGACAGACCATCATGGTGGGCCAATGATGTTTGTGATGTCTTGGGATATTAACAGCTGGATCATGAGTGACAACCAACAATGGAAGGATCACATATGGTTGGACTCAAGGGGGATGTTGGAAATTAATATTAGAACTGACAAAATGCAGATAAATGTACCTTGAGGATTTGCTTCTGAATGGGCTCATCAGTAGTGCATCTAACTGGTCTTAGCCAAGCAGTTGATACAACAGAGTCCAAATCTTTCTGCGTGGGTTCAAAACCTGCTAAAGATGAAATTGCGAGTGATTATCAGAGTCAAAATCTGTTTCTCTTGGACTGCGCAGGTTTGAAACCTGCCAATGATGACATTTTTATTTTATGAAATCACACCACCAGTGAGATGGTGCTCTCAGGAAAGTACACATGAGTCCATTTCGAGGTGTGTTCTAACAGGAAAAAAAACATATAGATCAGTGTCTGAGATGCTGTCAATGAGCAAATATTCAAGACATGTTCTAATAGAAAAAAATGCGACATTCAATAGGTTTCAAACCTGTTGCACTCCAATGGAAACAGATTTTGATTCTGTTATGACGACCACTTGGCTAAACACAACTCTGATGAGCTTTTAAGCAAACTGACCATGAGCATATATCAAGATGAATTTTTATAGAAAATGAAAATTATCCTTGGCAGGTTTTAAACCTGCGCAGTCTAAGAGAAACAGATTTTGACTCTGGCGATCACTTGGCTATTTAATATTTTGTAGGTTTTGAACCCACACAGACAAATTTAGATTCTGTTGTATTGACTGCTTGGCTAAGACCAGTGAGATGCCCTTCCAATGAACTCATTCAGAAGTAAACCCTCAAGGCACAAAAGTTCAATGTATGACCAAAGTCTTGATGCAAAGTCGGAATGATGAGTACAAGAACAATTTGATTCTCTCCAAAGTCTTGACTTGGTTGAAGAAAAAAAGCAGATTACACATCAAACTTTCCAGTTTGATTCTAATGACCTGAGGAAGTTCTGAGATAAAGCAGAAGTATTTAGACAATAGTGCGACATTCTGCGCTTAGATGCTTTCAAGTGCTCAGTGTCAAATAGCAGTTATAGCGTATTTTGGATTTTGAGTCCCACAATATGCAAGATGGTGGTGGAAAGTTGTTCAGAGTCAAAAGATACATGGTGCTATGTAAGTAATTCTAAGTGTGTTCTCAGTGCGCAAAAGCAAGTTGGAAGCGCAGCAAATAGGCAAAAGTATGTAAGTTGCTTCTGAATGGGTTCATCGGGAGTGCATCTAACTGGTCTTAGCCAAGCAGTCGATACAACAGAATATAAATCTGTATGCGTGGGTTCAAAACCTGCTAAAGATGAATTTGCCAAGTGATCATTAGAGTTAAAATCTGTTTCTCTTGGACTGCGCAGGTTTGAAACCTGCCAGTAGTAAATTTTGTTTTCTATGAAAATGCACCTTGAAAGATTTGCTCATGGTCGGTTTGCTTGCAAGCTGATCACAGCTGTGTTTAGCTAAGTGGCTGTCATAACAGAATCAAAATATGTTTCCATCAGAGTGCAACAAGTTTGAAACTTGTCGAATGTCGCATTTTTTCTCTAAGAACATGTCTTGAATATTTGCATGGTGGAATGTGATGAATCATGAGTTGATGCAAAAGGCACATCATTATACAGATTACAAACCTGCTTAGTTCAAGAGAAATATATTTTGACTCTGGCAATCACTTGAATAAGCACAATAAAGAATCTCAGCCTTGATGGATTTGTATTTTTCCTAATTCCCCAGGTTATTAGGATCAAACTTGAAAGTTTGATGTGTAATCTGCTCTTTTTCTTCTTCAACAAAGTCAAGACCTTTAGAAATAATTATATTGTTATTGTACTTATCCTTCTGAGTTTGCATCAAGACTTTGGTCATATATTGAACTCTGCGTCAAAAATACACTGTGTGATCCTTTCATTGTCAGTTTTCACTCATGGAGCCACCATGGTGGTCTTCCATCAGCACTTTTTCAGGGAAATTGTTAGATAAACAGGTCTTGAAGTCAAGAGCCCCAGCAGGAAGTCTGTGTCTTTTGCAATAAGAGTAGGATAAAAAATCAACACCGACCATGCTATTGAAAGAGCTGATAAAATGCTGATAAATGTACCTTAAGTACTCACTTTTGAATGGGTTCATTGGAAGTGAATCTAACTGGTCTTAGCCAAGCAGTTGATATGACAGAATCTAAATCTGTCTGCGTGGGTTCAAAACCTGCTAAAGATGAAATTGTCAAGTGATTATTAGAGTCAAAATCTGTTTCTCTTGGATAGTGTGGGTTTGAAACCTGCTGATAATAACATTTTTATTTTATGAAAATGCACCTTGACAGTCTGAAACCCATTGAATGCTGCATTTTTTCTATTAGAACATGCCTTGAATATTGAATCACAGACAGTCTCTCGGACACTGATCTTCATCAGTCTTAGTTGAGTTGTCACCAGAGTCAAAATCTGTTTCTATTGCACTGTGCAGGTTTGAAACCTGCCAATAATAACATTTTCTCATGAATAGTTTTCTCAAAAATTCATTTAAAAATGGTCTCAGCCACATCATTGCTATGATAGATTCCAAATGTGTTCTCATCAAAGTCTGCAGGTTTGAGACCTGTCAGATGACACACTTTTTTTTTTTTTTTTTTTTTCATATTGCAACATGCTCAATTAAATATTTGCTCATGGACAGCCTCAGACTTTGATCTTCATAGGTCAAACCAATATAAGTCGTGAGTCTAAGTATCAGAGAAGTGCTCACCTCTACTAGAATTGTGGTGATACTGGAGTAAGTCCAACTATTTATCTATCTACGTAGAAATACAGAAGTATGTAGGCAGAAGTTGTGGCATGATATTAGGTCCAATGTTCTATGTAATAAGATAAGAGGTGCTGCGGACTATGGGAAAACATGTAATAACACCCGTCTATGATGTGAGTAATGTGAGAAATAACAAACTGCGCACCTAGCAGGACTAGCAGGACAGGATGAGACATGGGTAGCATGAGTGTGTGTGATATCTGATTGGCCGATGTGAAACCTGATGTCTGATGTTTGATATTTTCAAGTTTGATGCATATTGAGTTGGATATGATAGAGAGTCAGTGACTCGGACAATGTTCAACAGTTGGTGTGGATCATAAAAAAAGCTGCTGCAAGGCTAGCAGTGGAACATGGTTCCATACACCAGCTTTGAATTTTTTTTTGGTTTCTCTTCCAAGAAAGTCGTGATGCCACCAGAAAATTGAGGCCTTCCAATTTATTTTAAGATTCATATGGAAATGTGAAGGTGCGATTTCATAGAATAAAAATAAAAATATTATCATTGGTAGGTTTGAAACCTGCACAGTTCAAGAGAAACAGATTTTGACTCTGGTGACAACTTGACTAAGACCGATGAGGATCAATATTTGAAATGCTGTCTATGAGCAGATATCCAAGACATGTTCTAATACAAAAAATGTGTCACTCAATGGGTTTCAAACCTGTAGACTTCAATGGAAACAGATTTTGAATCTATTGCAGCAATGACATGGCCAACATCAGTTGAGATGAGTTGTTGAGAAAATAATTCATGAGACAATGTCAAGATGTGTTTTCATAGAAAATAAATTTCATCATAGGCAGGTTTCAAACCTGCACATTTCAAGAGAAACAGATTTTGACTCTGGTGATCACTTGATAATTTTATCTTTAGCAGGTTTTGAACCCACACAGACAGATTTAGATTCTGGACTCAAAGAGAATGTTAGAAATTAATGTTAGAGCTGACAAAATGCAGATAAATGTACATCAAGGATCCACTTTCTGAATGGATTCATTAGGAGTGCATCTAACTGGTCTTAGCCAAGCAGTTGATGCAACAGAATCCAAATCTGTCTGTGTGGGTTCAAAACCTGCTAGAGATAAAATTGTCAAGTGATCATCAGAGTCAAAATCTGTTTCTCCTGCACTGCGCAGGTTCAAAACCAGCCAGTGATAACATTTTTATTTTATGAAATCACACCTTGACATCGACTCATGTGTACTTTCACATTGTAGCTTGCGCTCCCAAACATCCGCTTTATATGGTGTTTGTGGATGCACTGTTTTGTGTCCAAGAACATCTCTAGGCTCCATGTGATGTGGCTCCGCATCCTGAGCACAAATGCCTCAAATCATGCTTTGGGGTTGTATAGCTTTCATCCTGCTGCCACTCGGTACAAATCCATTCAGAAGTAAATTCTCAAGGTACATTTATCTGCACTAGGTCCAGATTCATGTGTAGGCTTAGTGACATGTGTGGGCCCATGATGTTTGTGATGCCTTGGTATTAATGACTGGGTCCACGAGTGACAATTAATAGTGGAAGAATCATATGGATCAGCCTAGTAAGTGAAATGTCAGAAATTGATGTCTGAGTCCAGTGTGATGAAGTGGAATTTTATGGCTAGGCTAAAGATGGTGATGTACAAATGTAAGTATCAGACCCAGACATCAAATTCTAACTCATCCAACTAGGTCCAATCCTTGCATTTGTATATCACCACCTTTGGCTCAGCCATTAGATTCCATCTCATTGCACTAGGTGAGTGCATCAATTTCTGACATCACACTTAGGCCCAACTATATAATCTTTCTATTGTTAGTTGTCACTCATGGGCCCAGTCATTAATACAAAGGCATTACAAACATCATGGGCTCACCCATGTCTCTCTTGAGTCAATTAAAGTGCTTAGTGTTAAGCAGTGATTATAGAATAGCAGAATTTAGACTTGGAGTCAGACTTGCTTGGCACTTGAACTCATGCGCACAATGATCACCAATCTCAATGATGTGCGGTGTGGGATCGAAAACGTGTAAACAGATGAGTTCTGTTCTTTCATTAGCCGCTCTGTATAATCAATTAATCTGATATTGATGTGTAGGTTGCTGGACTCACTCAGCTCATCTTCAGGATCCTCATCAGCATCATCAACCTCATCACCATTTGCGGGCTCATTATTGTCCAGGTCGATATATTCATGCAATGCTTCCTCCTCCTCTGTGTGCACAATGGCAATAAAATTCCACTTCATCACACTGGACTCAGACATCAATTTCTGACATTTCACTTACTAGGCTGATCCATATGATTCTTCCACTATTAATTGTCACTCGTGGACCCAGTCATTAATACCAAGGCATCACAAACATCATGGGCCCACACATGTCACTAAGCCTACACATGAATCTGGACCTAGTGCAGATAAATGTACCTTGAGAATTTACTTCTGAATGGATTTGTACCGAGTGGCAGCAGGATGAAAGCTATACAACCCCAAAGCATGATTTGAGGCATTTGTGCTCAGGATGCGGAGCCACATCACATGGAGCCTAGAGATGTTCTTGGACACAAAACAGTGCATCCACAAACACCATATAAAGCGGATGTTTGGGAGCGCAAGCTACAATGTGAAAGTACACATGAGTCGATGTCAAGGTGTGATTTCATAAAATAAAAATGTTATCACTGGCTGGTTTTGAACCTGCGCAGTGCAGGAGAAACAGATTTTGACTCTGATGATCACTTGACAATTTTATCTCTAGCAGGTTTTGAACCCACACAGACAGATTTGGATTCTGTTGCATCAACTGCTTGGCTAAGACCAGTTAGATGCACTCCTAATGAATCCATTCAGAAAGTGGATCCTTGATGTACATTTATCTGCATTTTGTCAGCTCTAACATTAATTTCTAACATTCTCTTTGAGTCCAGAATCTAAATCTGTCTGTGTGGGTTCAAAACCTGCTAAAGATAAAATTATCAAGTGATCACCAGAGTCAAAATCTGTTTCTCTTGAAATGTGCAGGTTTGAAACCTGCCTATGATGAAATTTATTTTCTATGAAAACACATCTTGACATTGTCTCATGAATTATTTTCTCAACAACTCATCTCAACTGATGTTGGCCATGTCATTGCTGCAATAGATTCAAAATCTGTTTCCATTGAAGTCTACAGGTTTGAAACCCATTGAGTGACACATTTTTTGTATTAGAACATGTCTTGGATATCTGCTCATAGACAGCATTTCAAATATTGATCCTCATCGGTCTTAGTCAAGTTGTCACCAGAGTCAAAATCTGTTTCTCTTGAACTGTGCAGGTTTCAAACCTACCAATGATAATATTTTTATTTTTATTCTATGAAATCGCACCTTCACATTTCCATATGAATCTTAAAATAAATTGGAAGGCCTCAATTTTCTGGTGGCATCACGACTTTCTTGGAAGAGAAACCAAAAAAAAATTCAAAGCTGGTGTATGGAACCATGTTCCACTGCTAGCCTTGCAGCAGCTTTTTTTATGATCCACACCAACTGTTGAACATTGTCCGAGTCACTGACTCTCTATCATATCCAACTCAATATGCATCAAACTTGAAAATATCAAACATCAGACATCAGGTTTCACATCGGCCAATCAGATATCACACACACTCATGCTACCCATGTCTCATCCTGTCCTGCTAGTCCTGCTAGGTGCGCAGTTTGTTATTTCTCACATTACTCACATCATAGACGGGTGTTATTACATGTTTTCCCATAGTCCGCAGCACCTCTTATCTTATTACATAGAACATTGGACCTAATATCATGCCACAACTTCTGCCTACATACTTCTGTATTTCTACGTAGATAGATAAATAGTTGGACTTACTCCAGTATCACCACAATTCTAGTAGAGGTGAGCACTTCTCTGATACTTAGACTCACGACTTATATTGGTTTGACCTATGAAGATCAAAGTCTGAGGCTGTCCATGAGCAAATATTTAATTGAGCATGTTGCAATATGAAAAAAAAAAAAAAAAAAAAAGTGTGTCATCTGACAGGTCTCAAACCTGCAGACTTTGATGAGAACACATTTGGAATCTATCATAGCAATGATGTGGCTGAGACCATTTTTAAATGAATTTTTGAGAAAACTATTCATGAGAAAATGTTATTATTGGCAGGTTTCAAACCTGCACAGTGCAATAGAAACAGATTTTGACTCTGGTGACAACTCAACTAAGACTGATGAAGATCAGTGTCCGAGAGACTGTCTGTGATTCAATATTCAAGGCATGTTCTAATAGAAAAAATGCAGCATTCAATGGGTTTCAGACTGTCAAGGTGCATTTTCATAAAATAAAAATGTTATTATCAGCAGGTTTCAAACCCACACTATCCAAGAGAAACAGATTTTGACTCTAATAATCACTTGACAATTTCATCTTTAGCAGGTTTTGAACCCACGCAGACAGATTTAGATTCTGTCATATCAACTGCTTGGCTAAGACCAGTTAGATTCACTTCCAATGAACCCATTCAAAAGTGAGTACTTAAGGTACATTTATCAGCATTTTATCAGCTCTTTCAATAGCATGGTCGGTGTTGATTTTTTATCCTACTCTTATTGCAAAAGACACAGACTTCCTGCTGGGGCTCTTGACTTCAAGACCTGTTTATCTAACAATTTCCCTGAAAAAGTGCTGATGGAAGACCACCATGGTGGCTCCATGAGTGAAAACTGACAATGAAAGGATCACACAGTGTATTTTTGACGCAGAGTTCAATATATGACCAAAGTCTTGATGCAAACTCAGAAGGATAAGTACAATAACAATATAATTATTTCTAAAGGGTACTGACTGCAGCTGTTATTTATGTAGTTGGAAATTCGCCCTTTTCCTTGCAATTGATGCAAACTTTCATTTGGCAAGGAAAAATGTTTCTTCAGATGTAGTTGACCCTGGACTGAGTCAGGGCTGGTCATCTTTTGTTGAAGATCGTGAATTCAAGTCATTTCTGAATGACTCAGGAACACTGCCTCAAGAGGTGATTGTCTTTCTTCTCAATTTGCCAACACTGATGTAACATTCTATTTGAACAGAAAAGCATGTGCACAAGTCGCAGCGCTGTGAATCTTGCAGATACAAAAAATGCATGTGGCTTGGCAACGACAGGTGTGGGTACAGTAGATTGCGCTCGTCAAAATCTTAAATGACCATGTGCGGTTGGTGACCTCCAGAAGGGTGAACAGTATGTGACCCTTTCCAATGACAATCATCAAGCTGATAATATATGTAGATATGTTAATATGAACTACCTTCTCTTCTCGATGTTGCAACACACCCACGACATTGTAGTTCTCAATATACATATGACATTGCTTGTCAATGGAGCAAGCATATCTGGAAATGCATGTCAAGCTATCCCTCTGCCATTCATTTCGACTGCACTCACAAGAATGTTGTATTCCTCATCCCGAAGTTCCACCTCCCTGCATATATCGCTGCTTGCCAGATCGGATTCTCATATAACTTAGTGAAGGGTGTCAGCCAAACAGATGGTGAAGCTCCCGAGCAGGGTTGGGCTAACATCAATCCAGTGGCCACGAGCACATGCAAGATGAGGCCAGGATCATGGTGAGACACCTTGGACAATCATTTTGGGGATTTCAATTGGAAGAAAGTATCAAATTTTGGTAAGCTCTCATTTAGCTTTCTTGTACTTTGCTATGTATCTAATGTTTCATCAAGGTATCAGCCTTTTGTGCAAGATAAAGATCGCTATCCCAGAATGTGATCTCCACGTACGAGATTTTGAATATTTCAATCAAATGCTATTGCATGAGTGACTAAATGAAGTCAATGCATGGAAGTTGTTGATTGAAAGATGGGAAGAAGATAGATCACAGCCCAATCCTTTCGAGATAACGAGCAAACATACACCCTGTTGTTTTGTCCTCGCATCTTGAAATAGACTTAGATGTTTCTTTTTTTTTAGCAATGTCACAAGCTGCTGTGTGCCTCAGTCTTTCACAGAAAGAAGCCAGTGATTTAGAACACTGTCAATGATTCACTTCACTCGGATATCTCTCCAAGTATATTGATTTCCTCCAGCATGGACTATGAGGATCAACAGTGAGTGGTGTCCCATTTTTTCCATTTACACAATGCTGAGCGACTATGATGCAGATGTCGTCTTCAGCATGACCATAGTGCCCTCAGTGTTCATGCAACCAACCTGCAGCTCACGAAGTTCCAGGAACATAGCAATGCATTGCAGCACAAGATTGCTCAATAGTGTATGATCCAGCTACTGTACTTCCCCTCAGTAGCTCATCTTCAAGCCTCCGACATCGAGTCTAGCATAGATTCTACCCAGGAGGAGAAACCCACCAATATTAAGCTGTGGTTGCCATCACAGATCAGGCATGAGACACTGCTTCCATGCAATGACAGTTTCTCCAAACACGAGTGGGATTTATGGCATGCTCAGGCCTTTGATGCCCTCAATGATCTCTGCTGGCACCTCCGCCTTCGAACACATCGATACAAGTTCAAGGACACTCAAATTCGCAGTCAGCAGGCAAATACACATGCAGGCATCATCATCAAGAACACCGAAATTAATGTATCCATGGCTGCTGAGCGCTATTGCAGAGCCTGGAACACATTAAGTGCTCTTGCACCTTCCCTAGCCAGGGACACGTGGACAACAGAGCTGCCAAAGTTAGAGGAAGGGGATATCCGAGGGATGGGAGACAGCACATTTGGAGAGTCAAGCGGGAACTGCACCTTGTCGTGGATATGGAAAGCGCGAGGTGTAGCTACTGTAGGGATGGAGGGTGGGGCAGTTCTCTCAGAAGGTGAGTGACCACCGTGTGTCAATACTTTGGCTAATGTTTTGTTAGCTTTGCGAGTCGAATGGTGTAGATCAAGGGCCTGTGCCAACCAGTATTTTCCAGCATGGCTACCAGTTCCTCCTCGTTGCACGTTGTGGGCAACACATTAGTTCGACCTGTCACTTTGGTTGTTTTGGATCAAGAACTTCCCGACGATGGAAGGTCCGTCGTGTCGACCCGCGTTCTACACCAGTATTTTGAGTATTTTGGGATCACACAAGCGTTTTTGCAGTTTGTGGAGCAGTTTCCATCTGGCATAGTGCTGCTGAAGTCCGGTTTGGTCGGGTTCATCACCTCATATTTGCGAACCCCAAACTTGACCAGTGGTCAGGTTCAGGCAAGATGGCCGAACCTTGAACCGGACACCTTTGAACGTGTTTGCAAGAGTTCAGAACAGGTTCAGAACAGGTTCGAACCCTCGAACCATTGTTTCAATTACTAGAAAATGACAACATTGTACTGTAAAAATAGCTACCAAATTTACTCATTGTGCACAACGACATGGTTATCATAAGGAGGTGAAGATGCGGCCTGGACAGTTGCAGAGATATGGCCTTGACGGTATGCACTTTTGAGTAACTGAAGAGCTTCGAACATTGCTGGTTGCAAACAGCTACGACGTGCCGTGCCAGGTAATGCCACCACTTGAAAATGTGCACTCAGATGCAACAGCCAAACCTTGAATAGCGAGGTAGTCCTTGGCGATGCGAGAAATGGTTGGGTACTGGATAGAATGGTGCTGGAAAATATTAGTATGCAAGTAACAACAATTAAACAATGATACGTACCCCCCACCAGCCCACTACGTTGTCAACATCCTCGAGTGGTGCATCTAGGTAGTCCTCAAGCTCTTGACGAGGCCTTCATGTGGCTGTGTCATTGATGACATGTGTTTTGACAGAGCCGTGCACATCCAACTATGGCCGTATGAGCCTTGGCGAGCAAGTGCAGGTGGCTCAGTGACAGGCGGCTCTGCAGGAGCCTGCGAGGAATGATATCTATCAAACTATGTATGTAATGTTAGTATACAATTGACAATGAGTGATGATGAGGGACATACAACTCTCTCTCGGGATCGCATCCCCATTTCGAAAAAACAATGGGCCCATTTGTCTTTGGCATATGCGACCTTGTAGTTGGGGTCGAGCACTACACCAAAATGGTCAATATCATTTGAAGGCATTAAAATAAATATAAGACATACCAAAGCAAATAAAATACATGTCCGTGTCGTCGGTCTTACCATACCACTTGCTGAGATTACTAATGCCAGCTTCAATGGCTGTCGAGAAGTGGCTGAATTTTGTCGAGTCGGCCATGTTCTGCAATGTCTCTTGAAGACACTCGAGCACCGGAATAGTTTGCCATACAGTTGGCTCACGAGTTGCCGAGAAACTCTGCTGAGCATCTGCAGGTTCCTTGGTGTGCAGCATATGAGCATAATTACATGTAAAAGATAGAGGAAAATGACAAACCTGAAGGACTTCACGCATCAAGTCCAACTCCGTCCATTCTTGCACCGAAAGCCTGAAATCAGCATATAATTTCTCCTTCAACTTCGGGACCTCGTCGCTGTCATCAGCGAGCTGAATGAACTGGTTCACTCCCTGATGAATCAGGTCTGAATCAGTGACATATTCATGTAGTTAGTAGCAGACGACTTACTTTGCACAACTGAAAGACACGCTCCAACATATTGAACAGTGATGCCCAACGTGTGTGGACCCATCTCAACAGCTCCAATGGAGGCTCATTGACCTCTGCACAACACTTTTGAAGAAAGATGTGAGCTTGAGGAGATTTCCGTACCTAAACACAGTCAGTATATAATAGTAGACAGATTAATTAGAAGCTTACCTGTGCAATGAATGTGAGTGCCTTGCCAATGGTGTCACCGACTTCAAACTCGACACTTTCCTCGTCTTCGTCTTCTTCCGCCTCTGCTTGAGCTGCCTTCTTGTGCAATACACTCGCTGGTGTAGGAGCCACCTCCTCGACAAAGTGTTTTGCTGCTAAATGGAGTGCGTGCTCCATGCAACTGAAATACTTGTCAGTAATCTCAACGGAAGTATCTAATAGACAGACTTACCGCACACGATGCTCAATTGGATTCCAATTCTCACCAGACAGGTCGATAGAGTCAGCGACGGTCTCGATGGCCATATCGTTGTTAGTGGCATTGTCAGCTGTAAACCACCCGAGCTTTGTGTGGATCCCATATTTGTCAATATTCTCAATTAGAATCTGGCCGATGTTTGTGCCGCTGTGATTGCCGTGAATGGGCGTGGATGCAAGCTGCTCGGTTGTTAAGGTCGTACTCTTGTAGGGTCGGATCCGAAGGACTTCGGCCTCAGCTCGTACACTGTGCCCCTTTCCCAAGTACTGTCCCTTATTTCAAAGTACTAACGATAACGCGTCCGAAGGTCCTGGACGGGTCTCGTAGTATATCCGGATGTCTTCCGGATATCAGAAACGCATATAAGGCTAATCCGGACGTATCCGAACTAGAAACTAACAGAGTAAAGACTACCCGAAGGTAGAGCCGAGGATATAGACTATCGGAATCTATCCGAAGTCTCAGAGGGTGACAAGAGTAAGAAGGACTCAAGTCCGGAGGACAGAAAGAGGACAAACTAAGATGATATTCGAACTGAGGTACTACAGGACATATACACGAGTTTATATACTATGAGGATAACAGAAGTATCAGTAAGCAAAGGTCTGAGGCTATGTATGAAGCATGTGCAAAGGTTATCAAACGCAAGTCGGAAATGAGACATAGGTTAACGGATCAGTAAGCATACCGGTAATAAGTATAACCGAAACACCGGGAAGAGGAAATACTGAATAGGCTGTGTTTAACGTTATATGAACAGGAAATGAATTAGAAAGCTTATCATAAATCGGATCGGAAGCGGATCTATACATCGGACCGGATCAGATCTCAGGGTCCGAAGTCCGGAAGAGAAGCGTGAATATATGGGATATGACATCGGTCTTGAGTTCCCATTCTTGAGGCTTGTCAGCTGGGGAATCTATATAATGCGCAAAAAGGGACAGGAAAGGGTGACCAGGCAAAGACATCCACGAGTCGAATGTCATTGAGATTCTGCTATCAACAAGCTTGAGCTTCTCTTTCACGCGCTCAACCGCCAGAGTTGCGCAGTTTGAGTATCTTGTCCCAAGTTTTTGTGCGGTGGGGGATATCTCGGTCTGAAAGTGATGGCCGGAGATACTGAAGAAGGCGGCGGAACAGACCCTTGTCTACAAGTTGAAAGGCCTGCATGTATAAGTGTCTTAAAATGATATTAAGAATGAGAGTCGCTCACCTCAGTCCTCGGCAACAATCAGTTCAACGATGTAGTCCATAAGTCCAGATTTCGTGAATAGTGGTATCTTGGGAGGGAGAGATGCGTCCAAGGTTGCCTGACTGGTTGTAAAGGTCAATGAAAGGAGAAGAAAACAACAAGAAAAATAACATATGCCATATCAGTCATCTTGCAGTTTGGAGGTATTGCACGTTCGTGCATCGCAAAACCACGTTGTTTGCAGTGGTCCCGATAAACTGGGAAGTGGCACTTGGGATTCCGTGCAATGTGCGTGCGTCGAGTCGAGATACTGCCTTTAAAGAAGCACTGGTGTAGAACGACATTGTTGGCCTTGCACACCTCACACCACCACCCGTTTTCAAGCTCCTGGGTGTGGGGATTAAGATGGCCTTTCTCGAAAGTGAAGACTGTCGTTAAGTCAGCGCTGCGCTCATCCTTCTTGAGAGATCTGCAGACTTCACGATCCTGGTCGCCAAGGTTCTTCGTCCATTGGTAAGCCTCTTCTTTCTCAGCATTCTCAGCATCCTCTTCCTCATCATCTGTAACATCTTCGAGGGCGGGTGCATCTTCATTGTCGTTGTAGTTGTCCTCTTGGCTAACGAACACTCATTTGGGTGCAGGGACACCTTGGGGAGGTTCTGGAGCCAACCGTTTGGCTGAGGTACTGCTGGCAACCAGAGTCTCGCATATCTTCTCTGTGGGTTTGATGGTACGACCAGAACAACAGACAAATGAGTTGAGAGTGCCATTGTTGGCAGGAGCAGGGGGAGGAACCATTGGGGTATCGTCTTCAGCATCATTGTACCACTGAATTTCACTGGCATCTTTCAATGAACCGTCAGCGCAACATGCAGAGGACTCGGACATAGCAGCAGGAGGCATAAATGTCCCTAGGTACCAAGTGAATATATTTAAAACTAGTTTTAAAACTGTTGCGCACCATGAACCACCAAAACGAGAACCCATGGCAGATGGCAAGTATGGTGAATCACAACAGTAGGTATGTTCTGAAATAAATTGCATTATAAGTTAATTGGGACAGACAGTAGAATTGCTGCGAACTCACTGGCACCTGAATGAGTTGCTGCATTACCGATGTAGAAACAACAATACTGAGAGGAACAAATGATGCTCCTGACTGTATCTAAAAAAATGTTGTAGGTCGTGCATTTGCCTAGTCTGCGTTACTTGAGGAGACAAGCACGTTTGACCCTAAAGGGAAGCAAGTGCAGCGAAGATCTAGAGGTATGCGCTGAAGCAAGGCGTGTGAAGGCGCAGGTGCGGGAACACGCGCGAAGCGCGGGAAAGCATGCGCGCGTATGTGGAAACAATAGAGAGACTAGACTCAAGTGATGATATAATGCAAGATAGAGATGTGAGAATGCGAGATGTAAAGGAATAGATTTCTACTATATTCTGCTAAGTAGTAAGTGAGTAGTAAGTAGTCAGTTGAAGGAAAAGTAAGTGGTAAAAATGGAAAGTGAGTAGTACTATGTACTGCTGGCGCTTATATAGCGCACCTAAGCGCTGTAATGCGGAGCCGAAGTGCTACCGAGTAGGTATGTAAAGATATATATGAGTGAGAATCCATGATAAAAATAAAGGTGGAACAATATGCTAATAAAGGAAATGGAAATATATGCACTAGGGAGCTTGGTGGACAGTGGATGGATGCTTCTGGATGGCTGGTGCTATAGGGTGCTCAAGCGCGGGAATGCGCGCGCGCATATAGATCGCGAAGTGCGGGAAGGTGCGCGCGCATATAGATCGCGAAGCGCGCGTTGCACGGGAAAGCTGCGCCTCGTATAGGGATAGCTGTGGGTAGCGCACGGAGTGACACTACAAGTTCGTGCTATGTACTCCTTGGTGGAAACTGCCATATCATGCCATGAGAGGCATGATTCTCTACACCGAAGTCACCGAGAGATCGCCTTGCCTACTAGAACGCAGGAGAAGTAGGAGAAGACAGTGAACAGAAGGGCAAGGACAATACTTAAACTTAAACAGAAGCCTCACCAAAAACATGAGGCTTCAACTTCGAAAAGTCAGCAGGTTCGAACCAGTCCGGATTTATCGACGACACACCGAACCCCAAACCTACCAAGGGGTTCAGTCCGACAGAAAGTCTGGACCTGTGACCGAACCATGGGTCTGGTCCGCAAAGGTTTGGGTTTGAACCTAGGTTCTGGACTGAACTGCGGCAGCACTAATCTGGCAGTCTCTTGCCTGTGACTGCTCCTAGCCTAGCTCATATCATTGAGCATTTCTCCATGTTCACTCGCGCACAGTACCTGTGGGCCGAAGAAGTGGAACTCCTGCTTGAAGAGATGCGGCATGTCAGTGCTTTTCTTGCATGGTGGGACAAGCAGGCCACACAAAGGGTAGGCCTAGATGATACTTCATTGGAAGGCATCCAAGGCTATGCCAAATGCTAAGTGGCCCAGTGCAGGTCGATGAGAGATGTATTCCTCACCAAGTGGAGTATTGTACCCACCCTCCTTCATCCCGAAGCAACTGCAGCTCCCATTTAGTACTGTCGGTACATTTTGACATACCTTCTCTTCATGCCAAATATAGACTTTTTGACATCTTTACTCGCATGATCAACACAGTATTCTCAAGAAGCTACAACCCAGGCCCTGGGCCCTGGTATGCTCAGATCTTGTGATCAATATATATATAAGTGGACAGCAAGTACTATAGTCAGATCTCGCGATCAAGATGTATATAAGCGGACAGCAAGTACTATGGATAGTGAAGGATATTGTCAGGGATCCATGACAAGGAAGGATAACTAGTTGTCTCTAATGAGACTTAGTTGTCCATAATACTGCCAGGAGCAGGTTGTTTGCAAGGAGCGTGTTGAACAAGCACATTCAAGTTCTCAAATCTCGTTAAGTGGGCCAGGAGCAAGAGAAGAAGGCCTATTTTGTTCGTTCTTTTGTTCTTATATATCCTTGATAGAATATCTCCAAATGTATATTTGCGACAGTGGCAGAGGTCTTGTGAGTTGATGAAATCAGTTTTTTCTCGTACCTTGTTTGCACCACGGCTTGGCAACCGAATGGTGGCAGAGCAGTAACAGGTCACCACACACTCCATGAGACTTTCTGCAGACTTGAGTGTTACCTCATTTTGGAACCGATCGAGGCTCCGAGTTGGGACAGGGCACCCGATACTTCAACATGAACCCTTAATTCGGACTGGCTATGTATATGAACAACATCTACAACTTTAGCCGCTCAATGAGCTGGTCATTGAACACTTGGTTTGGGATAGTTCAGGGCTTGGTTACGGCCTCAAGTTTTTTTGGAAAGTATGGACTAGCCGAGGCATATCACGATCCAAAGAACAATTCACCATCCATTAAGATGAGATAGTGGATTATCGAGTTATCAAGACCCAGATCAGTCATGAGATAGGATCATATCACTGATAACATTGAAAATCGAAAACTAGGTAAAGCTAGACATAATCTGCATGTAGCATGTGGTACCACTCTTTGTCGGAGAATGCATTGAGATAGAAGTCATTGTAGAGTTCAAGAGATGTTGTGGAGGTGACAGTGCAATCCAATGTTACCCCATAGACTGGTATGAGTTCTACAGCATGAGTGACATCGATAAGGCATACAATCCTCCCAACCCGCATGCGAGAACCATCAGGAGCAGTATAAAATGAACGACGAACTCGGTACATGGCAATATGTGGCTCAGCTTCAGGGGGCGCAGCTATCTCAAATAGCTCAACATACAAAAAAGGGCCCATCAGCTCGGCTGGCAGCTGTGAGCCTCGTGGTGAGAGTGTGAAAACCATTTGGACTTGAGCAATGTATGGCGCTGAAGGCATATCAGTCACCAAAATTGAGCAGAACTTGAGAACATACGATACTGCGGATCAAGGCCTGGAGGTTGAAGGAGGACAATATCGCAATTTCCGTAAGGATAGGAAGGAGACGGCGGATAGGCCTGAACCTGCTGGCTTGGCATGATGTTACTTGGACGGAGTCAAGAGTGGAGCTGTAGCCTGAATTTAAACCAAACTTTGAGCAGGCGACCACGAAAGTGTGAGTTAGGACCGGCGACAGCTTCAAGAAATTGTGCGAGCATTTGTTGAAAATGAGGGAGATGATACTGATTAGCCAGAGTGATGGCAGTCTTATCAGCAAGATCAAGAGCAATCGTAACGTGAAAAGCTGCATTGGCTTCATCGGAAAGAATCCCCTTGAGAAAATGATTGTGGACAGGTCAAATGGCCTGAAAACGATGCATCTCCTGTGGTGTGATGCACGCTATCCGACTGAACGTTGGATCTGTATCCACAACTTCATTGAACTCTTCATCCATGATGTTAACGAGAGAGATCCCCTGTTCACGGAGGAGAGTGTACAGATCAAACTGTCGCATCATGTCCTCACGATTAACAACATTGACAACCTGCTGAGTAAATGTGCCCCTTTGGTGACTTGTCCGAGCGAAAGGTGTCTTGCAGTGCGTGATCAACAGCCGTTCGCTGGCATCTGCTGAATGTTGGATGATGGCGCCAGATTTACGGATAGAACGCGCAAAGGAATTAAACAGCTCGAGTTTCGGAATCTGGAAATGACCTATTGGGCCGGAGGCTCCTGTGTGAGCCTCTGCCTCTAAGATGAAGTGTTTATGAGCATGGAACTCATTGAGGGAGGCAACCATGCTGCCAATGGAAGAGTTGGTAAAGGTAGGGGCCTGTGCTTTATATATGAAGTCTACAAGTGCACGGACTGCACGGACAAATCCAGGGGAGGTCACGCCCACGATGGTGGGGACCAGTCTTCGCTGTATATCACGATGTTCGCGTCCAGTCATCTGATTAACGTGAGAGATACCATCGGCAAAATGACGCATGCCAATGTGTTTATGCTGGCTGCGGAATCGAGCATCCAGCTCATTAGCACCTATCACCTCCTTGCACCACTTCAATACGTGATCAAAGAAAAACTTGTGGCACATGTGGAGTAGCTCGGGGATGAGGAAGATTGCAGGGTCAGCAAACCTCCAGTCACGCCAATATGGGAGTTGGATGCCACTGAGTGAACGTTGCTTTGCCTGCTCCAGAAATTCCCGAACCTTCCAGGGATCTACGATGTTGCAGAGCGCGACCAGCCCATCTACTGTAGATTGGCCATTCCGGGGGGGGGGTGCGCAATTCCATCACCAAACTGTGCTTGCACGGCTAGGGTTACAGGTGAGACATTTTTTGGAACACATGCAATCATAAGTTGCTCAGGAAGATCGGTGATGTGGGCAATGAGTGGTGTGAATGTGTAATGCCGGCAACCCATTGGGTCTGTCATGAATTCGCCCACCTGAGCTGCGACCTTTAGGTTTTGGAGGACCATATCCATACACCGATGCCAGAGGCACACTTCCAATACTCCTGAAAAATCATGGTTTACAATATATTCTGGGGTCAGAATGTATGTGATGCAGGCCCATGCGTGTGTGGTTGCCTTCATGCGAATTTCGGAGTGAATATTCCTGATTGTCAGAAACGTTGGGTGCATCTCGAGTGATCCTGTGTGTCACGTTACTGGGGTCTTGTCGGATGCAAGAATAATGGGCACTATAGATGCGCCAGTAGGTAATTGACTCTAAAAACAAATTTGCTTAGTGAACTGCATTTACTTTGGAAGCTCAGAAGGAACCAGCCTGAATTTCGAATGCGTGTTCACATGACATCCACTCTCCATATTCCCGCTCACCGTTGTCTTGTATTTCATATGGATCATATTCCATGTGGTTGGCGAAAATCGGATTGCCAAAAATGTGGTGCGCAACTTCTAGGGCATCTCGCCAAATGAGATTCACAGGATGGGTAGTTGTATATCCATCAGTCTCAATGGGCGCGCACTTCCACTTAGGTGTCACCAGTAATGCCTCCATGAAGGTGAAGATTTGCTTGGCATTCTTGAAAGACAATGGCTGTCTTGCCTCTGAACCCACCTGGAAAAGCATGATTAGCCTGGTTAATATAAATTGACTCTAACGAACCCAGAGTAGCTTCAGAAACCGAGTGATCTGCCCTTGATTCAAGTTCTCACAAAGAAATTTTGCAAGCTCCCACTCGGCTCTATCTGAAAATGGGTAATATACATTGTGTTCCCGCATATCCTTGAAATCGTCTTGCTTCATTCGTTCAAAAGTATTTGGCTGGCCAAGATCGTAAATATAACCTGATGTAGGATGGAATCGTGCTTGTCGTGGCTGGTCCTCTGATCTTTGGGGAATACGGAATGCAAGTGGAGGGGGAATCAGTCGCTGAGAACATCCTGAATAGAGGTCCTTGTAGTTAGAGTATCAAAAATCAAGAGTTAAATCGGCTATTCACACCTGGATCATCAGACAGATGGGCACATATATCCTCTGCGGTGTCAAAAACATTGGAACAGATGGGGCATTTGACTGATTTGTTGCAACTGTGTACTTGTCAGTCAGACTGATTCCGTAGTGAGCAGCACTTACGCAAGTCCATTGAACCAACTAGGCTCATCAGGAGAATTCTGTGTGTTCATAGTGGTAATGCTGATACTGTTGCTGATGTGGCCTGACCGTAGAGGGCATTTACAAATCCTTCAGACTTTCTAAGTCTTTCAAGCTCTGCCAGCACTCGTGACCGTTCATGCTCACCATTGTTGCTTGTAGCCAAACCAGTAGTCAGATATCCATGGGAGGATCTGCCAGAACTGATTCAACTCGTTCCTCCAGTCCTGCCAGCTCTCAGACCTGTGTAGAACTGTCGTCCTCAATCCACAAGGACAAAGCCAAATTTGACAACAATATGCTGGCAGAAGACTTCTCCAGCCCTCCCAATGTACATACCATTTTACCTGGAGAGGAGATTTTACCAGAGACACCTTCCCCAGAGACGAAGACTAGATCCCCATTATCATCCCCTGTCAAAGCCAGTCTTCATCCCATTCTGTCATCTCCCACCAGAGTGCCACACACCCCTTCTTGGGGGACAAGAACTAGATCCCCTGTTACATCTCCTGTTAAATTCAGATTTGAGCCATATTTGAAAGCCAGAGCAACAGCAGCCACTATGGCTCAATTTGCCATGAGATCTCTCCGGGGCCAGATGGCCAGGGAGCTGAATCCTAAAGCTGCTTTGATGGCAAGTCACCTCATACACAGCGTCAATTAAATGTTTATTAATTTGAGTGACAGGCCAAGGACATTTTTACTCGTGGTCTCACAGACTTGCCAGACGATATGCTACGTGAAGGTGCAATGGCACAGTATGCCACTTGCGAGCTAGCTAAACATGAGGTTGCTACAGCAACTTGGGCAGTTGAAGAAAATAGCCGCTGGAGACACTTCCTTGAGTGTTCACTTGAGCACTTGAAGACACAACATCATTACTCCCAGGCAGATCTTGAGATGTGGCAACAGGTGTGCACTGCTCGTGGGTTGAAAGATCTTCATGAAGATATCGCCTTCCATGAGTATACAGCTACTCAAAATACTCTGACATTGGCATTCCTCCAAGAGCAAGCTCATCAATTGAAGGAATATGTTGAGGAACGCGGGATCGATGAAGAGGTCTTGGATGGCAGTGACTACGTACCAAGCGAATGTGGCAGTCCTACAGGTCATGATAGCAATGGCGGTGTATTTTTGGAAGCTTGAATATAGTGAGCATGATTTATCGCGCATTGTTTTACTTATTTTCCAGAAAATGTTGGATTACATATGATTTCTGCAATCTGATGCAGTTTACGTGTTTTGTACGTCTTACATGTACTGAATTGGTGTTATCATGAATTTGTCTTCAATCAGTTGTTCTATTTGACCATGTGCTGATCACAATACATTTGCGCCGGCATGCTATTGGTGAGTACCTTTTAGTCAAGATGCATGTGGCTAATTCTTGAACTTAATCGTTATATCAGCGCACTTTAGTCTACAACCCATCATGTCACCGAAATCCCATCACAAGAAACCACAACGAAAAAACCCCAAAACACCAGGGTACAAGTCTCTTGCAGCTTCATACAAGTACTGAACCATCGCGGATGACAGGAATTGCGGAAACCCGCAAAAGGAAGCAACGAAAATCCATGTTTGAATCCTGACGACAGTCAGGTGGGACGCGCGACAGAACAAACAGAACACTGGGAACACGATACATTACTGATCATGCAAGATGAAGAGCTTTTGTACTCGGACAACACCAGTGACTCAGAATCGGAACACAGGCAGCCCCAAGACGTCCACCACCACCAGCACCCACACTACCAGCATCCACCTCTGCTCCCACAGCATGAGCAGATGCGCCACGTATCTTCCCAACAACATATGTCTCCTGCACAGCCTCATTTCCAGTACCACGAGCCTCAAACACTCCAAGCCCCATTCCATCTACGTCCTGATCCTGTCCCGCAGCTCCAGCTCCAGCAGAACAGTAGGACAGTGCGGACTCTTCCAACATGAAGACCCGGGCCAATCGTACCATGCATCATTCCAGCAACATCCGGCTCCTGCCCCCCAGTTCTAGCACCAGCAGTATCCAGGGCAGGGCAGAGCCTTCAAATGCGAAGAGCCCCCAGACCGTATATCCCACACCCCATTCCAGCAACATCCGGCTCCTGACCCCCAGTTCCAGTACCAGCAGTATCCAGGGCAGGGCAGAGCCTTTGAATGCGAAGAGCCCCAAGACCGGATATCCCACACCCCATTCCAGCAACATCCGGCTCCTGACCCCCAGTTCCAGCACCAGCAGTATCCAGGGCAGGGCGGAGCCTTTGAACGCGAAGAGCCCCAAGACCGGATATCTCACACCCCATTCCAGCAACATCCGGCTCCTGACCCCCAGTTCCAGCACCTGCAGTATCCAGGGCAGGGCAGAGCCTTTGAACGCGAAGAGCCCTCAGACTGGATATCCCACACTGCATTCCAACAACACTCTGATACTGCCCCACAGCACCGGCACCAGCACCAGCAGCACCCTGAGCAGGGTAGACTCTTCGTCGATATCAACACGCCACTTCCTCCCACTGTGCGTGGTGCAGAGCGCCTCGGCAGACACCTGCGGGACACACAGGCATGACCAATTCGCGCTGCACCATATGCCCTCCCAGGGCTACGCAAAGTGACAGTCTTTGGGCCCCATCGTCAGGGTGAACATTACCAGTGGCCAGTGGCAAAATACGGGGGTGGTCCATGTGCGTTCAAACGCACCTCCACCTTATCACTCACCTTATTCCAGACAATCAGGCTGGAAGTAGCAAGGATGTCGCTCCAAAATGTCCCATGGCAAAAGACCTGCCCTCACTACCTTTGCCTCCTCAGAACACTTCAGTTGCTGGTTCAACAGCGCCACATTCCTCTCCCACTCACAGTTCGGATACTGTTCCTGTCCCCCATCAGCAGCAACACCCCATTCCCGTACCAGCCGATCATGTAGAGGAGATTCACGCCAGAGCGAGGTCAAAAATGCGATGCGCAGTACTGACATTGAATGGGATGCCGTCAAACAACGAGAACACCAAAATGGCGCATGATGCGATATCGCAAGCCATCACAAGCCATGCGGGTATTCCCCCAGGCAAATATTATCTTCCTGAGCAGGAGAAGTTCGTTGCTTCACTCACCAAGATCACCAACACCATTCGCACTACATTCAAACAAGTTGCATGTGTAATCATGCAACACAAATATCATCTCAAGCTTGATGTTCGTGATCCATCATCAGAGATCACACACAAGCTACAAACAGTGCCTGCGCTCCTCTCACATCTACAATGTTTGTTCAAAATGGAACAAATGGTACATCATTTTGTATTTATGGTACACTATACTAACAATTAACTAGACAATCGACGGTACTTTACAATCTGTCGCTGTACTCGAGCATGAGGCACTTGTTTTGATTGTCATGGAGGTCTTGTGGACCAACGGGTTCTACAAAGATATCGATTTCAAAGATCCTCAAGCGCTCAATGGAGTCATCGCTCTCGGCGGTGCGGCACTGTGCTCAGCAATCAAGGAGTACGAGACCAGGGTATTGAAATGCATTGACTTTTCTACAGCAAAGTTGGGGGACTCCTATCGCAGCATCCGCAGATATATTTCAAGCAAAATTTACTCTCGCCCTGAGCTTGCAGCGCATTTCAAGACACTGAAGACCAGGATGAGGGAACGCGGAGAGGAGAGGTTAGGGTTGTGAACATGTATACTGCATGCTATAGAAATGATCAATGTGTACTACTACATCTCAAATCACGATAATGCGACGATCAGGCTGATCATCTTTTGATCTTTATCTTGTCTGACACAATCTATCAATCTGCGCAGCATCGGAATTCTGTAGGTCTTTACCGCGATCTCCACCAATCGGCAAGCTCCATCACTGAGCCGTAAGGATTCGTAAGGCATCAAACTTCTTACACTAGTAAGCGAGAAATGGGTTGTTTTGCAGATGAACGTGTGTGAGTGATCATGATCACTGACAATCGTTATACCCGTACCCTTTTCGGGTCCGAGAATAATCCTACTATGATGAAGCACTCGTCCTGACCAGTTGGCAAGCAAAATCTCCTAGGACTTCGACTCCATCTGCATCGTGACACACATATAACTCACGCACTAGTAATGCCTTTCATAACATTCAAGCGAGCGCTTCTCGCAGGAAAGGACTCGATCTTGATTCTTCGAGCTTCCGTGGCCAGTAATGCGTGTTCATGGACTCATCCGAGTCCATAAAAAGAAACGCTCGAGAAGACCAACTTGCGTAAATTTGAGCGCTACGTAACCCAGCTGGGCCTAAACCTTGATCAGAGTTTGAATTCACTGGCTATCCAGCAGGCCAGGCTAAGTACCTCATGACATTCCGTTCCCACACGTGACGATCTTTCTGAACACGAGTTATGTGAGTATTTTGCACGCAGTGATTTGGCAGTGTTCTGATGCCGTTCTCGTCAAGTTTGATTCTCTAACGAATCGAACGATTGAATTTCGTCCCGTGGAGTGGTGCATCGTGTATCCACGTTATAGATAGTCAGTCTTCTTATTGCCCTCCAGTCCCACTTCAAGCGCCCAGAAGTTGCATCCCCGCTATGACGTCCGAGTCTGTAAACTCTCAAGTCCCCGAAAACTGTCGAGCTCCCAATAATCCTATCTTGAGGTTGGCGTTCAAAATCTTGTGCATTGTTGCAGTCTGTCGGGAGTCTCTCGACCATTGGAAAGATACAAAGAACAAAGAATGGAAGGACCATGTCTCAATAATGGTCAATCGATTCCAGAACTCGAACATCACTGTATGTTTGATATAACCCGATCCTTATGGCTAACGTTCTATGGCTGGACTTCAGGCCGGGCTCGTACTTGCAACTGCTACTCTATTCCTGTCGTCTGTGCCTCCTATCGAGCATTTGATGGCTTATAACTCCTCAATCTCGTACATCTTCGCCATGGTTTCATTTGGTGCCGCATTGCTCAGCGTAATATCCGGATCTGCTGTGCTTGTTATCTATGAAACCAGTACCGCTCACAAAGACATGGAAACCCTCAAAGTGAGTCCGTTTGTCTGCGTTGGCTCACGATCTGACACGCGGTACAGTGCATGCCACGACACCAAGTCATCGCGCTGCTGCTATGGTTGGCATACCCCTCATTCTGTCTGTCTGTTGCTACTTGCTTTCTGTTTGTGTGTGAGTGAGGCACTAGATGTTGTTCAGATCTGCTGACGAGTATGGCGTTTGCTTTGAGGCAGCTATCTTTATCGCCTGCTTCTGGTCTGACAATAGTGTTGTCAACATCATAACTACCTTGAGCTGCGTGGCCTTCTTTGCACATGGAGTCCTTTCTTTCTACGTTGTCAGCGTTGTGGGCAGACAGTAAGCTAGTAGCACTCTTGTTGGATCTGTATTAAAAATGTCTTCCAGGCCGATCGATAAAAATACCTCCCCCGTACAAGTTGCTGACAGGCATCATGCTAGTGTAGGAGCTGCATGTCTTCAAATTGACGATGCTGCTGATGACTAGGCGTAATAATTGTTATGGACCACTCAGGGTTCGGGTGCTTCGGGTTGCACATATCGGTCAGTGGAGTAGCAGCGGAACTTTCGCCAAGAACTTGTCATATCTCCTTAGCCTAGTATCACATCTGATACATGGATTTGTCACACCGCCTCGTGATCGCCGATGCAGACGGTCCACGCAGTAAAGCGCCTTAGAGAATAGAAGCCCAAGTGTTGCAACTTGAAAACGTGATATGTATATTTATGTAAAGAGAACAAGAGGGGTGAGTGCGGATCCGCGGAGGGCGTAACACTGGTGACTGCGGATTTAAAGGAAATTGGTATCATAGCTGAACGAGATGGTGAAGGGGATAGAAGTGCTGATCAATCACTTAGTCTCACAACACCGGAACGATTGTGGACATATTCCCTCATCCCGACGAGCCTTTTCATTGCATCGAAGCAACATACTTCATATTTCCCCTATTATTTTTATACTCGTCTGAGTCAAATCAAACTGGTCCAGCTTTCGGACTTGAAGTTTATAATCCCAGTGGAACACACACCCAAGTCTTTGAACCAACGTGCACGATGGATATAAAAATATGTCACGCACTATCCTGCGCAGACAACAACCCATCACGGCAGCATATGCATCCTCTGATGTCGAGATCAAGGACAAACAATACAGGCAGTCTGTTAAACCCGAGTTTCTCGCAAACAAAAATCGCTTTGAACAGTCTAGTCGTCGCGAGTCTCGAAGTTCTGAACGGGATACAACTTGACATTACGGCCGCGGCCCACAATCGTCGTAGGGCATTCGGGAGAACTCGCAATGAGGGCGGGTTGCGAGTTTTGTGGTAAAACACGCAGATAAAAAGAAAGAGACGCTGCGTCTAAGAACAATAATCATTCAAAGACAAAATGCAGCCAAGTGTAAGCGTTGTCACTAAAAAGATCATTGGGCACACTTACTGTCAGCGCCTAACGCCTCCCGCGACGTCTCTCTCGACAATCATAGGGTTCAGTAAAATCTAGCGTTATCTCAGGTAACGGTGCGAATGCAGGTATCCAAGGTGTTGTTGATGAGAACTGGGGTGTCGCCACAGATGGCTATGCGTACCATCGCAAACCGCAAAACCACATCCCTTAAAGGCGGTTCACTTACAGGGAATACGTATGGAAGCCCAATGGATGCAAGGCTAAGCCTGAGGCCTAGCGATCAAAACAGTTACGACATATTGAAGACACCGAGAGGCGGAGATGAAGATGGAACGCAATTGATCAGCGCGAACAACAAATAGATTAACCAGAAAACCAAGCAAAATAAACTACTGATCGAGGTCCCTCTCTGAAAACAATAAGCACCTTGTTGCACATCGGTACAGAGAACTTACTTAAATCCTGATATCTGAAGTACCGATTAGGGTCCAAGTCTGCCAACCGAGAAAGTAACTCTCTGCACTCCTGTTTCAGGGTTTGGGAATCTTGAGCGTGATTTTGAAGTAAAAGTCGCTTATAGTGGACCAATGACTCCATGCACCCTGTAAAAAGAGTTGAGAAGTTGCGAGATTAACAAACATGACCGCTTGCATTTGCTATCAGGTTGCTCTTGAAGCAATTCGAAGATGAGTTGTATCTCGCGTTCCAATTGTGCTTTGTTTTCCCCTGCTCAATGCACCAAGTCAATCCACGTTGAATTGCATATGAAACAGTCTGTTGTCGAACCGGAACCAATGAGCCATCTATGGTATATCCACGCGCTTTGATCTTCCGGGTCGGTGTATAATGCGTTGCTTACAAACTCGAACTCTGTTAAAGAAAAGAAAAAAGCTCGGAGAAGTTAATCCGATTGAAAAAGGCACGTACCGTCGTCTCTCGACTGGATAGGATCCAGCTGACCACTTTCCCAAAGTCCGACCAAGGTCTTAGACCTTTGATGCCATGCACTGAAATTGGAGAAATTTGCTCCAATTTTGCGAGAAGTGTAAACCAACTCTGAGGTCTCAGGCCTTCGTGTGGGCATGTTTGCGAGGACATATCTGCGATAATTCCAAGCGTGGACTAGAGAGGGTGGGTATCAAACATGTGCGGTTGCAGCGGTGAGATGACTCACAGTTCCTTGCATCTGCGTCCAGCATCCGCTCCGCTACAAAGAGTTCCTTATCCCAATTTGCCTGTCTCCATTCCATAGACGGTACCTCGTTGCGTTCTGGCCCGTCTGGGACATTCTCGAGACACCAGCGACGGTGATTCCATATCCAGTAGACTTTCGGATTTGCTTTCAGAGCTGTAGTAGTCATGGAAAGCTCGTTGGAGAGAAGGTTATTTATTTGCTCCGGAGTACTGCGAGAGCGCCAATTTTGAGGAAATTTCGCGTCATGTTCGTACATGCGCACCTCTGAGGAAATATACCGTTGAGTAAGATATTTCGACGATAATTCCACACGGTGTAGAATTCAGGGTTGATCTGGAGCAAACGCTGCGTCAGTTCAAAAGCATCATTGCTCCAGTCCTGTTTCTTCTTCTACACAGATTTCAATCAGAAATATGACGGTACCCAAGTGAGAGCGATTCGTACTCGAGATAACACATCGTCTGTTAAAGCGAGGTACTCATCGATCTTGGACTTTTCTCGCTGTCTCTTTTCAGCAAGAGCCTCTGGAGTCTGTTTATGACGTTTGACGTTATGCTGTTTTATGCTTATTTAAATTGTGCGCAGAACGATCTGAACGTAATTCTTACCATAGCAGTTGGTTAGTGAGCAGGGAGAGTTTGATTATCAATATTTACTAGATCTTGAGAAAAATAAATAAATAAACACTCTTTCTAACTCTGGCGGCGCTGTGCTCTCGTTCAAAACTCAGTACCAGGATCTCAAAATGCCTTCGGTTGCAGAGAAGTCGACTTCAGTGGACTTACTGGCATCTCAATTTCCTGTGACACTTCCAATCCCGACACCTACAACCTATTCAAACTTGTTGTCTATCAAGGATGTTCAGCGCGAGGAAGACCTTCTCCGAAACCCATCCTCTTTTCGTGCATGGTGGACCGCTATACATACGACGAAAGAGGCGTATAGCACGCAACTAAAGGCAGAACGACGCGTAAACGTGCCCGATGAAATTGCGACACTCCTCGGTCCACTCGCGACTCCACTGGCTAGACATTCGTTGCAGTGTCTAGCTTACCTTTACGAAGCAGCTATTGTTCAGTTTCCTGGCTCGTTCAAACTATGGAAGTCGTACCTCCAGATGAGAATGTCCTATGTTCTCGGCAGACAGGTGATCAAGAAAAGGGCTGGCGGAAGGAAGAAATTACCGGAAATGAAAGATGCCTTAGAGGAGGAGAAGGAGGACCTAGAGTCATGGGAGGATGGCCTTAACGGAGTCGTAGGTTGGGGGGAATGGAGATCGCTGATTGCTACATATGAAAGGGCCCTCATGTGGTTACCCAAAGTACGCTTTATTGCCAAAACCGCTGTGTTTGTACTAACTGCAGAATCATTTCAGCTACCCAGATTATGGCTAATGTACACATCCATCTTCTTCCACCCTATGTGCCCATCTCTCATCTCACACACGCATGCTCGTCGGACATTTGACCGAGCTTTGCGTACTCTACCGCCTTCACTACATTCCCGAATATGGGTTCGATATCTACTCTGGGCCGAAACAAAGGGCGGATCTACCACAGTGTCCGTCTACCGGCGTTACCTTACTGTTGATCCAAGTGTTACCGAACACTACACCTCCATTCTCCTCTCTCCTGTAGACTCTGTACCACGGCCTCTCGAAGCTGCCAAGCTCTTGCTCTCACTGGCAAGAAAAGCATCACGAGGGGAGTATGTCAGTCCCGAAGGGAAGAGCTCGTATCAGCTTCTTGGAGATTTCCTTGATATTGTCGAGCGATTTTCTGATGAAGTTGGGTTTGACGTGGAAGCCACAATCGAGTCCAATGATGTATATGCGAAAGCCGACGCGGAATCTTCGCAAACGGATGTGCAGCTCGTACGTATGGATGGACCCCCTGTTCCGGTTGGAACCGATGGAGCATACGATGAAGACGAAGATCCTCTCAGCCCACGGAAGCTCAATATAGAACGCATTGTCCACAAGGACGGCCTTGAAGTTTATAAAGACCAAGCTGGCCGTCTCTGGACTGGGCTCGCGACCTACTGGATCAAACGTGGCGAGTTTGATCGGGCGATAAGCACCTTTGAAGCAGGCATCGCAACGGTATTGACGATCAGGGATTTCACGCAGATTTTTGATGCATATGCAGAGTTTTGCGAGTCATTAATCAATGCAATGATGGAAAGTCTCGAGAGTCCAGAAGAAGATGACGACGAAGACACGAAGGAAACTGAGCGAGAGATGGACATTAAGATGAAGGAGTTCGAAGCTCTTATCGACAGAAGACCGTTTTTGGTCAACGATGTTCTACTCCGAAGAAATCCAAACGACGTCCAGGAGTGGGAAAAAAGAGTTGCTCTTTGGGGCGAAGATGATGAAAAGGTATGCATCAATCTGAAGGCTGAAATTGGTTCATCTGACGCGTGCTCAGGTGGCCGACACGTACACCAAAGCATTGGAGACTATCAACCCCCGCAAGGCTACTGCCAACCTCCATAGACTTTACGTTAACTTCGCCAAGTTCTACGAGGAAGGTGGATCCTCAGGTTCGGCGGAGCCTGACTTGGATAGCGCCCGTAAAATTCTCGAGAAAGCCACCAAAATAAATTTCAAAGCGGTCGAGGACCTCGCGGACATTTGGTGTGAATGGTCAGAGATGGAGCTTCGACACGAGTGAGGACCATCATTTAGGCTTTTATTTGAATTACTGACTGTCTGCCCTCAGAAACTATGACGAGGCTGTCAGAGTTATGCAACGCGCGGCTGCCATTCCTAAAAACACCAAAATCAATTATCATGACCATGTGAGCCCGTTTTAGTGGACTACTTGTCAAATTTGCTGATTTCCGACAGTCACTACCCGTCCAAGCCAGATTATTCAAATCCTTGAAGCTCTGGTCATTCTACGTTGACCTTGAGGAGTCAATAGGGACTGTTGAATCGACGAAGGTTGTCTATGACAAGATTATGGATCTGAAGATTGCCAATGCTCAAGTTATCATCAACTACGCTGCTTTCCTTGAAGAAAATCAATATTGGGAGGACAGCTTCAAGGTGCGGCTCATCTGATCACTGTCGTTTTGGCTAATTCTTCAACGTGCTCACAACCAGGTGTACGAGCGCGGCACAGAGGTCTTCACTTTCCCCATATCATTTGAAATATGGAATATTTATTTGGCGAAGTTCGTGAAGCGATATGTACGTGCTTTTGTGCTTAACTGTTATCTGTCCCGTCTTGTTAATACTTTTCAGGGAGGATCTAAGTTGGAGCGGGCTCGTGACCTGTTTGAACAAGCACTAGAAAAATGTCCACCGAAGTCATGCAAGCCCCTGTTCCTGATGTATGGTCAATTGGAAGAGGATTATGGTCTAGCAAAGCGGGCCATGTCTATTTATGAGCGTGCAACTCAGGTTGTCGCTGATGAGAACAAATTTGAGGTACGCACCCAGTTGCATTCCATAAGGACCTTCGTTGACATCATGGTAACAGATGTACACTATATACATCGCGAAGGCCACAGCTAATTATGGCCTACCAGCCACCCGCCCAATCTTCGAGCGCGCACTCGAGGTCCTTCCTGACAAGCAAACTGCTGAAATGTGTCTACGTTTCGCAGCATTGGAACGCAAACTTGGCGAAATCGACCGGGCTCGCGCCATTTATGCACATGCTTCCCAATTCTGCGACCCACGCGTCAATCCCAAGTTCTGGCAGGAGTGGAACAGTTTCGAAATCGAGACGGGTTCGGAAGATACATTCCGGGAAATGCTTCGTATCAAGCGGAGTGTCCAAGCCCAGTTCAATACCGAAGCATCATATCTCGCTGCCCAGACGTTGTCGGCGCAACAAAATGGTACCTCAGAGCAGTCATCCGCTGCACAGCCAGCAGACCCGATGGCTGCTGCAGAACAGCAAGCAAAAGGTCCCGCATTCGTTGCAGCCAAAAAGACAGCTCTTCCAGGACCAGATGAGGACCAAACCTCGTCTGTGGCAGACTTGGCGCCACGACAGGCGGATAATGCTGATGAGATCCATATTTCCGATGAGGAAGACTCATAAACGGTGATATATTATTGTTATATTACATTGGGAGTGTTGTTACTTTTTTCAGTTGTCTGTATTATCTTGTGTCCCATTTTTCAACCTCTGCTTCACAAAGGTCCTCCCATTTTGCGTCCCAACCGTCATCTCTTAGGAAAGGCTGCTCGACCCATTGATTGATAGCCTTCCGAGAATCTTCGAATGACACAGTATGACTGCGCAAGGTGTCAACTAGTTCCTTATGAAGTGTGAGAGACCGATAATAAGGAGTTGTCAGTTCAGACAAAGACAGCACTGCAAACTTCGTTAGAAAGTCACAGCAAGAGCGATCTTAGCCTACCAAATTTCTCGATGGGCCATGAAACCCATAGAGGTTCCTCGTGGCACCATTGAAAGCCCTTCAACCTCTCTGCTTCGAACATCAGCGCCTCCATGTTATCGAGCACAGTGCTCATTCTCCGCAATAGCTTCGACTAATAAGTGTTTCGTTATTACTGAATCACAAGACAGGTACCATCTTACGAGTTTCATGGGAACAGAATCAAGTAGAGTGATAGATTCATCCATCACGTCGAGCTTTGGACTAATCATGAGCGACCCAGGCTGTGTATCGGCAGGGACCATGGCAAGTGCATTACTGAAGGGCTTCATAATTACCAACCGCGAAGGATGAGAGATGAAGCACACACTCCAATTCGGTGCGGGAATCAACTAGAGTTCGCGCACTTTTCAAGCCGTCGAGGAGGACGATACCATCCCATGTATTTGCGATCGAGCGCAACTCGTACAGCAACGTTTTAAATTTTCGATGAATAGTCGCATCGGATGCCCTGGATGGCGATGCTGGCGCGACCGATTTCTTTACTTGTGATACAGGAGATGATGTTGGCGTAGAAGGGCCATGAAATGATGCTAGGCGCTTGCTCATGAATGCAGGATGTGTTTATTTCAGAAGCCTTTACCTAATACCAAATAGTCATTCCACTGAATCGACGCGAATGGCTTACATCGACGATGTCTGAAATCACCGCGGATCACTCATATTTGTTGAGATCAGCAGCTGAACTTGAACTGACAGAAGTTCGTCCTTCAAATCGCTTTAGCTGTTCGTCGCTCAGATCGATGGCAGGCTCGCAGACAAAAGGCGGAGAAAACAAAATCTCTTGGGTCTCCAATTCAGCTTACCGGCAACGCAATCGACATTCAAATTCGTGGCAACTACGCTTGGATTGCTGAGAGTGCGCATGTGGCCAAGAAAATAGATTTAGAGGTACGTTTCGACCATCTGCATCACTCGACTTGCGAGGTCACGGCGCATTTTGTAGACAGGAAGGACTTTACAGGTATACAGAGGTCATCACGCGCCGGTGACCTGTCTCGCCTTTTATGACAGGATCCCGAATTCGGGTGATGAAAAGCTTCTGATAACTGGGTCTTGGGACAAGGCAAGGGATAATATATACAGCCACTGAAGTGATGTTAACGGAGTCCTTCTGCTAGACCATCAAAATATGGGACACTAATGTATGTACCCGAACGCATTTCATGTCCGTGTATATACTGAATGCAGGTCGTCGCTTGCAGACAAAGGGCCTAATCTCCACGACGGCTGCTCACGATGATTTTGTCAAAACTCTACTTGTCGTGCCATCTGTGAAGCTCTTGGTCAGCAGTAGCTCTGATAAGATTGTCAAATTCTGGTAAAAACGAATTCCTCTCATACTGGTAGTCCTAACATCTGCGCTTAGGGATCTAACCGACATTCTTGAGAAGCCTCCACAGCCTGCCGGGTCAGTCTCGGCTCATAGTCGCCCAGTAGAATGCATTGCTGGAATTGCCAATGCCGATGGTTCCGTGACCCTCTTTACCGCTGACACCATGGGAGTATTGAAGGTGTGGAAGCTGGAAAGAGAGGGCGGGCCGCGGCCTCGGTGGCGAAGCACTCTTCAGGACACTCTCAACCACCACCGAACGCGCATCACTGAAATCATTTATGATACAGGTTACATCTGGACAGGTAATAACGATCGCTCACCATGGCATGCTATTGTTTAGCTCACTCCTTGCCTCAGCGTCATCGGATGAAACAGTACAAGTCGTTCCTTACCAACCAGAATCCTCAGACCAAAAACCCATTCCACCCCTCACGCACCCTTTGCCTGTGCGAGCGATTCTTCCACTGGCACTCTCCGATCTTGAAGAGCCGTATATCGTGACTGGATACGGGGATGTTATTCGCTTGTATGATGTCTCGACACCATCCGAGCCTGAGGTTCTAGGGGAGATCGACGCACATTGGCATGATGTCACTGCGCTGAGATTATGGATTCAGAAAAGTCGCACAGACGACGGAAGAACACGCATAGAACCATGGATTATCAGTACCAGTCTGGATGGCACCATTCGCAGATGGCGATTCAGTGGTGAGTCCATACTGTGGGTATTGAGATACATTCAAATAATTCCTGTAGAACTCCATGATTCGAAGCCAGATAACCCTGCTGGACAGTCGAAAGCTACAATTATTGCTCCCACTCCCCAACCCAGTGGTAATGCTAAGGATCAAGTTGAGATCACGGAAGAGGAAGAGAGAGAACTCGCAGAACTCATGGAGGAAGACTGAGATACTTCAAGAATGATCGATCTGATCTGCGACTGTTAGGTAGGAATCGGGTAATGCTTCTCCCACCCTGGATAAAAGGGGTCCTCGTTCAATGTCCTCTCCTGCCAATCTTTTGGGACCCATCCCTTGTCCTCTTGCTCCTTTGCCCACTCTCGTAATGCAGGTATAACTTTGTGCTCGACGGACCATGTTCCTTTGTACTCCATGATCGGCTTCTTGCCTTCGAGCAAAATCTTCAAAAGCAACTTTGGAATGAATGGTTCCTCGCGGAAATCTGTCACCGGCGTGAATAAGGCCTTGAAGTTGAACACGATGGCGCGGGAATTTGGCAGGCGGCGTAATGTTTGCCAATCGACTCGCATGTGAATGTCGGTGAGAGGGAGGTCTGGATTCTGATGGTGACGATGACTCCACTCTGGTTCATCCGTCTGGAGATAGAGAGGCTCCCCGACTTCAAGGCCCCACGACGCTCGCTGAATGGGCTTGTCGCAAGGCATCTTAGAAAAGTACCTGTAAATTCATTGCGGTGTTCTTATGAGTGAGCCTGACATATTTACTACATTACTTACCTGTCCATTGAGAACGCCATCTTCTCCTTATAATCGGGAACTGGGCCATGAATTTCATGCAATGGTTTGCCCATCTTCTGACCAATATTCCAGCCAACTGCTGATGTAGAGACGGCAGCTCGTAGGATGTAGAGCCCAGTATCGGGGTCTTCCTGGGTGATGAGGAAGTCCTCCGGGACATTCTCAAGTAAGAAAACCAGTGGATGCACCGTTGAAATGTCAGCCGTCGAGCCGAGGATGTGGTTGCGGAACGTCAAAGTCCACTCATCAAACTCAAACTGTTGGGGGTACCTCATGCAGAGGTACTGGATAACCATTTGCATCAACTCCTTTGAAGCTGCTTCGCTACCGGGCAGCTCATCTATGATGCATTTGCCATGGAGGGCATAGATTTGTCGCCGTTGCTTAATGCGATCGCGATATGTGCTCTCTAGCTCCAGCCAATAGTCTGGTTCCAACTTCTTGAGGGCTACAAAAGATATAGATAAGCGAAGCATAATAACGGCGATACAGCCCTCATACACATGTTCTGGTGGTATTCCCATCTGAAAGGCCGGTATGGACGAGGACGAGCGTGAGCAACGTTAAAATCGTGTACTGGCTTTGGATGAGGGAAGCCTGTCAACCGAGCAAAGTCTGGTAGTCCTCTGCCAGCCACGAGGGCTACTTTCTGTCCCAGGAACTTCCAAAAGTTGCGTAGATAAACACCTTTGCCGTAACATACGACAGCAAGAGCAACTGTGATAACTGCGATTCCTGTAACGTTCGGTGTGCTTATCATGACTGTGGGACACTTAGTAGAGTAGTGATCTGAATTAACACATATGAGGGTGAGTAGACATATACTTTATACCCATATGTGCCAATTGGTGATAAGACGGCACGGGATCAAAATTTCCGCTACGGTAGTAGTGGGTTTTTCCGTACCATGGCCGTAGGGCGTGACACGGGTAGGGTTTGCCCGGGTACCCGCCCGGGCAACACCCACGGGTGACTTGTGGGTCGGGTGGTACGGGTCGTGGGTACCCATTGTGGCTCACCCGCGACGGGTACGGGTAGAGGTCCTGCAAAAATTGGCTACCCGTGGGTACCCACGGGTAGGAGACTTAACTTAGTGGCAGTGTTCCTTTGACCATGATCTGTTGTTAATAACTTGTTATCGATGGATTATCTCTACACGACGCCAACCGCAATGTCTTAGATTCATTATGATTAGTGCTGCCGTGGTCCGCTTCGGTCCGGTTCAGAGGGCCTTGGACGAGAACCCAGAACCGAACCATCAAGAACAGTTCTTAAGGGTCCGGTTCGGTTTTTTTGCGGTCCGAACGCGAACCGAACCGTATATTTTTCAAAGTGCCAAAAAAAAACATTCACAATACATCTACATGACATTGGGTAGCTAGTCTAACTACATTCCAGCCGCATGCCCCTCTGCCTCTACTGCTGCTGACATATGTCCATTCTTATAGGCTGCCTTCATCAATTGTAGTGCGGAGAATGTGGATGGTGCGAGTGCGTTGCAGCGCAGAGTCGATGTGATCCCCGCACTGGAGAAAGCGCGTTCAGATGAAACTGCACTGCCTTGAATGGGCAGGTAATCACGCACAACACGAGCTAGCATTGGATACTGCAGCGAATGTAACTGATCAAGAATGTAAGTGGGGAACCAATGAATTCAAGGGCTGACTTACACCCCACCACACCACAACATCGTCTGTCTCCTCCAATGGTGAAGTAAGGTAGGAGGAGAGCTCTTGATGAGGATCCCGCGTGCGATAGTCTGTGGCTTGACGTTCCATGATAGCGTCACGCATCCAGGAATCAGCTGTAACGAATTGAAGCTTTTCTCGTTAACGTGGCCATTGGCTCATTGGCATGTGGTCCTGGGGCCGGAGGCGCTTGATAATATTTATCAAACTAAGCATCCATCTAAAGTTAGAGACCGGCAGGATACTTAAGGTTGAATAGTACTTACCACCGCTTGAAGACGAGCTTTCCCTGTTCGCAACCTTCGTCATTGTGAGAGTGCGCTCCTCAGGATTCACCAAACTGAATAATGCGCACAATGGAAAACATCTTGGTGGTGCATTGTTTAAGGTGTTGGACCGTGTCAGGCATCACGCACAAGGTATCTTGATTTGTATTTCAATCACTTCACTTCATACTCATACATTCCATAGCTTGGCCATGTCACATGTGATAATGCTGCCAACAATGGCACGATGCTTGATGAGTTTGCACGGCTTTATCATCAGCGGCACCAAAAGAAGTTCCCAGTGGCGTGAAAGAAGGATAAAGTAAGTTCATTTACAACATATACTTTGTATCTAACAGTATCACAGTAGTTGTCTGGCACATGTCGTCAATCTGGGAACACAGACTTTAATTGCTACATACAGTAAATCTCCACACTACTCGCCACATGATCCCAAGGCACACGAACCGGACACTTCGAATAAAGGCGAGTGTGATGAGATAGGACTCGTCCATACCATTTGTGTCAAGGTAAGTCTATCTGATGTCTTCAATGCACTGAATTAACTCACACTGGCAATTTTTAAAGGAACGCTCATCAGCGAAATGGAAGGAGCTATACAAACGTGTTCAAGAAAAGGCCAATGTACCCCCAACCCAGCTTCTACTCGATATGAAGGTTCGTTGGTCGTCAACCTATGTTATGCTCAATCGTGCCGAGAGTAGCAAAGTGCATGTTGATCTTTTCGTATACGAGATGGGGTTACAGGAGTGGGATCTTACGAGGCGTGCTAAGATTGATTATTTAAGACTGACAAGTACAGAGTGGCTTCGTGTCGGCCAATTTGCCGACTTACTTTCAGTGCGTGTATGATTTATTTCGTCCATTTTTGCCTAACATTTTCTTGCAAGTATGCGGACATTGCCCAGCAGGCATTCTCATCGGATGCAGGAACTACACTACACCTAGTGGTTCCTGCGCTCGAGACACTCTACAAAGCATGGTCCTCTCGTGCGAGACTGGCTTAAGTATGCTCGATTTGAACTTGCACTGGATGCTGCTGCCAACAAGATTGACGAGTATTATGAGAAGACAACGAAGACTCCTGCATATATTATGGCTATGAGTTCGTCCATCTATTTATTGCATACACTGTGAATCGTGGTTGCTAACTTTGACATACAAGTACTCGATCCAACAGGCAAAATGGCTTACTTCAAGAAAAACTGGCCCGAAGATCTTCAGGAAGATGTCCTTGCCTGTGCGGAACTGAGTGGTAGGTCAAATGATGCTTCATATATCTTTTCATATCTGACAGATTTAAAAGTTTGAAGCTCGCTACCTCGAAATGGGTACAACTGCATCAGCGCAAGAATCTCGCGTCAAACAAGGAAAAGCAAGTTGTCTCAAGAAACTCATTCGCGAAACGCAAAGCTCGGACTGAAGACGAAGACGTTCCAACAATAGCGCCGTCAACTTGGGCTAAACCATGGCAGGCCGATTTCATGAACTATATCGACACATTCGAGGCACCACCTTTGCCTGGCATGAGCACGATCCAATGGTGGGGTGTACGTTCATTTTTTTTACTATTTGTTTCATATTCCTCACCTTCGAACAAGATTAATGGTCAAAGATACGGGCCAGTATGGTCCTCAATTGCGTGTGACTATCTATCTATTATGGCATCATCTGTTTCCAGCGAGCGTGCATTTTCTCAAGGTGGAATAACTATCAGCAAACGACACAACCGGCTCAAAGGGGATGTCGTCGAGGCCCTTCAATGTGTCAAATGTGCTATCCGCCATGATCTTCTGTTCCGCGAACCAGGGCCGTCATCTGTTGTGGAGGAGGAACTTCAAGTTGACGAGTTCGAAATTGAGGGTGGATTGGGGGAGAAGAGTGAAGACGTGGAGAAGGCTGAAGATGAGGGCTGGGATGGTCTATTGCTTGATGATGATGGTGACTCGGATTTCGAATCCAATAGTACTGACATCGAAACCTAGTACATATGTTTGTAGTATATTTCTTGCACCAATATTTCACATTTCATGTACTCAGGCCATGGCTCGAGCCGAAGCCAGGCCGAAGCCAGCCGTCAATCATGGCTTTGGCCTGGCCTGAATATTCTACGGGCCAGAGCCTTGCAAGGCCAGGCCAAAGCCACGGCTTTCAAGCCAAGCCGGGCCGGAACAACACTAGTCATAGTCCATCGCTGTTCAACATATGCTAACTTGTAGTTGGGGTCAAGCACTGTAACAAAATGAGACATGGACTCTGTTGAAGTACACAAGCTGAATATGCTTACAAAGCATAGGTAGCGGACTTCTACTGAGTTTCGGAGAAAACATATGATATGTATTGTACTTAGGAGATTTCTGAAAAATCTATCCTACTTGCACTCCTATTATCAGCCATCTATGAATATTCATTCTAAGCCTTCGTCCCAAGAGACTCGAGCAAAAAAAATGATACTTACCTAGACAGATAAAGTAGACGTCTGAGTCACTAGTACTTCTCAACATTCTTGAGACCCTTCCTAATGGCATCTGCGATTATTGCACTATTCTGGATTTCCTGCCATCGTCCCCCATGCACTAGCGAGACACTCTAAAGTAGGTATGGTCTGCCAGGCTGTTGGGTACGTGACCGAAGAGAACGATTGTTGCGCGGTCGCAGGTTCCTATAACAATCAGTAAATAAAATGAAAATGGATATACAAATAACTACCTTGAGGACATCATGCACTAGCCGTATCTTTCTCCAGTCGGCTCTATCAAGCTTGAAGTCACTATATGACTTGTTGCATAGCTTGGGGACTTCGTGGCTCTCATCGGCAAGAAGAGTGAAGTGGTTGACAGCAAGTTGTTCGGTTAAGCTGGTGATGTCAGTGTCCTTATCATGATCAATAGCGTGACAGATCTTGCATAGTAAGGTTGCCTGTGGGGTGGGTGCGACTCCATCAATGAAATGTCATGCAGCAAGATTCAAAATGTGTTCTTGACAGTGGATGCGGCGGGGACCTGGAAGCCAGTGGGTACCATCCTCGTCTATGGCCTTCGCTACTTCACTCATAGCAGTATTGTTATTTGAGGCATTGTCCGACGTCATCCATCCAACCTATGTGAGAGGAGTCAATCCACAGCTGAAGCCAGACTCCAGAAAACACACCTTATTGCGAATAGCATACCTGTCTATCGTCATAACAAGTATATTGCTAATATTGTGGCCACTGTGATTGCCTTCTATACGCATGAAATCAAGCTGCTCATTTTTGAGCTCCCACTGCAGCGGTTTGTTGGGAGGGCTCCAAATGTAATGCCCAGTAACTGAAAAAAGGTTCACCGATGATCGAGGTCCACGAGTCAAACATCATGGAGACTGCACTGTCAATATGCTAATGAAATGTTTTAAGACTGGTGCCACAATATAAGTAGGTCAAGACTCACCACTAGATGATCCTTGATATTTTCGACCATGGTCATTGCTTGAGACTTAATGGTATCCTGTTAACTTGGTGCGATGTGGGATGTCTTTTTCAGTCAGGGATGGACGTGCATACTGCAATAAACGTCGAAATGCTGGCTTATCAATTAATTGTATTGCCTGGCATGATGTAAATAAATTTCAAATGAATATAAACATAAAAAATCGACGTACCTCATCTTCCGTGACAATGAGTTCCATGATATATTCGAGTAGCCCTTCCTTGGTGAATGCGGGTGGTTTGCAAACAAGCTTGCCATCGAGAGTCATCTGCATTTGCATTTGCATTATGGTGACATCTTCTCTGGGTGGAATTGCACAAGAGTGCATTGTGATGCCTGCAGCATCACAACGCTCCTTGTAGACTTGAAAATGGGACTTTTTGTGATGGACAATGTGTGTGTGCAGTGTCGAAGTGCCTCCGCGAAACGTGTGCTTCTGTACTGGTTGACCAGCATCCCTTGTTTGAAAGTTATCGAAAGAAATATTGAAAAAAATATGGACAACTTACTTGCACAGGATACAGACCCACCCATCAGGTAAGTGGGTAAATATAGTCCTAACATCCGCCGTACATTCACTTTTTGAAAGCTAAATACAGGCGTTAGTCAAGACTCAAGGAAGACAATAAAATGAGGTACGTACAGTCAAAGTGGTGCCCCCATTCTTGGACTTAGCTTCATCGGCTTCATCATTGTCCTCTGGTTGGGGGATCAGCTCGTCAGCAGATGACTCTCCTAGATCAGGCATAGAAGGTATATCTTCATCTTCCAAGTCAAGAGGAGATAAGATTTGCATGGCGACTGCGACTTTCTTAGGTGCTGGATGGTCCATAGCGCTTGATAAAGCACGCTTCCTTGTGCCCGAAGATGAAGACAGCCCACAGGCATTGTCAGCATCACGAATACGAGCTGATGGTTTTGACGGCCAGCCAGAGTGCTGAGAACCAGCTGTGACTGTTGCCAGGGTGTGTCCAGCCTTGAGCAGAATGGAAAAGGCATCTTTTGTGGATGTAGTTGAAGATGATGGCTGGGCGGAAGGTGGGACCTGGGGCAGTGGTACTTCATCATCAGGATCATTGAAGAAGGTGATATCGGAAGCATCCTTGAGGGAGCCATCAGCATTAAGAGCACAGCAGTCTTCAGATATCGTCAGGCAAATAACTCACAATTTCGTTGTCGGCACCTTGTTTTATGCATGGAGCAAACCCAAACATCCCAGAGCAACGATATCCAAGGAGATCCGTTAGAGTTAACAGCCGGTGGAGGATCATGATGGTCCAGGAAGCATATAGACTGGAACAAGTAGATATCTGTGATATAGTTAAACATATGTCAGTCAGTGAGAGTCTTGAGAGTTGATTGATTAGTACTCACCTTCAAAAAGGCTAAAGGTAGCCTAATTAACCAATAGTGCAAATCCAGAAGACGACACTTTGATGTCGACATAGAGACCGACATTGTCCTAGTTGAAGTCAAAATCAAAGTTGAAGTCGAAGTCATGTCGAAGTTGAAGTTGACAATGGGTTCGGGGTTCGGAAATGGTTCAGGAAGGCTGAACCAGAACTGGACCATTTGGGAAGATCTAGAACCGGGAACCGTTTTCCGGTCTGGTTCTGGCTGGCACTGAGAACCATGGACCGAACCATGGAGAACCGGACCAAAAGTCCGGTTCGAACCATGGTTCTGGACCAGACCGCGGCAGCACTAATTATGATTATCAGGGTACAACTCATAAGTCCAGAGTCTCGACTCGGAGACTTGCAAACCTTGCAAGTTGCAACTAGTGATGTGCCTGGCCTGGCCTGGCCTGAAAGCCCAGGGCTTGGGCCTGGCTTTAGATGGCTTGGGCTTCGTCAAAACCCAGGCCAGGCCCTTCCAGAGGGCCTGGGATTGGCCTGGGCCTAGGCCAGGGCCTTTGAGATCAAAATGTGCACAATGATATATTTTACTATTCAAGTCAATTGTACATTTAAATATCAATATCAGAGTCCTCTGACTGCAAGGTACTACTGCCCTCATCACCACCCTCACAAAACTCGGCCTCCAACTCAACTTCTAGGACAGAGGTGGGAGCAGGCTCACGAAAAACCAAATCCCGCTGATACATGAAGCGAAGGACTTGAAGTGCCTCCACCACATCAGCCTTCAAGTGATTACATCGTTTCGTAATAGTCATCCCACCTATCATCAGCAAACTACTAATTTGGCAACAGATCTCACACTAATAACAAGCACACACAGATCCCAGCTACAAGGTCCACAGACATCACAAGCATTACAGAATAGCAATAGACATTTTAACAATTCGAATTGTAGCAAGGCAGGAGTAATAAAAAATCACAACAGTATATACTAGTATGCAGTACATAAATCAAGTACTACATACTATGTACGAGGCATGTATCAATAATCATCAAAACAACTTCGATATACTAGTAGTACGGTATTGTTAAACTAATGGCGCACTGTATCACCTTGAGAACTCAAACCAACGAATGTTGCAATACCACTTTTTTTCCTCTCTACATGAATGCACCCTACATTGAGGTTGGCCATTAACAGATGCATATTTGCGACTTCAACGCGACGGCGGTGGAGGTCCATAAGCACCATATGGTGCTCTAAGATGTAATTGGCCAGGGCTTTTTGAGCCTGACAAACCTTGCGTCTCGTTCTAGCTGCCTCAAGGGCCAGGTCGGAGTAGTCTTCCTCTTGTTCTGCTTGGTAGTAGAGTGAGGTGCAATCAAATTCCTGTTGACGGCAAATAAGAAGTGCAGAGGAACTCAGAACGCTGCATAACTCACAAGGTGCACCCCTCCTGGAAAGCCGTCCTCTTCTTTAATTAAGCACACCGATTGGGATGATGAATGATTTGATTGTCCAAATTGTCGGTTGTGACGACAAGTGCATGGGCAGCAGTGGTGCCTTGGAAAGTGATTCAGATTGGAATATAATGAGCATGCTGATCGAGAAGAAGGTGTAGAATGGTGAGAACTTGAAAGAGAAGAGTTTCTAGAAGGAGAAGAGGTTGTACAATAACAAGCAGGAGACAAGGCTAGAGGCTCCATATGATGATTGATGAACATTAGCTAATAACTTGAGTGTGTGAGGGAATTAGACTAGCGTGTGATAAACATAATAAACATACCAATGTCAATACCATCATGTCCAAAATGTGGAAAAATCTTCACGAAGGAGTCCAGTGTGACTCGCCACCTTAGCCAGCCCCGAACCTCATGCCATAGTTCTATTTGTGATATGGTCGACATTTCGCAGTTCATAGAGTTGGTTGAACCACACTGGCAATCCCAAGATTCTCCTTTGCCTCAGTTTCCTTCCAAAGACTACCATGACAGGGTTTCATATCCTGATGCTGGAGATGGAATGAGTGTTGACATTGGTGGAGACCACTTTGATGTAGCGGGAGAGGAATTTCAAAGTGCAGAGGAATGGTATGAAGGCACAGGGACTTGTTACTCTCAGGACGGCACAACCTTTCTGGATCTATTCGACACCAATGAGTATGCGAACTGCAGGAAAGATAATCTTTTTTACCCTTTTGCATCGAGGAATGAGTGGGAAGTCGCTGATTTTCTTCTTCGGTCCTTGCTCAGCATGGCAGCAATCAATGAATTTTTGGCACTCTCAATGGTATGTGATCTTCTGCGCTGGCACATAGTCCTTCCGATTAAAGCCTCTCCTCCTTTCTCTTCCTCACCCTCTTATTGACAATTGCCTTTACAGATTCGGGAACTAAACCTATCTTCCAAGAATGCTAAAGAATTACAAAGCTGTGCTGAGATGCTCCCCAAGGGACCGAGCTGGAAGTGCCAAATCGTTACCTCGCTTCACAACACAAAACACCCGATCCGACTATTCTGGAGGAATCCTGTCGAATGCTTAGAGAGTCTGTTCAGTAACCCCCTCTTCCATGACAAGCTCGACTTTGTCCCTCATCGCGTTTACACTGCTGCAGGGTGGCTTCTGCGTGTATATTCAGAGTGGCTGATGGGTGATTCTGCTTGGGACATCCAGGTACGTGCATCTGAAACTCTATAATTTACACCATCTCATCCTAGACTGTGCAGAGCCAACTGCCTAGAGGTGCTACAATCCTTGGGACAGTACTATCTTCCGACAAAACAAATGCCACTACTATGACTGGTGCCAGGGTCGCTCATCCACTTCTTCTAGGCCTTGCCAATATCCGCATGCGCACCCGCACCAAACTCTCGTCTAGGGCATTTCTACTTATGGCTCTCCTCCCCATCCCACAGTATTTGCACCCAAATCAATGGATGTGGGGTGTGCTCAAAGATTGCCTTATACACGAATGTCTTGCCATTGTTTTACGACCGTTGATGATAGCACCCAAGATTGGGATCATGATGTCAGATCTGGTAGGCAATGTTCGTCATTGTTATACGCCTCTTGCAGCCTATATTGTTGATACCCCTGAGGCATGTATGCTTGCATGCATGCGTGGCAAAACTTCTCCATTCACAATGGCGTCCTATCTCGAGTTTGGGGATGACTTTTGTCATCCTGAGCGTATGCGCTCTATCACACTTGACCAGCTTGCGAGCATCAAGGTCGACCCCAATAACCTCGAAGCTTTTTTTGAAGTGTGCACCGAATACCGGCTAAACAGTGTTCATGCGCCTTTCTGGATGTTCTGGCCGCATGCCAATCCCTCCATCTTTTTAACGTTAGAACTCCTGCATCACTGGCATAAAGAATTCTGGGATCATGATCTTCATTGGTGTCTTGCAGCTATTGGAGCGCTGGAACTTAATTTTAGGTTCTCGATTTTGCAGCCAATCACAGGGTACCGCCATTTCCCTGGTGGAATCTCAAATCTCAAGCAAGTCACGGGGAGAGTTCACCATGATGTTCAGTGCTACATCGTTGGTCTGATTGCAGGTGCGGCCCCTCATCGTTTTGTAATCGCGATCCATGCCCTTATGGATGTCCAATACATGGCGCAATCCCCTTCCCCCGACGATAACCTATTGACGTCTATCGACCAATCGCTCTTGACATTTCACCAAAACAAAGCTGTCATCATGACATTGGGCGTGCGGATGGGTGCGAAGAAACCGATCGACAATTGGTTCATACCTAAATTGGAGCTGATGCAGAGCATTACCACTAGTACACACAAAGTCGGTGCTCTCATTCAATGGTCTGCAGATGCCACTGAACACGCTCACATATCCAAAATCAAGGACCCCGCACGACACACCAACAATAACGACTACAATCTGCAAATATGTCGTCATTTAGATTGATTGGAGAAGCTACGGTGGTTTACCATTGCCATGACGTCAAAAAGTCACATTGTCGATCATGTTGTTGAAACATCACCTGAGGATGAGGGGGATGAGGAAGAGGGTAATGCGCATGATGATGATGAACCAACTGATCTGCGAACTGTGCTCTTGGAGGAGCTCAATTCCACATGCCTTACTACCAACTATTTCAACAAGGCCAGGGAAATAGCTACTGCGTTGCACCAAGCCAGCACTTACCTGGGCCTGCCTCAGACATTTACCGCCAGTAACGTTGCTATCCATCTGAACTACAATCCCACCCGCACTGGAATGAAACTTGATGACATTGCCGACACTTTCAACATACCAGACCTCTGCCATGCTCTTTCGGACTTCTTGCAACGTGATGCAAGGAACCAAAACCTAATTCATGGAGTTGGAGTTCCAAGAAGATCTCTTATCGACCGTCCTCCAACTCTTCCCTTTGATTGTGCTCAAGTATGGCACACAGTTCGCTTACAACAGGTTTCATATCATGATTCGAGCACTGCCTTACCGGCGCAAACCTTGCATGCCTCTCCTTCATCCTCTGAGTGGTTGAAAGGCCGACGGGATGCCGTCCTTGTCAATATTTATGGACAGTATGAATGGCCCCAGTCTGGATTAAAGGGTAAGCCCATTTCTATTCATCAAGTTGGCTTATGTGTATTGGCCCCCTCAGGACACACTGTCTGTGAATTGCAGGTTATCATGCACCCAATGCCTCGATGAGGTTCTCGTATTGGATGGCAAGATCAGTACATATGTTATGTCCACAACATGAAGATTGGTGCGGTTGATCCTGTTACTGGGATGCACATTTTGAAGTGTGCTAGGCATGCCAATGGTACTCCAGTGGGTGACATAGTTCCCCTCCAGCAAGTTCGTTCGTTTATCAATCTCATTCCTCAATTTGGGGCAGTAGCGGACACACGGTTGACGAAAACGACTTCATCACATTATTCTTCATCTTTTTTTTCAACAAGTATTTTGAAAAGCAGATCTATGATACTCTTTACTACACTTCGCAAGGATAGACAGTACATACCAGTATACGTTGAATCAATACACATCGTGATATTGAAGGAGAATCAACACCACACAACAAACACCGCACAATGGCCAATGTAAGCCAACTTGAGTTCTGGTTGATGCCATGGCAACAAAATGCTGGAAAACACCACAGTCTCATCCCTCGTTGACATTGACCGGCTTCTCTGTGATAGAATCACCTCTATTGGCGTCCCTGTTGGTGGATTGCCGTGCACCTTGGACACCATCAAACCCCTCCTCAAGTGTGAGTTGGAATTCTGTGTCATTCATGAAGGTGTTGGCAATGCAGTTGGATTGCATTTCGAGCCCTCCATTTTCAACCAAATCGTTCCTCGAACCAATATTAAGGCAGGGAGCCTCAAACTAATCAAGTACAATAGACTTGATGGACCACCTGCATACTCTAGCGAGGGATGGACATTCAATCGCAGCAAACGAGTCAAACAGAGTGAAGACTTTGATTCAGATACCGACATACTGCAGGACAATGAAGGCTCAGACACAGAGATCAACAGGGACATAGACTCGGAGGATGATGAAGACTCAGGTGCAGATGATGGCAGTGGCGCGAAGCTCAATTATGAGGGTTCACTCAGATCGGCGATCCTCAGAGGAGATCAACTAGTTGAACTTGAAGAGAGTTGGGATGGCCTTGAATTTAAAAATGGGTCAAAGAAAAGACAACGACGGGTGGTGCACACCACTGAGACAGACCTGCAGTGTCTCTTTTATACTATACAGTATCACTTGTGCAACACGCTGAAGGACAACATCCCCTACACATTTGCGATGGGTGCCTGGTACTGGACTGCAGAGTTCTCTACCACTGCCATTCCAGATGAATTCAATGCACAGAAGCCTGATTTATCCCTGTTCGACTTCGCACTCCTGAAGGAACAGAAATCATGGGCAAATGTCCTGACCTTCGTGGAGCATACCTCTTCTGATCTTTCTAAGAATCGAGACTTACCAATATATTGGGGGGTAGCAATCAAAACATATCTAATCATGCGAGAGCAACCATGGCGTCAATTCGTACTTGCCTACTCAATCAGCGTGAATATGCTCCATGCACATTATTTCGACTGCTCTGGCATCATCATATTCCTTCCTTTCTATATCCACAAGTGCCCCAGCTCTATACACCTCTGTGATGCATTAGCTGCCCTCACACTTCCAGATAGGCACCACCTGGGCCTTGATCCCACTTGTTAAGGTCGTACTCTTGTAGGATCAGATCTGAAGGACTTCGGCCTCAGCTCGTACGCTGTGCCCCTTTCCCAAGTACTGTCCCTTATTTCAAAGTACTAACGATAACGCGTCCGAAGGTCCGGACGGGTCTCGTAGTATATCCGGATGTCTTCCGGATATCGGAAACGTATATAAGACTAATCCGGATGTATCCGAACTAGAAACTAACAGAGTAAGACTACCCGAAGGTAGAGCCGAGGATATAGACTATCGGAATCTATCTGAAGTCTCAGAGGGTGACAAGAGTAAGAAGGACTCAAGTCCGGAGGACAGAAAGAGGACAAACTAAGATGATATTCGAACTGAGGTACTACAGGACATATACACGAGTTTATATACTATGAGGATAACGGAAGTATCAGTAAGCAAAGGTCCGAGGCTATGTATGAAGCATGTGCAAAGGTTATCAAACGCGAGTCGGAAATGAGACATAGGTTAACGGATCAGTAATCATACCGGTAATAAGTATAACCGAAACACCGGGAAGAGGAAATACCGAATAGGCTGTGTTTAACGTTATATGAACAGGAAATGAATTAGAAAGCTTATCGTAAATCAGATCGGAAGCGGATCTATACATCGGATTGGATCGGATCTCAGGGTCCGAAGTCCGGAAGAGAAGCGTGAATATATGGGATATGACAGTATCCCCCCCTTAGGGCCGATCCCTAGAGGCACAAGAACCATTGGTCCGGACCAGATGAGATTATCGCGAGATGATGGAGAAGTTAATGGGAGAAGCGTCTGAGTTCAGAATCGGACAGGTATACTCAAGGACGGACGTCCCAGGATGATTCTTCCTTTCCCACTTTTTACTCTCTATAACGCTCTATCGAAAATGTCTGGCAACACCTCCGGATCTCAGAAGACTGCTGAGCAGAAACTGCTGGAACTTCAACAGCAACTAGTGGACGCTGAAGCTGTGGCTCGGAAGGAGGAGGAGGAGATTCGGAAGCGTCAGGAGGAGGAGCGGAAGCGTGAAGAGGAACGGAAGATTCAGGAGGATCTTAAGAGGATTCAAGAGTCCGAAATTCGGGTGGAGGCAGAAAACAAACGGCGCAGGGAGATAGTAGAGGAAATGGTGAGTTTTGGATGGTTATGATGGTTTTGCCTGACGGATGAAAAGTCTCGTGCCATTTCCGCTGACAAGGACAGATCCTGCAAGCGTTGCAGTGACAGAGGCCGGACTTGCCTTTGGACGGATGCGGAGAGCAATGCTCTGGTGAGTTAATCCGCGTTTTTTCGGATCCGAGTGTTTTGACGTCCGGATAGGTCAAGTCTTGCGATATCTGCTGGAAGGACAAGGCTACGTGCCCCGGACGACCCGGAACTGTCAAGGTGCCCAAGGGCAAGAAGAGGAAGCATGCTGCCGGATCTCCATCTCCGAAGGGTAAAGGTAAGAAACGTCAGAAGAGTCCGACTCCTGAAGATCCAGAGAAGATGGAGATGGAATACGATGATCAGGCTTGGGTGGCCGCAGCCAACAGTATAGTGGTGGAGCTGGCTAGGACTAACACTCTTTTGGAGAGAAGTATTCAGGCGGCGGAAGGCAGCAGGGCTGCAGCGGACCGGATGAGCTCCGGAATTGAGCTGTTCCTTCAGCAACAAAGGGAATTTCAAGCCATGTTGTTCGGACATATTCGGAAGGGATTTCGGACGTTCCGGGTCCAGAGGAGGAAGATGAGGTGATGGAAAAGGCGTCCGGAAGTGATGCAGGCGGATCCGGAGAGGCGGATGGGTCTATGGAGATGTAGGAATTTCTGGTCCGTTTCTGTTTCTTCCCTAAATGTACTTGTATTTCGTATGCACACTATGTACTTCAAAGTTGAATAGGACCGGGTTTGTTCGGATATGCAGCGTGGAAGTCCGAAACTAGTTCGGATGTGTTTCCGAGCTCCGTTGCAAGCAACCATGAAGTCTCCTCGTCCGTTCCTTCATATCCGGACCATCGGACGAGGTATAGGAGTTGACATTGTCTTCTCCAACGGTCTAATTTTGAGTCCAAGACTTCGGATATCTCATATTCAGGTTCTCCGTCGACTTCGACCGGAGGCGGAGGCGATTGGATACGATTAGGAATGGTATTGAGTGTGGCTGGTTCTAATTGTGAGACATGGAAAACTGGGTGTACGGAGCGCATGGAATCCGGAAGTCGGATGGTGAAAGAATGCGTGCCCGGACGAGCTATGATTTCGAATGGACCTAAGTTCTTTTCCGAGAGTTTCTTGGATGGACGGGTGGATCGGAAGTATTTTGCTTTGACGAAGACCGGATCTCCGATTTTCATATCCGGAGCGGGTTTCCGTTTGGCGTCCGCAGGTCCTTGATATCTTTCTTGTGTGTGGGCCATTTCTTCTCGGAGGAACTGATGGAGTTCGTCAAGGTCTATTGCATAGTCTTGTGCGCGGGCGGATGAGAGGTCACGTTCCGGATGAACGGATAGGTTCGGATGATATCCCTTATTGGCAAAGAAGGGAGATACTCTGGTAGTAGCACTCGGAGCGTTGTTATAAGCGAATTCTGCCAAGGGAAGTAGTTCCAACCAGTTATCCTGCTGATAGTTGCAGTATATCCGGAGGTATTGTTCAAGGGTTTGGTTCGCTCGTTCGGTTTGTCCGTCTCCTTCTGGATGATATCCGGACGTGAAGTGGAGGACCATATCTAATGCTTTTCCTAAGGACCGGAAGAAATGCGATACGAATTCTGTTCCTCGGTCCGAAGTGACATGGGATGGAACTCCGTGCTTGGAAAACACATGGAGGACGAATAGACAAGCGAGATCCGGAGAGGTAATGGTGTCGTGGGTAGGGATGAATATAGCTTGTTTGGATAGACAGTCGATTACGACGAGGATGGCTGTAAAGCCGGATGAGTCCGGAAGATGCTCGATGAAATCCATGGATATAGAATTCCAAGGCTTTTCCGGTATGGGAAGCTGCTTAAGCAATCTGTAGGGTTTGTGTCTCAGAACCTTAGCTCGGCCGCAGGAAGTGCAGGACTTGACATAGTCCTTGACATAGGTGCGGATTCCTGGCCAAGTGTACTCGCATCGGATAAGGTCTAACGTCCGATTCTGTCCGAAGTGTCCGGACAACGGATGATCATGAGTATTCTGGAGGACGCGAAGACAGAGGTTATTAGATTCTGGAACATATATACGGTTGTCGCAGCGGAGGAAACCACTATCATCTACCGTCCATCTCGGACCCGAAGGTTCCGGAAGATGTTCGGATGCGATAGGGTCGGTGGGAAGTGCGGTCAGGATGTCTTTCCGGAGCTGGTCGATATCAATCAGAACGGCTGCCCTAAGAACCGGAGTTACTAGAGTTGAAGCTCGAAGGGACAAAGCTAACTGTTCCGAAGTGAATACCGGACGGAAATTATGAGGATTGACTCGAGCGTAGTCCTTATCCCCCTCTTTGGGGTAGACGTCCCAGCGTCTAGTAAGGGAATCCGGTTTAGCTCTGAGCTTTCCGGGACGGAAACGGATGACGAGGTTAAACTGATGGAGGAATTCCGACCAGCGGGCCTGACGGCGAGAGAGGAGTTTTGTGGTAGAGAAATACTCAAGGTTCTTATGGTCCGTGACAACGTCTATCGGCTCGGCAGAGCCTTCAAGGTAATGTCGCCACGTTTGAAAAGCTTCATGGATGGCTAGAAGTTCCTTATCGTGAGTGTCGTAGTTGAGTTCCAGAGCAGTAAGCATCCAAGAATAAAATGCTACCGGACGAAGCTCTGAGTCCGGACATACTATGGAAAGTATTCCGGCTATAGCGTAGTCAGAGGCGTCGGTTTCTACGACTATCGGAACATTCGGAATCCAGTGTGTAAGCACCGGAGCGGACGTGAAAGCTTTCTTGAGTGTTTCAAAGGACTTCCGACAATCATCGGAAAAATCCCAAGTAACCCCCTTGCGGGTAAGACAGGTGAGCGGAACTACGATGTCCAAGTAATTGAAAATGAATCGACGATAGAAATTTGCGAATCCGAGGAAGGATTGAATATCCTTAACTTTCCGAGGTTCCGGCCAATCAATGATGGACTGGATCTTCTCGGACGACATGGTCAAGCCATCCGGAGATAGGATGTAACCAAGGTATTCAATGGATGTGGTATGGAATGCACATTTTTCGGGTTTAGCATAGAGTCGATGTTTTCGGAGACGGAGAAGGACTTCTCGGACATGTTCCTTATGGGATGCAAGGTCTTGGGAATAGATGAGGATGTCGTCCAGATATACGATAACGCATACATCCAGCATATCAGCAAACACGCTATTGACAAAGCGTTGGAATGCAGCCGGAGCGTTAGTGAGACCTTCCGGCATCACCAACCATTCATACGAGCCATAACGCGTTCGGAACGCGGTCTTCCATTCGTCTCCGTCCGCTATCCGGACGAGATGGTAAGCGGATCGGAGGTCGATTTTGGTATAGACTTTAGCGCGGCTCAGAGAGTCTAGGAGGTCGGTAATGAGAGGTAATGGATATCGGTCTTTCTTGGTAATCTGGTTAAGTCCATGGAAATCTACACAGAGGCGAAGGGAGCCATCCTTTTTCTTGACAAACAGGACAGGAGCTCCGTGAGAAGAGGATGAGGAACGGAGGAGTCCGGAGGAAATGTTTTCATCAAGAAACTTCCGGAGGGCTGCAAGCTCAACTGCAGATAGAGAATAAATGGTTCCGAGGGCCGGACTAGTTCCTTCCTCTAACTCGATTTTGAGATCATAGGGACGATGAGGAGGAAGTTGGCTAGCTTTGCCCTTATCGAACACATCTGAGAATTCGTGATATTCCGGAGGAATTCCGGACAGGTCCGGAAGATTGGACGAAAGGGAAGCGGACCAGAGGTCTACACCGGTCGGACGAAGGTAGATGCTGAACTGTTCCGATCCTTCCAATTTGCAGGCCCGGCAAAAGGCTACTGCATTGATCAAGGAAATGTTGGGGATGGTTTTATCAGCA